TACTTTATTAAGTATACTTTAAATATATATTAAACTTATATATATATAATAAAAGAAAAAGAGAGAATAGAGAGCTTCTTCTTTCCCTCTTTTCTCTTCTTAAGTTTATAGTTAATACTAGTAATACTTATATATAGTTGCCTGTAAGGCTAGTTCTTAACACTTTCTAAGCTAGCTATATAACTATAGAAAGTATAAGTAAATATATAAGTTTATTTAAGTATTTAATATAATATTATAGTCTATAATAATAATAAATATATATATAGCGTTATAGTATATTAGCAAAATATAAATTGTAATAATTATAGTAGCAGCATTTGCAGATGCAAGCTAGTGTGCGACTATACCCACGTCCTGCTGTAGTCTGAATTTAGCCCACAACCGTCTCCATGTGGTTGAACCATAAAGCAAGCTCTCATCACGTCCGTCCGTCGCGGCCTGCCCTCGGTAGCGACAGGCCTCATGCCGTTCTTGCGGTCGGCGGCCATATGCCAGTGCACCCCCGCAGGCACTCGAGCAGTGCTTACCGGCTGTCTGGGCTGGCAAACACGACGCTCATCTACTAGCTCTCCGTCGCAGCCGACGCTTCACCATCTCCCCGAGTCGCGATTGAACCCAAGCCCCGACGACTACGCCTCGCCCAACTTTGCAGACAAAGCCGAACTGACAATCTCCGCGGGAAGAGGCGGCAACGGCTGCGTCTCCTTCCTCCGCGAAGCCTTCTTACCCGACGGCCCTCCCAACGGCGGCGACGGCGGAGCCGGGGGCAACATATACATCCAGGCGGCCCATGGCGAAACATCACTGCACAAGCTAGCCAGAAGACGCTTCATCCGTGCAGGGCGCGGCCAGCATGGCCAGGGGAGTGCAAGGGGCGGATCCCGCGGGGAAGACGTCATCATCATTGTACCGGTCGGAACCATAGTGCGGGAGCTGGAAAGGGAGGATCCCGCCGGCGAGGAGGCCATGAACATCAAGGCGTACAGGAAGTTGGTGAAGCAGCGGACAAAGGAGGCGCTGCTCCTCCAAGACGAAAAACAGAGGTGCGAGCGCGCCGAGGGGCCACAGGAGGACCAAGTTCTCGACAGAAAAGGTCGTCTCAAGCCAGCACCCGCACCAAGAGACGTAGAGGACGAAGACGTCAATCTCGACGACCCGACCCGCCATAAATGGCTCTTGTATCCCGGCATGTCCAAGTCCGAAATGAAGAGCACCTCGTTCCCGCGGCTTCCCCATCGCCTCCCTCTCCTCCAGCAGCCGCCCGCCCCCGTCTGTCTCGACCTGTCCCGTCCCACGCCTCGGCCTATCCTCCTCGCCGCAGGTGGAATCGGTGGCCTGGGAAACCCGCATTTCACCTCGCGAGAGCACCCCAAGCCAATCTTTGCTACCAAAGGCGAAGCGGCTGCTTCCATGAAACTCGCACTGGAGCTGAAGCTGCTCGCCGACGTGGGTCTCGTCGGTCTTCCGAACGCCGGCAAGAGCACGTTGCTGCGCGCCTTGACAAACAGCCGCACGAGAGTGGGCAGCTGGGCATTCACCACGCTGCAGCCCAACATAGGGACGGTGGTACTGGACAGGTATTCAGGACAGCCTACCGCACGGAGTCGTCGGAAAGCAAGCCCTGGGACAGACGGGTGCTCGGGCGCGGCCCTCGAGCCCAGGACGAGATTTACCGTCGCGGATATCCCTGGCCTCATCGAAGGCGCCCACCTTGATCGCGGACTGGGAATAGCCTTTCTGCGGCACGTCGAACGAGCAGGCGTGCTCGCCTTCGTGGTCGACCTGGCTGCGGGGAATGCCGTCACGGCACTCAACGCGCTGTGGCGCGAGGTCGGCCTCTATGCTCAGATGCGAGACGAGGAAGACCGCGATCGCGAGGCCCAGTCGCGCGTGGACTGGCACTTTTCATCCGACTCTCCCCGGGCGCCGATCAATCTTATGGACGCAGAGTACGCCGGTCCCCCGGCACTTGGACAAGGCCCAAGTCAGTCAGGGCCTCGCATCGCTGAGAAGCCGTGGTTCGTAGTCGCTACGAAAGCGGATCTACCCGACACGCGGGACAACTTTATGGAACTGAAAGCGCACCTGGACAAGATTACGAAGGAGAAAGTGGCGCACCCAAGTGGTGCGAAGGGCGCCTGGACGAAGAACTGCGCCGTCATTCCCGTGAGTGCCATCCACGGGCAGGGGGTGGACAGGATAGTTCACTGGACAGTAGGGTTGCTGGATGAGTAGAGAGAAGAAGAGATGGGGAGGCCTGGTGCTGCAAAAGAGCAGTGTGCAACGGGACCTTGTTCAATGCTCAATGTCAAATACTACATTTCCTGTCTTTTAAATTGGGTGCAAAAACCCTTGCTCATCCTAATGTCCCATTCCGCAGGGCGAAAACGCGTATCCCATCCGGCATCTACAGCCTCCAGGCCACAATTTTCCCTTGCACTACTCAGGGGACGGCAAATCCTCCACGTCAACATTGTCCGCTACCTGCTCTTCCTTGGCCTCACTCTCCTGATGCTTGGCCCCGTCCGGTTGGTGCTTTTGTTTGTTCAGGGTATTGTTAATCAGGGGCGTGGTGTCGTTAAAGATCCTCAGGAGCATAGCAGCTCTGTCTTCCTTGGGAAGCATGAGATTCAACGAGTGAATACTCTTCCACAGCGGCAAGGCCATCCGCTCCGTGAATTCCGCATCACCTGCCTCGGGCTCGATGCGGAGCACGCAGCATCCCATGCCGACGTCGCGGACTCTCTCGCCTATCTCGTCAAAATTCTTCCACTGCCCGTCCGCGATGCGGGGGAACATTTCTATGAGGAGCTTGCGGAGGGTCTCTTTCTTGTGTAGGCGAATGACACGTGGTTCGCCGACGTATCCCTGGACGATTGGCATCCCTTCGGACTGGATGCGCCAGCGGCACACTTCGGCTGAAGGGGCATCTTGCTTCATGAACATGCGGACACCGCCGTGGACGAAGCGCACGCCGCGGCCCTCGTTCTCGGTGAGGATGTCGCGGATGAGGGCTGTGGTATAGTAGATGGCCTTTGCGGGCTCGCCGAGTTCATTGCGGACCATGTAGCGGTTGTCGGGAAAGCGAGTGGAAAGATGGTAGAATTGTTTGATGTTCTGGATGACGGGGTGAGACGCGTCGAGATACTTGAATGGCTCTTCCGGAGGGCCGGCTTTCTTGGGCCTACTGACAGCTTCGGCAGGTTGAACCAGAGGTGCGGGTGCAGTAGCAGAAGGGTCGGCGTTGGTCTTTGTCTTCTTGGCTGTCTGCTCGCTGTCGTCTTCTTCGAGTGCTCTCTTGCTGCCATTTGTGCGGGCTTCGTCCGAGGCCGTGTCGGGCCCTGGCTTGGATTCTGTGGTCTCGGTGACGAGTGGCGCTTGATGTCGAGCTGGAGCGGCCTCGGCTGGCTTTTCCTCCTTCCTTTCGTTAGATGCATCCGCATTGCCGTCGGTGGCGGTAGCGGCAGCGGCAGCGGCAGCAGCCTTGGGCTCGTTCTCGTTTCGTGCCTTAAAGTCAGCCTTCTTCTCCAAAACCGTGATGAAGAAACCACCAGTGTCTTGAAGGTGAGGGTAGACTCTCATGCAACGCTCCAAGGGCAGGTCATGGCACGCATTTCCTCTCAGTTTGGGGAACATGGTCTGCGAGACACGACCAGGCACCACGCCGCCGTTCTCCTCCCGAGCGAACGTCTCAACCTGCTCCCATGTATCCCATATGCGGCACGACTTGTCGATGATTTTCCATTTCCTCATACCTGGTCTTCTCACGAGTGAGGGGAGTTGTTCGCTGCAGTCGAGAATCTCAACATTACCTGGACCTCCACATCGCTCAATGGCCGACGCAATGACGGACTCGTTCTCCACAGGGTTCATGCTGCAGGTCGAGTAGACGACCCTGCCGCCAACCTTGAGAAGCTGCAAGGCTCGGACGAGAATTCGGATCTGGGTGGCATGTAGGCCAAGAGCGTTGCCCGGCTGCCAGTCCTTCCACAGGTTCGCATTCTTTCGCAGGGTGCCGTCACCGGAGCAAGGGACGTCGGCCAGAATACGATCGAACTTGAGGTAGGTCGGCTTGGCCGTAGGGTCCGTTGAAGGCAGTTTGAGGGAAGGAAACTGGGTGGCATCGTGGTTCGTGACGATGAGGTTAGGGGAAGACAGTCGCTTAAGCTGGTGAACGAGCATGTGCCCGCGCTTATAGTCGGAATCGTTGGCGATGAGGAGGCCCGTGGCGCGGCCATTGTCGGAAGGATCAGCTTCTAGATGGGCGTCCATCTCATCCTGAGTCTCGTTCCCGAGGTCCAGACCGTCTTCCTTGGCAAACCTGCGCAGAACCTTGCGCACGCGTGCCTCCTCGCCCCAGTGAATCATCTCGAGGAGCTGGGCGGACTTGCTTCCGGGGGCGGCGCACATGTCCAGGACGGCCATGCCGGGTCGCAGATCCATCAGGCAAGGAGGTATCATGCTCACAACCTCCTGTCTACTGATGTTGCCCACCGTGGTCTCGGAGACGAGGAATTTCTGAAAGGCAGAGAAGGGTGGGAACTTGCGCACAACGTTCTTGGGAGTGGTCATCCACCAGGCCAGCTCATCCGGGTACCACGACACAGGCTTGGGGGGCTCAACGGGTCGACCATCGTGGTGCTCGATTTTTACAATCTCGGGAATGTATCGCGTCTGAAGGAGCCTCTTGACGGCCAGGGCATGCCTGCATCCCCGGTCAACACGCGAGCGCGAGGCAGGCGACAACGGAGCAGCTTACCCTTTGGAGCCGGTGAAACGGAAGCTGCTGGGCAACTCACGCCTCAAGGCTTCCCAATACCGCTGCCTCTCCTCCTCGGGCAGCTGGAGCAGAGCATCGTAGTACTCCTCCAGCTTGTCGTTGTTCTTGTCGAAGGGTGCAAAGTCGCGCCAGCCGCCGTTGGCTTGCGCGCCACCGCGTCGCCCTCTGCCCTGAAGAGAAGACAAAAGGTCAGGATGCGGTCGGCACGTGGAGGTAGAGGGCAGTTGAATTGAGTCAGTGCGCGACTTACTCTGAAGCTTTTCTTGCCCATTGATGCGATGTGTGGATGGGTGTAGCTGAGCTGGCTGTCGAGGGAAATTTTCCGTCGGCCGGCCCAGAAAAAAAGCAAAACCGGCGCAGATGCCCCGCCGGTGGCACCGCGCAAAGTCGGCTTGATTGATTGACCTCAGGTTTCTGCATTCTCATTGCGTACCGGCGGGACGCACAGGGGCATTCGCCTTGGCCCTTGCGAGCATACACTTGCCCTGTTGTGCATTTCTTTACATGCCAAGCGAGACTATGGACCGGCATCGTGGCTTCGTCCTGGACTCCTGGTGCAGACGTGTGTGTGTGTGAGCGGACCTCGGCGCACATTCAAGCATAGGCCGCAACCGACATGGACCATCTCATTCGTACTTGTGTGACATAAACTGGCCATGCAAAAACTAAGCTATATACGTCTGCGGCTATGTCCGAGGGCTCCTGAGGAACCCGACAACGCCACTGCAATATCCCGCCAGATGGTCTAGCCGGTTACCCTCTCTCTCTTGGAAGCTCTTCCACTGCCCCAACGCCTTCAGGAGGGATTCACTTTCCGTGACGACGTCGAAGTGGAGTCGAAGAAAAACCGCCATCCACGCCTGCGTGAGTTCGTAGTCCCGTCGAGCCTCAAGAAGGGAAGTAAGTGCTCGGATGAAATGGAGAAGCTCGTTCGATTCGTCATCGAAATTGCCAACTGACAGCGATCGAAGCTCAAGATCAGCGCTCGATGGGGACAAGGATTTGAGATGATCAACAAATGCGCCGTCTGTCATTCACCGTGTTAGTATCGCATCGCAGCAGCAACCAGTGCCATTGTTGCTCGCCCGAGGCCGGGAACTTGATACTTACAGTCGCCAGTTTGTGCTCCTTGCCGTAGCCTCGTTGTGAAGAGCTCCTCGAAGCGAGCCTGGTCCAGTTTTGTGATGCGGGACGTTGTCCCATCCTTTGCGGCTTCTGCCGTGACCTCTTGTCCTGGCGCCTTGGAGTTGCTTGTCGAGGCTAAGAAGAATGGCGCCTGTTCAGGAGCCTTTGGTGCTTCAATCGGCTTGTTTCGCTCCTTGATCAGGTCGAGATGTAGCAGCGTTTGCCAACGACTTTTTGGAACCAAACTCAACGTGGTCAGTTCAGAGCTCAGCTGGTCAACAGTAGGAGCAATGACGGCATCGTCAACATCATCCTCATGCTCCTCGAATGCACCCTCCAACAAGGCCTGATTTCCCTCTCCAGACACAGTCGGGACAGAGACCTGTCCGATTTCCTTCTCTGCTATTTGTCTCGTGGAGACGTGCTTGAAGAGCGATTTATTGGTCCAGATTGCAACACCAGGCTCGTCTTTTAGACAGGCGGCGAGATATTCGCCGGTAGCAGACATATCTAAAGCCGCGCAGGGCTTGTTTAGCCGAATGGCATCAATAAGATGTCCAGTGGGCAGGTCCCAAACTCGGATCGTCTTGTCGTCTGATGCGGCAATGACCCATCGACCGTCGTTGGAAAAGCAAATATCATTGATACAGTCTCCAGGGCTCCAAAATTCGCGAATGGTCCTCTTCGTTTCCATGTCTACGATGCGGATCGCCATGTCATCGCATGCAAATGCCAACAGGCCATTGGCGGCGTGGTACTTGCATGCCACGGGGTAAGTCATTGGCGCCCAGTCAAGCTGATCAAGTAGTGTTCCGGTGAGGAAGTCCCAAAATTTGATCCTGCCATCTGAAGAGCATGATATGACCCGCTTGTTCATGTTATCAACCACGAGCCCCGTAATGGCTTTGGTGTGTTTCCCAGTACCTGGGAGAAATTTGTGTCCACCACTGATCTGTAGCTGAGCGACGTCATCTGCCTGCCTGAGCTGCTGAAGCCGGACTTGACGAGCTTGCGAAGGTGCCAAGCGAGACGGGAATCTTTGTCGGTGCATACCCGACTGCAAGTTGTACATGTCGATGCCGCCGCCTTCGGACCCGACGATGGCAAACGTTCCGCAAGGACTAATGGCAACGGTCGACACATTCGTACTGTCACTAGTGGGGAAAGCCCATCGTCCTGCTCGTCTCCGGCCCCAGAACCACGTTCTGGCATGAGAATCCCCTTTGTGTGCAGTGACTACACTTTCCCAGCCATTCATGCCACTAATCTCAGCGTCGGTCTTTTTCTTGCTGTCATTGTGACGTTTCCGCCAAATGGGTTGTTTGCCCGGTATGGCGCCGATACCACCATCTCTGTTCAGAGACATGGCAATGCTCGTAATCTCAGGCGCTTTCAGGTCTTCCAGTAAGGTCGTCGGTCCATGAGCTAGTGGGCTGGAAGCTAGAATACCAATCTTCTTTGCCTTCTTACGCAGATGTCCCTGGCTCAGTTCCGCGCTCTGGCCGTCCCTCCGTAAACTCCATCCCCAAAGGCTTCTATCCCGACCACCGCTCAGAAGCCATTTGTTTCCCGACTCGGCACCGTCGAAGTCGGTGGGTAGAAAGTGCAGGCAGTTGACAGGCCCAGCGTGGCCGCTCCGAGAGTGGAGAATCCGCGGTACTGGCGAAAACGGCGACGTGTCGAATATCCAGGTCTTCAGCGAGTTATCGAGACCACTTGTCACAATAACGGGTTGGCCTGCCAAAAACTCCACTTTGCTGATGCCCCCTCTGACATTTTTGGCATCTCGGAATGGGGGATTGTGGGCACTTCGGAGCACACCCATCACTCGCCCACCCTTATTCAAGTCCCAGAAGGTGACATCGCCGGTGACTCTGCTGGCAGTCGCCATGACGCCATCCTTTCTGCCATCATGACCGGCGCCCATTCCGTCGGTTCTGAAGGATATTGAGTGCACCAGAGCCTCGGAGCTCCCGGCTTCGATCTGAATCACCGGTCTGTCCATCAGAACATTGGCGATGACCAATGTCCCAGACGAGTAGGCGATGGCCAGAAGAGATAGAGCGGGACTGGGTTCCAAGCAAGTCACGGAGCCGTAATCTCGGCGCGGAGGTAGAACGGTGTATATCAGCTTGCCTGTGCTAACATTCCATATCTCTACCCATCCGTCCTTGCGCCCAACAAAGATCTTGTTCAAGAAGGTAGGCATGCTAGTGACGCCGCCCGTGATTTCGTTTCCTCCCTTGTCAGCCGTCATGGTATTAATGGTTGTATAATGCTCCAGAGTCGAGCTCTTGAAGATTTCAATTCTCGTTGAAGCGCACGCAACGACCCAAGTACCAAAGACAAGGATTTGCTGGATGGGCTCGGCAAGGTCAGAGGGCAACTCCAACTCGTTTACCTTCTTTCCCCGCTGAAAGACCCAGAAGCCCTGCGACTCTCCCTGCTTTCGGTTTCCCCAGGCTGCAAAAACTTTTTCTTTCCACGCGAAACTGGCGGTGATAATGGCGGGGGTTTGGGGGCGAGTGACGAAGACGAGATTTAAGCCTCGACGAAGGTCGTACGTCTGTAATGCCGTTGCCACTGACGTCGTAATTTGAAAGGTGGTTTTCCCTAGTGGTATGGAGGTAAATGGAACACTTGTGGGAGAGACGAGACCGACCGTCTGGAAGAGTAGACTATTAGCAATCCGAAAGTCTTCAAGGCAAAGCGTGAGAGGTCCTACGTACTCGGAACGGCGCAAAAATACGGGACGAATTGACCGCATCCTTGGCAGGAGATTCCACAGCCGAGACCTTCTGGCGCTTGGCCAGAGGTCCCTCCGGATTCCCATGTGGCATCTTGGACATTGAAGAGGTGAGGCGCCCGTTGACGACAGCATGGGTAGGTAATATCTGCGTCGCGCAACGACGTCTTGAAAAATTTGGGCGGTGAGCGAGAGCCGCGAGGTTTCTGCCGATTCTGCCCCACTCTCGAAGCGAGCAACGGGCAGGGATCTGAGATGAGTCGCACCAGCCATTTGAGGTACGTAGTACGGAGTACTAAGTACTTAAAGTACTCAAGTAAGTACTTAAGGCAGCTAGGTCCTAGAGGCTAGGTCCTAGGTCAGTATTTGGTGTGCAGCTCTAGCGCTGTCGTGCCCCACACCTTCCCCTGTGCATGTATTTCTCAGTCGTCTGGTCCAGGCCAGGTCAGGCGACGTACCGTTGCGATGGCGCCTGGGCCTGGTTTGCAGATTGCGAAGTTACTGCCGCATGGAGGCTGGCCAGCCTTGGAGAGCGAGTGCTGGGCCACGATTGGATGCCGAGCTTGGGGTCTGTTGAGCGCCCTGGGACCAACTGATATATTTGGTAATGCATAAATCAGCTCGACGGCAGGCTGTGTATTGATGCTGCTTTCTGGAAACCTGCATCGAAGGCGGTTTCGTGACATGGCGCAGTAACTTATTTCAGTTGTTGTCTAGAGCCAAAGCCCATTCGAGACTCGCACGGGTTTCAGACATGGACGCATGCGGCATTGTGCTCAAGTCAAGTAAGTAACTTACCAACTCGAGCCGGTCATCGTTACGGAGTACGCATTCGCCCTATTCTTGACTGCAAAACTGAAAGTAGACAGGTACCTAGATAGGCACTTGTCGGGCACAGTTTGCTGGGTACCTGCGGAGTACGGAGTACTTAACTTAAGCTATTGACTCGCCCGCGAGCTCAGGTACTTACGTTACTGCTTCTGATTCGCGGCTGACAACGAGCCAGACACCATTTTCTTTCGCTGTTGTTAATCAGGGCCCCTGGGGAGCGCCACTGTCGATTGATTGACTCGACCCGCCATGGAGCCTCCAGCGCAGTTGGAGTTCCTTCCCGCAACCACCGACGTCTTCTTCATCCAGATGCTCCATTTCCTGACCAGCCCCCCCTCTATCATCTATTATTGCCACAGCCAGCTTTGGACCTTGCCGATTGCTACGAGGCCCCGGCCACGACCAGCGCCAGCATTAACACCGACATCGCCGACCCGCAGCCTCCCCTTCACCTTCATCGCCAGCCCGATCACGCTCTCGCAAAATTTCGGCCTCCTCCATTGCAGCCTCTATCACCGGCAACAACAGCCGTGATGTTGACTCTGTTACCTCCGAGTCCTATTCTGCGCAATCTTCCCTTCCCGTTGCCTCTCTGCAATCCCCGGCTTCGGTAAAGGGTCATCATTCTCCTTCCTGGCATTCTCGATCTCAATCCGGTATATCAGACGCTGGCAGCGACGTGCCCGTCTTTGGGGAGCCTCAAGCCTCGCCAACCCATTCTGAAATCTCGCGATTTCGCGCTGGGCTCAACGCAGAGAACGCTGCTTACGCGTGGTTGCCAGAACCCGCCTTGACCGCACCGTCTTCTTTGTCGGATCTGCAGTCCAGGCGCCTGTCCGGCTCCCCAATATATTCTCTTGCTTCCGCGAGGGGCATCGTCAAACACTCTTCCTCAGCCCACGGTTCTGATTCCGGACTGCAGTCTCGTTTTGTTTCTGGCATCATGTCGCAAAGCAAAGGGGCCGGCACACCGCCAGAGCCTGATGTGTGCACTGCCGCCGCTGCAACGTCGCCTTCCAATGGGTCAAACCCAAGCCAGCATAATGTTACCGCAAGGGATCCCACATCGCAGCCCCTTGATCTGATGAGAAGAAATCAGCCAACCGACACCAATATGCGTGCCCAACCCGATAGGTCTCGTAGTAGAGCCAAAAGACGCTTTAGTGGAAGCACCGCAACTAGCACCCATAGCCAAGGAAGCGACCGTGGTGCCCACCGTGAAAAAGAAGAGGGTATGCAAGACTGTAACAGTCGCTCAACTATTCACCTTCACCTGCATGCTGACAGAGTATCAGCGAAACCCGCCCCCTGGGGTACAATCGGTATTTGTGCATTGGACATCAAGGCAAGAAGCAAGCCCAGCCGAAACATCCTTAACCGTCTCATTGCGAATCGGGATTTCGATGTAGTGGTGTTTGGTGACAAGGTCATTCTCGATGAAGGTATATGAGCCCCTCCCGTTCTGTCCAGTTGAACTTTGTCTGGGGCTTTCCACCCCGTGCCGAAGAGGGAAAAGAAGAAAGAAAAAGCAGGCATTCTGCCCCCTAATTCTTAGCATGTACAAAGGAAACAGGCGCTGACTTTGTTTTGTTCCAGAGGTTGAAAACTGGCCCGTGTGGTATGCTGCCCCTTGGCTTTCGTCGATCATCACAAAAGGCATAGCGGCCTAAATGCCCACTTATGCAAGGATTCAGAAGTGACACACTTTGCTAACGTGCCGCCAGTGATTATTTGATATCCTTCTACTCTGACGGCTTTCCACTGGAAAAGGCCATCGCATATGTAAAGGCGCGAAAACCATTTTGCGTCAACGATGTGCCTATGCAAAAGGTTTTATGGGACCGACGTGTCTGCCTCCGCCTTCTCGACAAAATCCAAGTTCGCACGCCGAAGCGCTTGGAAGTGAATCGTGATGGTGGTCCACAAGTCTTGACATCAGAAATGGTGAAACACATCAAAGACATTTCTGGCATAACCATAGAGCCCCTGGACGCGACGACGGCGACCCGGCCGACAAAAGTTGAGCTACTTGACGATGGCGATACGTTGAGTGTTGACGGCCGTGTCTTAAAAAAGCCTTTTGTCGAAAAGCCGACCAGTGGTGAGGACCACAACATTATCATCTACTTTGCCAAAAGCTCAGGGGGTGGCGCCAGAAAATTGTTTCGAAAGATTGGCAACAAGAGTTCCGACTACGTCGCGGATCTCTCGGTACCCCGAGCTATTACTGAGCCCGAAGGAAGCTACGTATACGAGAGCTTCATGCAAGTGGACAATGCCGAGGATGTGAAGGCATACACTGTTGGACCCAACTATTGCCATGCAGAAACTCGCAAGTCCCCTGTAGTAGATGGCATCGTGAGGCGAAACACACATGGCAAGGAGTTGCGCTACGTCACTAGTCTCAGTGCCGAGGAGAGAGAAACGGCAAGCCGGATCTCGACGACATTCGGACAGCGTGTCTGTGGATTCGATCTTCTCAGGGCAGCAGGAAAGAGTTACGTAATCGATGTCAATGGTTGGAGTTTTGTCAAGGATAACGATGATTACTACGAGCATTGTTCCAACATTCTTCGAGATCTCTTTGTCAGGGAAAAGCTTTGTCGGGGAGGGGGGACACCACCTTTACCTTCGCCAGAAACAACAGACTTCGACCCGATGACTAAAAGCGTACAGCAGAATAAGGAGCGCGAACAACAACAATCAGGGCCTGCGTCCACGTCCACGTCGAGGTCTACAAGGGGACAAGCAGCGGCGACGGAGTCTCAAAATGGAGATTCCGGCCAGAAGGTACCGGTCGAAGCGACATCCCCTCGTCCCGAGAGCACCTTCAATTCGACTGTTCCAAGCAACTCTGCGAGCCCTCACCTACCACCGCCTGCAGAGCTTGCTCTGCCCAGCAGCTCCACAACTGCCTCCTCTGTTCAATCTGGATCTATATCTGCTCAACCTACGCAGGCACCCAACGAAGAGGCGCCAGCTCAACCACCACCCCCTCCCAAACATTCTTGGAAATTGAAGGGAATGGTCTCTGTCATCCGACATGCTGACCGCACGCCAAAGCAAAAATATAAATTCACGTTTCACACTGATCCGTTCATTGCCCTCCTTAAAGGTCACCAGGAGGAAGTCCTCCTCATAGGGGAAGCTGCGTTGGCAAGCGTCATCCAGGCTGTCGACGTAGCATATGAGGCCGGCATAGAGGATCGAGGAAAACTCAGGGCCCTCCGCAATGCACTAGTCAAAAAGGGTAGCTGGGCAGGCACAAAGGTGCAAATCAAACCAATGTTTAGGCAAAAGATACTGGACGGCGCTCCAGCAACCGTCGAGGCGCCAGCGGCACTGGACGTGGTTGAATCCCCTTCAGAAGGAAATAGTAGGAATGGGGAATGTGATGGCAGTGACTGCACACCACGATCCGGCTCGAGACGACACGATTCCCTTTCTGGCGTCACCATGTCCAAGTTCACAGCCGCGGAGGAAAGCTTGGTCCTTGACAAGCTGCAGCTTATTGTCAAATGGGGCGGGGAGCCAACACACTCAGCACGATACCAAGCACAAGAACTGGGAGAAAACATGCGCAATGACTTTATGCTCCTAAACAGGGATATCTTTGATGAGGTTCATGTTTTTAGCAGCTCGGAACGAAGAGTGAGCGCAAGCGCTCAAATCTGGGCGTGCTCGTTCCTGGACCGAAACGACTTGCCTGAAGATTTCATCACCACGCGGAAAGATTTACTCGACGATTCAAATGCTGCCAAAGACGAAATGGACAAGGTGAAGAAGAAGTTGAAGGGCCTGCTCCGAAAGGGCAATGAGCGTCCAGCCCAGTTTGCCTGGCCTGAGAACATGCCTGAACCTTCCGAGGTCCAAACCCGGGTAGTCCAACTCATGAATTTCCACAGACGTGTCATGCAACACAACTACGGCAAACTGTACAATGGCCCAGCCTCGTCTCTCGGCGCTATTTCCAACCCCAGCTCAGAGAGACTGAGTATGGAAGGTTCTTCCGCATCGATTTCGTCTCTTTCACACGCGAATGCGGTCAGCAGTATCCAATCCCGCTGGTGCAGCAGCGAGGATGCCGAGCTGTTCCGTGAACGTTGGGACAAGTTGTTCTCTGAATTCTGCGATGGCGATAAGGTAGACCCGAGCAAAATTTCAGAGCTCTACGATACAATGAAATTCGACGCACTTCATAATCGACAATTCCTGGAATGGGTCTTTACGCCACCAAAAAGCATGCTGGAGGACGAGTACTCCCAGGTGGAGAGAAAACGGAAAGACACTGACGCGGGCAAAACATGCGAAGATGCAAAGGGCCAAAACGGCAGCTCTGACGGTTCCGACAAGGCCGATGCTTCAAATCGATCTGTCAAGAAGCTCTTCCGCCGGCGATCATTCCTCAGCAACGTCAGACACATGGATGATGAAGCCCTTCCCGAGCAGTACTTTCGATTGTACAAAGGGACCAACCAGACAGTGACGAAATCGGATCCACGGACCGAGCCTCTGCAAGAATTGTACAGACTAGCAAAGGTGTTGTTTGACTTTATTTGTCCTCAGGAATACGGCATTTCCGACAGCGAGAAGCTCGAAATTGGATTGTTGACGTCTCTTCCGCTCCTCAAGGAGATTGTCCAGGACCTGGAAGAGATGCAAGCTTCTACCGATGCCAAGGCTTTCTTCTACTTCACCAAAGAATCCCACATATACACCCTCCTCAACTCCATCATCGAGGGAGGTGTCGAGACCAAGATCAAACGCAGCACAATTCCCGAGCTAGATTATCTGTCTCAAATATGTTTTGAGCTTTACGAATCCGAGAGCAAGACAGCAGCCGAGAGCGCATCTGGTGACGAATCGACGTTTACGTACAGCATCCGCATCACCATCAGTCCTGGTTGCCACGTTTTTGATCCCCTGCACGTGCAGCTCGACAGTCGACACTGCATTGGCTGCGCCCCAAGACGCAGCTTGACTCCACACATAGACTGGCTGCAAGTCATCAAGACGCTTCGCGCCAAGTTCAACCAGTAGGTGTCATGACTGTGTACCGACTCCGGACGATGGGCCGTTTGTCTGTTCGCTTGGTTGCTGACTGCCTTTCTCTTCTCCCAGGGTCAAGCTTCCCAAAACATTCCTGGCGGTGAATCTCTCGGACGCCTTCACCTTTGAGGAGCAAGAACGGCTCGCCGGCGATGCTGAACTATTACAGATGAAAACTCTGCCACCAGAGGATTGGCTCTCTGGCGCTGCTGAGTTGGAAACAAGTGACACGACGCCAGTCAATGAAAGCGAAATGGAAACGGAGGAGCCCAGCGGCGCGACGACCCCTTCGCGATGAGATGGCAGGCCAATGGTCGCACCGTACGCCCGTGGCAACCGCGAAAACCGAGAGGGTCGTTGAGTGAGAGTGTTTCCTTGACAAACCCATGCGTCATGAACCTGTATTGTCATGGGCGCTGTGCAGTGCAGGTCATAGTCGTCGGGATATACGCAACGGAGCACATTTGAAGGGATGCAGCGGTGGGGCGTACACCATCGGCATGTCCGATGAATGTGTAGACGCGGCGCAGCGTGCGGAGTGCATGACGAAAAGGGCATGATAGAATAGGACACGCCAGTGTGCAAACACAATTCTACAGGACGGCACAGCATACAGAGGTAGACTTTTTCATGGCGTATACGAAGTACTTTGCCAAAATGCCCTGCAGCTCCACGCCCGGTGACTTGGACTTGGACTGCACGACTCGACGGTGCCGTCTTTCCTTCTTTCTTTCTTCCTTTCTTTGCGCCTTTCCTTCTTTCTTCTCTTTCCTCCTGTCAAACCGGTTTGGGATGCTGGTACGTAATCCCAACCCATGCTCGCCCACAATCCACAACACGCACGGCCATGGGACATTTCCATTGGCCCAGTCGAGCATCACAGAAACCGGGCATGGTAATGCGCAGAGAAATATTGACGGGCAGAGTCCACCCACATCGCATCATACATATATTAAGGAGTGTTGAGGGTGCTCAACGCTCATGATGCCCTTGTGCATTACGTATGGATTGAGGTCCATGGCAAATCATGGAATGTGTCATCTGAATGCCTGGATTACCGGCCTGCTGCATTGAAATAGTAATACTTCATCCAACTCGAAAATTTGGCCGGGGATTGCCCTGGCAACAACAAACACACAGTCCAAGGCACGGTCCCTTTTTACGGCAAATGGCGCAGCGTCAGGTGTCTTGTGAAGAGCTTGGTGGGACAAAGAAAAAGGGGGGGGGTTCTAGTCGTCGAAAAAAACGCCTACCAAGTCCAAATCCGTGGCCGAGAGGACGCGGTATGCCAAGGCTCTGGTTCACCAAACTGTTTGGTTGTCGCCTGGAATTTCTGCATTGATTTAGGTGGGCTGTCATTGTCACTGCAAGAAACACATGTGCTTTACTGTATCGCCCGGGCTTTCGGTTTCGGTTTCGGGTTCGGCTTCGTCGTAGCGTCTACTCCGATGCAAGGGCGCATCATCACGGCCGCGAGAATCCTGCAGCCAGAGGAGCCGCGCCGGTCGTGGGGATACCAGGTCGGACATCCCTTGGCAGCAAAGAGGCCCATGGGGCAGAAAGCAGAAAACAGCCTTTTCGTCCCTGTCCAGTATGGACGGAAATCCTGGCAGCAGTCCCGAAAACTCTCGCGCGAAAGAGAAGGCCTCTTTCCGGGATGTGAAGAAAAGGCAACCCTTGCCTTGCCTGGCTATGCCGTTGGACGTCTTCCGCTTGCATCAGATAAAAGAGGTGGGATGCATCTGACTACACGGCATAATCCGTGTGAGTGTGTCATTGATACATGCTCCCTGACTTGAGCTGCATGCAGACTGGTGGCCCGGGGGCGACACCAGGGACTGGAATCGCATCATTCCTGTCACTTACACGCTTCAGATTCGCTCGGCTGCGTCGCTACCAAACCCGACGGGCTCGCATGTATGTATGCAGTAGCGAGGATGAACATGCCCACGCAGGGATGCGCAGGACTAAGAACAGACTGCTAGTCCATGTCGTCGTTACCAAACCTCACTTTGATGTCCGGCGGTCGTCTTTTCTACATTTCATCGCAAAGTGGCAGAGTACTCCTCGTCCAAGAAGAGATAATCGGACATTTCGAGCGAGTTCCTCGGCAGTGGCGCCATCCGCAGAAGGAATAGCTTGTCAACTAATACGGACACTTGGTTGGATGTGCGGGAAGAGCCTCTTTGTAGACATGCTGCAGAGCCGCGCCAACTTGTTGAACAGCGAAGTTGCAGAAGCCAGTCGCAGCTTCATCACAGGTTCAGAGTTAAGAGCACTACTCTAACCTGAGGAGTGGTGGATCCGTCCCGTCTCGACGTCTCAAAACGGGGACACCACCTCGGCGGCACCAATACGACAACCCTTGGTTTTAGCCCACAGGCACAGCTTGGAATGTCATCCCTGGGAGAAGCTGGATTCCGATGTGCATCTTGTAATAATACCAGTCAGCTTGAATGCACAAGGCTGCCGAACGTCATATTGTCTCTGCGCCACGGATTCTTTTGTGAAGGATGTATCGCCAAGTAGCGCCGAGCTGGGCAGGAATGGAGGCAAAAAGCAAACCTAGCCCGTCCCTGTAGAAACATGGCAAGCAAAGCCGTCGGCCTTTGGGGCAACCTGTGGTTTGTGATCGGCAACAGATCGGGTCACTTCTGTCTTTACTAGAATCAAAAAGTTGGACGAGGAATGGACATCGACATACTTGGCCCGGTGGTTGTCGTCGTGCTTCGCCTTGACTGCATACTGCGTCCACAGGTCGGTCGACCAAGAGAATCAGACAGACACGCCCCCGTTGTTATGAGTCAACATCAACATAGGCATGCGTATAGTATGCCATGCCATGCTTTTAGACGTCTCAGAACTTTGGGTGTCGTTTCATGCTCACTGGCCCAGTGTAATTAGGTCCGATCCTTGCCGGGTGGGCGGTTTTGTCAACACTGACTGGTCCAAGTCTTGGTGCAATGGGGTAGAAGGGCAAAAGAAGTTCTATAGAAAACACAACGGGTCCGTTTGGACGGACCCCCCGGTAAGTCTCACGAACTTTCAGAGAGGACATGTATGACCTTAACCGGGATTGTCACGCAGGTACGGAGTACAGCCGGCGAGAGCGGGGGGTCATGATGCCGAGTACTATTAAAGGGAGAGGCTGGGATTTGACGGGGTTCCACTTACCATTTGTCCCGTTTCCCGCTCCATCGTACACTGGCCATGCACATTGCATAGGCAAACCTTTAATACTAAGCATTTCAAGTTGCAAACGAGTTGGGCGACGGTTGGGACCAGGGTCTTGCCAGTGCTAGCAGAAAAAGCATGGCTTGGCGGCGGATGTCCGAAGAAACTGAGAGAAAGAGAGAGAGAAATGAAACCAGAGGCCCAAAGCAACAGGCAGAAATGTAACGATGCTGAGTAGGGAGGGAGGGGGAGGCAACGGCAGCGGATTGCCGACAAGAGAGCACGAAAGCACCCAGCCTCTTCATGCGGAATGATGCAAAATCAGGGCTCCGGCCATGCTTCGCCCCCCGGAGTAACTGTGATGGTGCTTGTGACATTGACTGACTCTTCCCGTGGCGGTGCCAGCAATGTTGCAGCCTAGTTTGCCACTTTTCGCGGTGGTCAGCCCTGGCGCAGTGCGGTGGCCAAGAACCGCCGCTAAAGGCGTCAGTCATGTAGAAGACTCGGTGAGGCGATCTTGAACAAGCTTTTGGCATCAACATCACCGCGACGGCTTCCTGCTGACGGAGATGCCATCTGCAAACGACTCGGCGCCGGTCCAGTTCTTCGCAGTTTCCTCTGTCCGACAGCGCGACGACATGTTGAATGTTGACCCGCTCTTTTCAGCTCTACATGCCCAGAGTGAGTCTCCCCAAGTGGTTTGTTCGCCGTAGTTTGAGAAGAGACAGGCGGCGCACGCACTGTCCATGCTGCCCGCTGCGGCGAGCCTCTTGCTGTCAAATGGGAAACGGCCAAACGAATCATTTGATGGCACATGCCGCCACCATTGCCCAGCTGCACCTTGGTTCCAACGCCGTGGCTCTGGTCTGCCACTCCACCACGTCGACCCGTACTTGGGACAGTTGTTGGGCTTGCACGCGCTTCGAGCACTGAACGCACCAACGGAGTCCCGCTACCATGTCTCTGGAAGCACACCCAGTCCCGTTTCATCGACGGCACCGACCAGACCAGGCTTCCCACCGGACTAGCCCAAGGCAGCAGGGTTTGTGGCTCGCTTGTCTTGTCTTCCAGGTGTCTTGGGCTCCAGGGGGCAAGGTTGATACTAGTACCATTGAGTGGGCAACCACCACGGGGCAGGCTGGCCTACCATGTGCTGCTGGATAATTTGTTTTAGTGTTTAATCCGGCTCGAGCGTGGAAAGGGTGGATGGGCCAGAGTCGTCGAGGCTCGGATGATGGGATGGAGGAGCGAAGGTTGACTCGAGGAGTGACAAGGTGAGCACTGAGCAGGACCAACTACGGGCTGCTGCCCAGCAGTTTTGCTGCCTCCTTCTCGGAGAGTTCCTGGAGCGACTCGCACCTGCCTTGCTTCGCATGCGCTGCCCTGTTCTCGTCAATACAAACTGGCAGGAGCTTGGCCAGCTCGATCGGGCCATCAGGAGTGTCTGTCTGCTTTGTCCAAAGCTGCCGGCTGGGTACAAAAGTCGCCCTCTTTCTTTCGACCTGGCTCCTATCGCCATCGCCATCGCCATCGCCGTCGCCATCGCCGCCGCCATCGCCATCGCCATCACCTCGTCGTACGTGCTACGTCCTACAGACATCCCCGGTTCGCGCTTCCAGAGGCTCGGAGCGAATCCTCTCCCATTGAGAAGCGCCATCCATCTGTATCCGCTCCGTTTGCTCCTTGTGTGGTCGTTGTCATCGGGGCCTTGTCTTGCCATCCGTTCTCCGGGAGCTTGTCCTCGTAGTTTGAAATTCGGGCCTTTACAGGAGTCCCCGAGGCTTCTCGTTTGAGACTCAAGCAGGGCCACGGCGTCACGACGTAGACGTGTGCTTCGGGACTGGGCTTAGACGGGGGTTTTGTTCAAGTGCCCTTCGCTTATGAGAGACCTCCACAGCCGTCTATGATACCGTTTTGGCATACCAGAGGGCAATACTTAAGGTGCTCTCCCGTCATCTTTTGTTGGCCTTGATTCCTCCAACTCGAGTACGATCAATTCTCAGAAGCCTTGGCCCTCGTTCTCTCATTCTTCCTGTTGCAATCTTTCCTTGCGCGGCCTGTTTACATTCAACGCGAACGATATCTGGCCTGTCTGTCGTCTCGCCTCCGCTCGGCAAACCTGCAAACCTGCAATACGGCTGTGTTGCAGAGTCCCCGACTGCAAATTAGAAGCGTGAAGTGTCTCGACACTTGGCATTGTCATTGGTCACGCTGATCCAAAGCAATAAGAAATCAATCACGCGCTTGGCTTGCCGGTTGTCAAGCTCGATACTTTCCACGGCAGGGAAACGCTCGGCCAAGCAAGACAGACACGATGGCAAATTCGTGTTCTCACTCGTTCAGCCTTATCAAGTGTGACTCAACCCTGGTGCAGTGGGTTTGCAAATACTGTTGCTCAGGGCCACATTGGATGATCTTTGAGTGCGTTTACTGCAAGCTCCATGTTTGCAGAGCATGCACACAAGCAGCATAGACACCAATAGGCAAAGCTTGGACGCCAAACATGACGCACAGGAAGCACGATGAACAGTGTACTCTTTGTGCAAATTCGCCAGGCTATTGTTCGATTTCAGCCGAGTCATCACTTTGTCCGCATCCGAAGCACTTTTCGACGATGCTGGGCAAGTAGGGGCATCCATCTTTTGACTTTGATCTTGTCGAATAAGCATTGTTCGTTTTGCATCATTTGATGCACTGGTAGCTCAGTCGGACACGATGAGATGCGACATCACATGGGGCAAAGGAATACTAGAAAACTTGCTGCCGATGATTGGATTGGCTCGGTGTTTGGGAGTAAGAATAGCATTTACGGCCCAGGCCAGGACATTACACGCAGGGCAAATACACATGGGTATTTTTGTGAATGGTTGGTGGCTTCTCAGACTACAAAGGTGCACGTGTGGCAACGACTGCGTGCAATATGGATGTTGAAACAGTTGTCTAGGGTGGACGGCACGACGACGGACTTTGATAACCTTTCCGTTTGTTGTTGAGTACACGGACTTGACGATGGAGGCATAACGCGTCTCTACTTGTGCAACTGAGCCGTGCCACCTTGGCTTGATGCTTGATGGAAGTGTCAAATGGGTTCTAGAAACATTGGAGTAACACGAGCCCTGGGTTTTCCCATCCTTACTTGCGCACACACACACGCACACACACACCGTTCGAGGGGCAACACAGGCTTCATCATTCCACCGCAGAAGTGTCCAAACGAAGGGCGTTGTGCAACCAACGCCAGGCCCGGAGCATGCAGAAATCCCAACGGCTGGGTAGCACAATGCGTGACGCTGGGGGCCGTTGATGGCCGCCGCTTGAAGGGAACGCCTTGCGGGCTCGACACTCGGGAATCAGGGCAAGATGGCAGTCCTGGCCTTTTTGGCCTCTGCCTCGATCGGCCTGCAAAGGCCACGCGTGAGTCGCGACACGAGCCGAGCCGTACCATGTACATGATGAATCATGATGCAACAGCAACCAGAACCAGGCAGCTTCCAGATCAAACGCGTTGTGGTCTTTGATGGTTCAAGTTAACGTTACTTTTCGTGCATCTTTATGTCTGGAGCAGGAATGATTTTTTTTTTAAAAAAAAAGAGGACAATACTAATAACAATAATACAACAATTACGATAATAATAATAATAACAATAATATAAAACCACCGATGCCGGCTGCCTCATCGACCAGAAGCGGGCCCCCCGGCGTCACACGTTGGAAGCGAATGATACATTGTCTCTTTTCTTCCCACTGTCCCCCAGTGGCCCCGGGTGGAATTCATCATGTTGAAACTTGAAACAACGATCAGCAGAGAGGCGTGGGCGTAATGGCAGCGCAACAGGGGCAAGGGATGCTACTGCTGCCACGACCACTGCTACCACCACCACTTCTACATCTGCATCTACAACTACAACAACCACCACTGCTACGACGTACCACCACCGCCACCAGCAGCAGCAGTACCAACTGTTTCTGCTTGCGTGAGACAAGTCGGGAATTGGAGAATCAACTAGCCAGTTGGGCCTTCTTTTTTACCCTCACGAGTGGAGGCTCGCAGACGAGCATTCCTCCATGCTGAGTCCTGACAATCTGTGCTTCTCTTATACTCCACCAGTCGCGACAAGTCTAGCTTTTTTTCCCCCTTTCCTTTCCTTCCCCTTCCCTTCCTTCCCCGCCCCTTCCTTTCCCTTCCCTTCTTTTCAGGCTGCTTGGTAGAACTGCGGCTGCGCCCCCCGCGCCCGCAGCGGCCAGTCAAAGACGGGTCTTTGGTCGACGCGTTCCGTGACGGTGATTTGGTCGCCTACCGAGAGGAACATGCCGTCTCGTGCTGGGCTGAGGAAGCCGTACTTCCCAAAGACGGGGCTGTATCTGGCACCTGCGTCTACCCGTCGGTCGGACATGAGCTTCTTGAGGACCGTGCCTCTCTCGCCCTCGGCTATTTTGCCCGTGTCGTAGTCGACGTTGAGGGACGAGCAGCGGTTACACATCTTGGTCAGGACGAGGAACGGCTCCCCGTTGGCCGAGAGCTCGGCCCAGAAGTCCTCGTCAAAGGCTGGCCCGCCGTGCCCGTCCACCACAATGTTGGGCCGGAAGGCTGTGATTGCGACGTCGCCCGAGGGCACTCTGGCCCTGACGTTGGCGAGGGAGGCGTCCGAGGCGACGAGGAAGGGGGCCAGGTCTGAGAAGGCAAGCCACGGCTTGTCCTCGCCCTCGCTGCCGAGCCGGGGCTGGGTCTCTGCCGCGCCGCCGCGGGACACCGTCGCGGACATGGTGGACAGCAGCCAGCCTCCGGGTCGCTGGGCCGAGCCATCTGTCTGTGTCGTCTGCGTCGTCTGCGTCTGGGGCGCGTAGCTCCCGAGCACCGGGCGCCGACCGTCCCCGATGTAGGCCAGTGCGGCCTTGAATCCGAAGCAGGCTGAGAACCAGTCGTCGTAGCGGGCGCCCATGCGGTACGCCGTGACCATGCTCAGGTGCAGATCGATGTCTACCGTGTCCAGGGCCGACGTGTCCGGGCTGAGCGGCACCTCGAGGACCTCGTTCTGCACGGGATGCGCCGGGGCGACGGCATCCCGGGGCGTCAGGTACGAGACGTGGATGCTGTCGCCCACGATTTCCTGCCTGAACAGGCCGCACTGGTGGACCTTGTCGATCTGCACCTTGGTGAGCTTGCGCGGATCCGTGTCGTCGACGCGACAGAGCATGAAACGTCGGTCGTGTTGGACGCCTTGGGGGGTGAGGCGGGCACGGTCGAGGCGAATTGGACGGAGTGCCTTGATGGGATAGACGTAGATCTGGGGCAATGGTCAGCGCGCGGCCGGGCGAGCGAGATGCAGGGCCGCAGGCTGCATCTGATGGATGACGGCACGTACCGCCGTGACCTTCATCGCGGAATCGAGTACGCAGTGGCAGCTACAGAGGAAGTGATGATGACGACGACGCAGAGACTAGAGTGTAAAAGAAGCCATCCCTCGCCGTCCTGGGCCTGGTTCCCGACGCCGCGGGCCTTGCGTGAACTTATACCGGGACCGACATTTGGATCCCGACAACGGTCCATGGTCCATGACATGACGGGCTTGCTTGGAGGGCGCCACCAGTGACGACGCTTTTTGACTATTGGGCAGGATTCCGTTGGGCTCTCGTGTGGGTGCCCATCCGCATCCCGTTCCCCCCTCTGCACATCTACGGAGTGGTACGGCGTAGTAGTGGTGGTAAGTGGTGCGTCGTGCGTCTCTCGAGGCACCCGGGCATTCTCTACGGGTAACATTCTCGCCAACTTGTTTTCCGGGGTCCAGTTTTCCGTCGCCCTCGTTGGCCATGCCTCGGATCGTACCCGGTCGACGACACGAGGCTGACCGGGACACTGCGGAACCAACTCAACAACTCTACTAGTTCGCGTGGAGGGACGACGTCGGTTTCTCAGACCGGTCTCGTGGTAAGGATGCACATGGCCCATGTCGCCTTAAAAACGAAAGGGCGTGACGAGAACTTCATGACACGTCCTCGGGCAAAACGGGCATCGTCTATTTCTCGTCGACAAAAATACCCAGGGGGATGGAGCACGCCACGGCATAGTGAGGCATGTCGACGGCCTCGACAACCTTCAAGTCGCCCACCACCGAACACAGCATGTATGCCTCTTCCCTCGCAAGGCCCTTGTCCGCACAGAGCCAATCGATGGCGCCCCGGACGCCCTTCTTGGTTGCCTCCAACAGGTCCGCGTCGATGCCGACCGCCGCGTACTCCTGGCCGCGACGGTGGTCCGCGCGGGCCTCAGCCTCGGGACAGGTCAAGAAGTGCGGAGACTTGACCCACGGCTTGTCCTTCTCGAGCGTGAGGCGGAGGCGCGCCTTGATGGGGGTCTCGATGGCCGTGCCGCAGACCTCGCCGTCGCCCTGGGCCGCATGCCCGTCGCCGCAGCTGAACAGGGCGCCGGGGGCTTGGACGGGGAGGTAGAGAGTGGATCCCACGGTGAGGTGCTTGCAGTCCATGTTGCCTCCCCAGTCGTAGGGCGGAATCGTGCTCAGTTCGCCGGGCTGTCCGGGCGCGAGCCCCATGACGCCCAGGAAGGGCCGCGTCGGCACGCGGATCCCCTTGTTGAACTCGGCATAGCCCTCGGAGACGGTGGTCAGGTCCCATATCTTGAGATGGGGCCCGCGGAACTCGTCGCTCAGCAGGCCAAAGTCGGGGAAGACCGCGGTCCAGCCGTACGGCGCGGGCGTCAGCTCGAGGATGTCGACGCGCACGACGTGGCCGGGCTCGGCGCCCTCGATTGCCACGGGACCAAAGGCCGGATCTACCTGAGAATAATCGAGGCTTGGGAGCTGGGCGGCGGTCGTGTCTGGGCCGACGAGGTTGTTGAAGCCGTCTCTGAGGTCAAAGTCGAGCTCGGCGCCGGACTTGACTGTGAGCACGGGCGACAAGTTTTTGGACCACCTGAAGTGGATGTTGGAGTGGTTGATGTGCGCGTGTGCCATTCCGGATGGAGGGTCGAGACCGCACGCGGAAAGCTTTCTGTTGTTGGTTTTTTCTTGTTGTCTTCCCCCGCTGCGTCTGGCCGAGTGAGATGTCGACACGGCTCGCGTCACGAATTCGCGCACATTACCGGCCGGGTGTCGACTCGGGGTCTGGAGACTGGAAGCGGAGCGGAGTCGTCTCTGGATGTTGTGCTGTGCAACCGTGGCCACTCATACATCACGTATCAGTCTGGTGGTAACCTATGTGGTATTGTGGCCTTGTTCCTCCGCACTCAAAAGTCACCAAAAGTGGAGTTGCTCCGTCTCGTTCATGACTTGATGCCGCGCTCCCTCTTCACAGAAGCGAATCAAGGACTGCCACGAGTGACCACCAGACGCAGTGGACCATCGCTGTCGATTTTGTTCCGGTAAATAAACTGAAGCCCACAGGAGCTCCCATGCATGCGCCTCTAAAATCAACGGTGAACAGGACAATACTCCGTGTCCGTCACATGTCTGTTGCGCGATTAGCTTGCTCATAGAGGCTGAGCCATCGTGATGTACGTAGCCTGGCCCTTTGACCACTGCACCACAGCACGGCAAAACGGCACGAATTCAACAAGTCAGCTACTGATCAGTGGATGCTATGTAGGTTGCCGCAACACGCGAAAGGCCTTGCGCGCGTATTCGGTCGGTAGCTGAGAGCATCGCCAAGGTCTTTTTTTTTCCTTCTTCTTTTTAACCCCACATTTCGGATTTATACAAATTCCTTTTCCCAGCCCCCATCCTACAAGCTCTCTCCACCTCTGCCTCAATAACATCTGCCTCATCGTCGCCCATTGTCCCTGCCACGCCCGCTCACCCGCCACCCAGACGATCGCGAAATGCTGCCGCCTGTTGCTGCGGTCTTCAGGGTCGGCGCCCGCCGGGCTGCTTCCCGGGCTCTCTCGCGCATGCCCGTGTCCGCGTCCGCATCGGCATCCGCTCCCGCTCCCGCTCCGAGCTCGGCCCGGAGCCCCAACCGCGCCCTCTCCACCACTCGCGCCCTCGCCGCCGCTTCGTCGCCTACCAGAGACAGGACCCGCGAGATTGTGGCTCAGACTGTTAGCAGCATTGGCAGCAAGCGCGAGGCCAAGCAGTACCTCGAGCTTTTTTCCACCGTCTCCCAAAACTTTGCCGTCATCAAGGTCGGAGGCGCCATTCTTCGGGAGCACCTTGATGAGCTCTGTAGAAGTCTCCTATTTCTCTACGAGCTCGGCCTGTACCCGGTCATTGTTCACGGAGGCGGCCCGCAGCTGAATCGCCTGTTAGAGGCCGAGGGGGTGGAACCTCAATTCCAGGACGGGATAAGAGTAACCGACGCGAAAACCCTCGCTGTCGCCCGGAAGCTCTTCCTGGAAGAGAATCTACGACTCATCGAGCACCTGGACTCCCTTGGCGTTGCGACACGCGCTATAGAGGGGGCTTTCGGGGCAACCTACCTCGACAAGGAGAAGTGGCAGTACGTGGGGAAGATCACCGAGGTCAGGAAGCAAGCCATCGAGAGCAGCATATCCGCCGGGTACGTGCCCATCCTCACTTCAATAGCCGAGGGGGACGATGGCCACCTCTTAAACGTCAATGCGGACGTCGCGGCTGCCGAACTCGCCCGCGCGCTCAAGCCCCTAAAGGTTGTCTACCTGTCCGAGAAGGGAGGCCTGTTCAACGGAGAGGGCAAGAAGATCTCGCAGATCAACCTGGACGAGGAGTTCAACCACCTTATGGCCCAGCCCTTCTGCCGTTACGGAACTCGACTTAAGATCAATCAGATCAAGGCGCTGCTCGACGACCTCCCCCGCAGCTCTAGCGTGGCTATTATCCACCCTAGTGATCTCCAGAAGGAGCTCTTCACGGACTCCGGCGCCGGTACACTGATTCGCCGCGGCGATAAGATCCAGAAGGCCACCTCGATCGACGAATTCGACATTGAGAAGCTCAAGGCTACCCTGGTCGGCAACTGCAGGGGCCTTGATGCCGAGGCCACCGTTGATCGATTCATCGACATGCTCAAGCAGAGGAAGTTTACCGCCTACTACGACAACGCCATGCAGTGCCTGGCTATTGTTATGCCTCAGGATGAAAATCAACCTGTTGCCACCCTGACCACCCTGACTACTACCAAGTCTAGCTGGCTCAGCAATGTTGTGGAGAACATCTTTACCGCGATGAAGAAGGATCACCCTATTCTGGTCTGGACCATCAGCGAGGAGGATGAGAACCTGACCTGGTTCTTTGAAAAGGCCGACGGCAGCTTCCACAAAAACGGCAGTGTCCTCTTCTACTACGGTTGTGACTTGCGCTCCGAGGCTCTTGTCCCCGTATACGAGGACTTTGTGTCCAATGAACGAGCCATGCTCGGCGACGCCAACATTGAGTCGTCTCTCCACGCTCGTCCCGGCCCACTCGTGTAAAATCTGGAGCTACTACATGGATGGCGACGCTATCAACGCCCACACCAGCCCCTCTTCTGCGGACATGAGGGACACGTCGGACCAGTTTTCTGCGCGGGCCCGCATCTCCAGGTCTCAGCAGCACACTGCCTGAGTGCAGGCGAAACAAGTCACATCTCGACATCGATGTTCAACTTTGGTACGTCCCCGGCTGCGAAATTTGGAAGCTTCATGGCTACCAAGAGCACGATCACCTTTGAGAATCTGCTGTTGGGGAACGTCTTCGCGCGGGCATCCTCAAGACCACATCCGAGGGCAATTGTTGACAGTGCCTACAAGCAAGGCAGCTTGCGAGCTTTAGCGTTACTCATCGACCTGTTTGCTGGTTACTGAAATAGATAAGATACTCAATTGCCCGTGCATGCCTCGTGCAACAAGTGCTTTGCTTTGTTCGGCGTGAGTCCTCGAAAAGGACCAAGCTTTCCTCTTGACACGGCCGCGCCAAGTAGACAACCAACCAGCTGAAATCACGCCGACTGGCAACTTGTTAAAAGTCCTGCTTCGGCGGAAGGGGGTTGGATTAACCAATATCGCGCTGCGATCACATCTTTGAGCGGACAGAGTCGAGTGATTTCTTTTGGCCCGGCGCGCTCATGCAATTGAATCCATCAAACCATCGTTGGCTACAAACGCAAACGAATCCGCCAACGGCCAAAGGCTGTAAGTAGCAGCTGACTTGCAATCACTCGGAACAAGGCCAAGGCAGCGAACGTTTGGCACTGATTTAATGCAGTTCATCTGACAATAGGTGATGATTCCATCTCTCAGCTCGCGTCCCTTGGCCCATTGCTCGCCATGAGGGAGCACTGCGGACTTGACAAATACCGAGGCTAGCTGCACAGTCGGTTCCTGGTCGACGTCTTCCTCGTTGTCGTCTTCAACCTCAGCAGACTGAGCAGCAGCCCGCTGTTTCCGCAGCCTGCGGGCCCAGTCACGCGGATGACGACAGTTGGGGCCACGGCTCGGTACGAGAGGGCGAGAGGGCGATGCTCACCGTTGGCGATTGAGGGAGGGCGGAATGGGAAATGCCGGGTTATTGACGAATCCGCGACGGCGACGCACCAAGGGACCCCGACGGGAGGCTCGGACGGGAGGAGGGCGCCGTAATGAAAATGCCTCAGGTGGAACGCTGAACCAGATTGATTGTGCAGGGTTTGAAACACGAGGCTGCGCCGACGAGTCCGGAGAGAGGAGTCCTTTGTGACTGACTGCCTCGGTCTGCGTAAGTTATATGCGTACGCGTACATGTCTAAACCTGGCGAATGAGAGGCGAGCTCGGCATCGCACGTCTTTTTTTTTGACTTTACGAGTTTCAAACTGGCAAATGGATGGCATGTCTGTTATCGACGGCTTGTCTCGACTACTGCACGTCGTCTGCACCTCAGCTATCGTCGCCCGAGTCGACTGGTCGACAGGTGGCTCCTCAGTAGGGCCTAGTATATGATGATTACCGTCATGTCAACTGCAAAGTCCGGGGCACTGGTGCTGAATAGTGGCAGACGGCATGTCGACGGTGCCGGAGCTGGTCTGTTCATACTGTGACAGCCGTGAGTGATCAATGATGCCTTGCTGCAGGACGGAGAACTCACTCACTCAACTCGCTCAATGCCGACTTGCTCGGCAGCTGAACGTCGAGTCTTCGACACTCCGTGCCTCTGCAGTGGTGAAGTCAAGTTGTTTGGCGCGTGGGGGACACGACGAGCATTCATGACTGCATGCGGTGGTGCATGCACACAACAACCAAGCCTCTTGATCGTCCAAGCAAGCCTGCAGCCTACATACAGCCAGTAGCCAGCCGCAGCGAGGAGAAAAGAGAAAGAGAGGGCCCTGTTGGCAAATCCGCAGTCTACCGAGCAACTATATTCTGGCCACTTATCGGTGAAGCCTGTCATCAGCGTGATGAAGGGCGGCTCTGATGGGCAGTCCGGTATGGGGCTGGGGGCTTGGCCGTGGCCGTGACCAACAAATGAGCCCGCGGTTTCGGGGCACAGGGCATGAGAGCATTACCGCAAGGGACAGACAAAGATAGAGGAGAGGCCAAAAAAGAAGGGCGTCGTCGTCAGCCCTCGTCTCGTCTCGCTCGTCCGTTGTCCGCCGGCGCATGGGAGTTGGAGATGCATAAACTGCCGCTTGGCGCACGAATACGCCCTCCCGATTTGCAGATTTCCAAGCAGATTTCAAGAGAGCACACCCATTCATTTTCACTTCATCTCGGTGGTGGGAGGGCCGTCATGTACGTATGACGCGAGAAGAAAGACGGGCAGGAAAGACAAGGTCGTCTGGCGCCGCCGCTTTTTGCCCTCTGCTTCACCCCAGGAAGAGTCAAGCAACAAGACACAAGAAGTACATCTCTCCAATACTATTCTCGTGCTCTCGAATAAACAAGCGCGGCGTGAGTCCCCCTGCCCTCCCTTCCCTTCCCTTCCCGTCCCTTCCCTTGGCGTGCCGCCCGCCGGCTTGGTGCACGTTGAGTGAGCGGCCACTGACCACCGACAACAAGAGCACCAAGACCACCCCGACACCTTTTTTGGACCCGGCCGCGTACGTACAGAGTAGTAGTACACACAAAACAAACACTCAAACTCAGACCCGGCGTGCCTTTTCTTTTGCTCCTGGGTGTGTGGAGATTGGTGTTGGCCGTCTGGCTTTGAGACGCAGGTTAGCAGGGAACGTTTGAACAAAAACCTGACGAGGAGGGAAAAAAAGACAAGAAGAAAAGGGACGACGAGAAACGGGCAAAGGCCGAGTCACAGGTCGGTCTGAGTGAGACCCGGGGGTGGCGCCGGCCAAACCAAAAGCCAAACCGGCTGCCTGGTTTGGGGTTTGCGGTTCCATATCTGAGATTCGTCACTGGCTCTTTTTCCTGTCCTTTGCTTTTGTATTTTCTTGACTCCTGCTCGCGAGTATTCCTGTCCTCTTTCCTTTTCTCTCCTCTCTTTCTCTCGGTTGATTTCTCTGCTTCCTGTCCGTGATACCTGCAGGTTTCTGTTGGGGACAGGCAGTGCAGCCCAGCTGGCACATGGCATGCGTTTGCGTTTGCTCCCGTCTAGACACGGCGGAGTACGCGATCTAATCTGCCACACATTTTTTTTATTTTATTTTTTATACTTTTTACTGTCGTCTTTATTTTTTCGTCGGTTTTTCAACACCCTCTGCCGCCTCTTGCGGGAGGAATGGTCAAGGCCAAGGCCATGGAACGTGCGTGCGTGCGAGAGCTGGATCTGAGCAACTGCGGCCAGACGTCGACTGCCCAGCGTGTCGGGGTCGTGCCGGGGTTGCGCAGCAGTGCAGGTAAGCAAGCACCTTCCTTCCTTCCTTCCTTCCTTCCTTCCTTCCTCTCTTTCTTTCCGCCTCTCTCTTCCCTCTCTCTCCTTGTTGATTTCTCTTCCTTTCCCCCTTCTCCCTCCTGCTTCTGGCCCGCGGCCGATCATGACAGCATTGACTATGCCTCCCCTCGACGCCCCATCCAACCCTGATTCACTTCGATTGGTCGAGCCCCGGTCCCCGACCTCGACATGTCCTGGATCCTGATGTCCTCTCCTCGACGTGCAGGTTTCCGGTCTGAGCGCCCCCTGCGGCAGTCTGGAGCTTGTTTAGGGGGCTGCACGTGCTCGACGTCGCATCATGCTTGCTTGGTCGTGTGGGCATCTTTATCAACTTGAAACCAGCCAGGCGGTGCCCCGACAAGCAAGTTTATCCCGACACTCGTATTTATTGGCCACGAACCAACCGGCAGGCACACCACACACACACACACACACACATACTCCGTACACGTCTTTCTTCCCATGCTTACTTGGCCCTGTCGTACCGTCTGCCTCGGCTAATAATCCACCCTGTAGCATTCTTCATTTTTCTGCGCGCCAATCTCGCCCTGTCCCCGTCAGCACTCTCCTCCAGCCACAACACGCCATATTTGGAACCGTATTGTCCTCAACCACGCCAAGTCCAACCGCCGTCGCCGGCTCCTCAAGCTGTTCCCAATGAAACGCTCGCCCCTCTCGTTGATATCCCTCCCCTGTCGCTCGATGCCCTCGATACTCGAGATGACAAGCTCGACGGCCTCCGCCTCGTCGCTGACTCAGTCTCCGAAATGCGCCATCACGCCCTCAAAGCCGTCGTCTTGCACCCGCTCTGTCTCGCTGCGGCCACAGCCGCATACGTTGCCATATACCAATTCGTTTACATACCGAACAGGGACGCGAGTCGAGCTCTTATGCTTGTCAGCGGCATCACAATGATGTACATGGCCGCCGTCCACGTCCTCGCACGCGGCTATGACACGCTCGCAGAGAGGATAAGCTGTGAGGGCTGGCTGCGCTCCGATTTTGGTGGCGAAGACGACATGGTTCTCGGCGCAAGAATGGGAGAGGAACTCGTGGGCGCCGTCATTGTGCGCCTCGAGCCGAAGCGGACGCCCGCCACCAGGCCCAGGCGCAAGAGCCGCAGCAGAAGCGCGAGTCTACGCGGCGGCAAAGGCGTCATCCGAGCGTGGACAACGAAACCCGAGTGTCGCCGTCAAGGCATCGGCAGAAAGTTACTCGACGAGGCGGTCCGTTTGGTCAGGGACAGATGTGGAAAGGACGCGCAGGTTGGATTTGCGTTCGAGCATGCCAATAGCACCATGCTACTGCCGGCCATGTTTAAGAAGCCGTTTCGAAAGGATGAGGTGCGTGCTGCCATGGCCTTGGAGGGTGCCGTGGCGGATTGGAATCCTGGTAGGAGGAAGAAGAGGTAATGATGATGCTGTGATGTCCAAGAGAACGATCTGTGTGCATGTGTTGCTGATTGATTTTGGATCTCGAACTTGGCGGTTGCTTTTTAGTCATTCCTTGATACCCCAGCCTTCAAATGACATTCGTTAATTTGTGACACGTTCGTCTCATAAACGACTGACTAGCATGCTTCTTGGAGAACTTGTGATTAGTAAGCCAAATGCTCAATATAGCCTCCATGAACAAATAAACAAGGTGAAGCTCATGACCAAGCGAATCCTAGGCAGAAAACCGCGGCTGACGCGCGCCCACACCCACAAGCAACTCAAGCAATACCGTCTCGACAAGATGGAATCGAGCCAATAAAGCCAACTCAACAACGAGAATGTCTCAACCGGGTCTCCCCAACGCCGTGCGGCCTGGCATGGCCACGCACTCGAAGCAAATATAAATCAAAGATGAGGGCAAGCCCAAACATTCCTTGCACCGGCCCTTGAAGAAAAAAAATTTCTTGTAACATGAGCCTTCATCGATGCAAGAACAACACGCGGGCCATCACTTTTTCCTGTCTTGGTCCGAGTCGAACCCGTAAATCGGCCGACCTAGTTTGCGCAACGCAAAAATGACCTACACGTAACGCGAGCTGTCAGCAATTCGGCAACGGCAGGGGACCTTGCACACTATGCACAGGAGGAAGAGGGGGGGGGGCTTACATCGTCGGCTGTGACCGTCTTTGCCTTTCGATACTCGACATACTGCGCGCATATATATAGTATCTTTGGCGTCGTCTCGTCAGCAGACCCGGTCGCATACCTTGGGGGGGAAGTGTCAAGAGTCTAGCCGAGAGCTACCTGCTCGAGTTTGAGGCGCAGGACCTTGCGCGACTCGTCGTATATGTCTGCGGAGATTCGTTTGACGCCCCCTCTGCGGGCGAGTCGCCTGGCGCTGCGTTAGTTGCGGCCGGCTGGCGGGTGCGAAGGGCTCGCGGTGGGAAGTGTACCGGATGGCGGGTTTTGCTGCGGCGCTGTTGGTGATTTGGTTCTGGGTCTGGATCTGTCGACTGGCGGAAGGGTTTTGGGGGGGGGAGGGGGGCCAAAACGTACTGATGCCGTCTATGGTGTCGCGCAAGATTTTACGGCTACAAGAGGCCGCGGGGTTAGATGGGGATTGTGGGTTGGAAGCTTGCCAACACCAGGGGGGCGTTGCTTACTGCCTCACGGCCCTGGCGGTGCTGCTGAAGACGGTTTTTCCGCTGACGCCTTTGGCTGCGTCGCGGCCGGACCGGCCTGGGCCGCCGCGTGCGGGTCGGGTGGGCGGCATTTTTTGTTGCGGGCGGTGTCGTCGATGCCGGTCGGATTGGGGATTGACGATTGACGATTGACGATTGAGCTTTGAGCTCGAGCTTTGAGCTTGAGCTGGTGGAAAGCGAGGCGAGGCGGGATGTGCGGGGGTAATGGATGCGGCCGGGGGGTTGAAGGGGAATAGTTTCTCCGAGCCCGTGCAGCATCGACAAACGGCTCTCGCGTCATGTGACGTCGAAGGTGAGTCGAAAGTGAGGCAAACAGAAGCCACAGAGTCAGTCGGTGGCAGTGATTTGTCGGCCCAACGGCCCGATGAGAGGTGCGAGTTCAAACACAGAGTCAACTTGAAGTCAACTGGGCCTCATCGTTGATGGATTTGGATTCATGGTTGAGCACTTTTATGCGACACGCTCTACTCGATACCCCAAGATCCCGTACGCCGACAACGCCCATGTCTCCCACACCCTGTCGCTGGCGACTCTGCTAGCACGGCCCGAACATGGCCTTCGTCCAAAGCTATCTAATGGTATCAATTCAATTGCTCCCCCTCCCGGGCGCCTTTTTGTTTTTTTGAGATCCCGTCCACATGAGGCCTTGCCAGACGGTTGATGACCAAGAAGAGAAAGAAGATAAGAAGAAAAAGGTAAAGTGAGAGGGCATGATGCGCATCAATAAATAATACAAAACAGCCATGTTATCCGCGACTGTCCACATTGTTGTTGCTGCATGCTTCCAGGGCCGGCAAGTAGTCTCCCCTCGTAGCATGCCAAATTATTACATGTAATGTATCGCATAGGTCAGCAAGCAGGCAAAAACCACGTAAATCAGGGACACGCCCTTGGCGTGCGACTCGTCGCCGTGTTCGAGGAGAAGAGACGTCATCATGGACGCGCTATGCTGCCTTGGTTCAGGACGCCGAGGCTGCAGGAGACCCGTCTTCGATTGCAGCCTCCTCGGCCGTCTCATTGGCCTCTTCAGTGGCCCCGTCGATAGTTTCTTCGGCAACCGGTTCTTGGACAGCCGGCGCTTCCGTCATTGCCTCTTCCACAATAACGGTGTCCTCAGGCTCCTCTGCTTGGGGGTTGGCTTGTGGTTCTGGCTGTTCTTCCTCGGGCTTCGGCGTCTCGGGCGTTGGCGTAGGAGCTGCTGCAGGCGCATCATACACAGCGCGAGGCTTCTTGCTTGGACGCTCCACGTCACCTCCGAGGGCATCCTTGACTGCTTTCAGCTCCAGCTCCAACTCGTCCAGCCGTCGTTTCAAATTATTCTCCCGGCGGTGACTATCCTCGAGCTGGGCCTGCAGCAGGGCAACACTCTCCTGGCTCGCATCCAGCTGCGTTCTGAGCTGCGTCTGTTCGACACCGGCAACTTCTTGGCCGTGTCGGGCGGCTGCTTCTTGTTGCTCGAGTTGGCTTAACCGGCCCCTGAAGAGCTCATTGATGACTTCGAGCTCGCTGACTCTGGTTTTGAGACTAGAGTTGTGAGCAATCAGCTGTTCGTGAGTTTGCGGCGCGTCGCGGTCGCCATTCTCGGAGGTGCCGTTGAAACCAGTTCCCTGGTATGGGTCATCGACCATGAAGGACGGCAGCCCCTGGTTGTACATGGAAGGCGTGCCGGTGCGAGAGATTGGGCAATCAGACCCCTCGTTGCCGTTGGACTTTTGCGACGTTCGACGAATAGCTTGGGCGGCGGCGGCGGCAGCATTCTGTGCAGAAAGGTCGGCACCATTCACGTCGGCGCCGAGACCAAAGTTCTGTGCCTGCTGTTGGTGGGCCTAATCGCAAAGGGAAAAGAGAGAGGAAAAGAAAATGTTAAAATGGTTTGGCGACGGGGTTGAATGCGCAACTGCAGAGTTACCTTCTTCTTGGCCGCAAGATCGGGTCGAATCGTTTTTACGCGATTGCGACTCTTTATAACGTCAGTCTTCAAGGAGATGGGCCGGGGCCGGCCGTGCAGCTTGAGGAAGAGACCGCAGGCATTGCAGAGCACGGAGCCAAATTCATCGCGACGCCACAAGGGAGTCGTCGACGTGGTGCAATTTTGGCACGTCGGCTGCGTGGGCGAAGTGTTAGTGGCCATCATATTGGCGGTGGTGCGCTGGTGAGTGCGTGGGTGATTGCGGGGGGAGATGGCAGGGCGATAAATAAGACTTATCGTGATCGATAAGGCGACGTGCACGACGATGCAGAGAAAAGAAAAACTTTTGGTCTCCCGCACGCGCCCGACTGATAAGACACGATAAGCAAGCCACGTTTGGCGAAAGCGGCCAAGTGGTACAAGGTACTCCGTATACCAGGATGGATGACCCACGATGCAGCACGTGACCCACTCTTATCTGGCGCGATGACGGAGCCATCATGCCCATACCGACAACGAAGCATCGCCTGTAATATGGAACATCCAAAAAAGGCACGTCGTTGCTTTCCGGCTTCGTTGGATGTTGGTGTATGCGATTGGGGCTGGGTGTTGAGGCATCGTGTCGGGGCCGTCAAACTCACCAAATTGCCATTGCCATTCATCGCAGCCGGTGGTGTGGCGCCAGTGTACGTTGGATTCTGCGGCGCCGCGGTAGCTCTAGGTAGAAGTCATCAGCTAGATATTCCGAATGTTGATGCGGCACGCTTGAAAGCGAAAACCAGCGGCTCCGGATCTCTCGACCAGCAAAGCATGCAGCGCCTCCCCCAAGGGGGAAGTCCAAACCGGCATTGAGATGGCTTGGCACATCCCGCGTCTGGGAACAAACCCAAAAAAAAAAAAAAAAAAAAAAAAAAAAAAAGCCTACTTGAGTTGCGGCGGACTCTGCACAGCGTTGCTCACGGCGAGCGCAGAGACGGCAGGGAGCTGCTGCAGATTTGCCGACGCCGAAGTCGAGGTCGAACTGGGCCGCGAGATGGGCTCGACCACTTGTGGTATAGTGCATGGTTCCTCCATGATGCTAATCAGTGTCAGGAACGTCCGTGGGTTCAAGCTATGTTGTTGGACGGAATCCCCAATCAATCGCGGTCAGGGAGCGGGTGGGTGGTCCCGGATCGCGCGCTCACCTCTCGACAGTGAGGTGATGTTGGTCGGGACAGGCGAAGCTCGACAACGCGATACCAGGAGGACTAGGCAGCAACGAAGGAAGTAGGCGGAGCTGAAGAGCGAGTTCGGCGAACGTTGCTTTTCAGGTGAAGCGGAAGGACAAGAATCGCGTTTGAGCCGTGAGCAGTTGTGGTTGTGGCCAACGGCTGAAGGCTGGGCCAATGCTGGAAGGAAGCAGCGGCTCGGGCAACAAGATGCAAGAAAGCAGCTCACGAATGTTGGGGAGAGGAGAAAAACCACGGGGTTTCGAGGGAAAGAAAAGGCACGGTGGCAAAGGTCGTTGGATACGGCATGTCGACTCATGGACATGGACACATGAACTGGGCAAGCAAAAATCGCGAGACGGCGTCGGCATTCGGGGTCAGGACTCAGCAGTGAGCACTGAGCAGCCAGCCAGCAGGTACCTCGTAAACTCGGGTGCTAACCGTGGTCCCGTGCGCCTAAAGCTGTTGGCCCGGTGTGCTGTAATCTGCAATCCTAGCACGGAGTACCGCTGGAATGATTGGCGGCACGGAGGACAAGAGCCCGGACTCCGTACATCGCTTGCCAAGGGCGGCAGAGCGGCAGCCCCACCGCTCGTTCGAATACGATCAATCATCAATTTGACGACGACTGCTACGTACTCAAGTACTCGACGCCTACTCGCTACTTGGCCAGGTACTTACTCGGAGGCGCCCACCCGAATGCTGCGGCTCTGTGGCTGTTGTTCCCAGCAGTGCGGAGCAGCCACTCAAGTACTGCCCAGGTACTCGAGTACCTACCAAGTACCTAGGTAGGTAGTTACTTGGCCTGTAGATGCTCCAGGAACTTACTTAGATAACCCACGTCACGTCAATCGATGCTGGTCTATTTTAGTCTCCGACCCCAGTGCCCGTCTTCTCCCATCCTCATCCTTATACTCCGTAACGTTACTCACTCATCACTCATCCACCTTCTTCTACCTCTGCGTCCTCCGGTTCCTCACGCGCATGCCATCATCCTAAATCCCTCACCCCTCACTCCTCCACTCTTCCTTGCGCACAACACGCTGCCGAGTTTACAATGTTCAGTTGGGCAAAACAACAGTATGTCGGTCTCTTGGCCATCCTCCACGCCGCTTTGCTTCATTCATACTCTACCGAGTCGTGCCGCCGCCGCCGTCCGCCAAACGTGCGTCACGAACCTCGCCAGCTAACCATCTCTTGTTGCTCTTGCTCCGCCATCCTAGGTTGGCCAACGTAGCCGGCACTCAGGAGCCCATCTACGGCCCTTCGGCCATCCGTTCCGTGGCCGAGGAAGCCAACGAGACTCCCTTTACCGAGCTCACCCGCCATGACTTGAAGTGGGTGGCCATGGAGTCGACCTGTGTCGAGACCCAGAGCTTCTACCTGGTGTCGGATGACGGTCACATCGGCCTGGCACAGGTCATCTACAGCAACGTTGCGTATGTCATGTCCGCCCGGGTCCTGCGCAGAAACACGTGTATAGTCACGACAAGTCGCGGTCAGAGTATTTTTACTAACGCGCCTTGCGTCTCAGCGGCGTGCGAACGACTTGCCAGTTCAACTCCAAGGTCTTCTCTAAAGATGCCTCCAAACCCCACCTGTGGTGCTCAAACCCTCTGAACAACTTCGAATTCAACGAGGAAAAGACTTCCTGCTATGCCGACGACTGCGCGCTCGAGCTCTCTGAAGACGGAAATGAATACACCATCAAGAGCATGAACGACCCGAGGTCCATTGTCAACCTCAAGATCACCAGGACTGCCCCCGGCTTCAAGGCCGGCAAGAGCGGCACGACAAAGTATGGCACCGACCTCGAGAACCCCTGGGGAACCTTGCGCCACGCCTTCTGGCCCCGGTGTGCTGCCGAGGGCACCATCACCACTCCTGATGGAGCCATCGACTTCAAGGGTCAGGCCATGTACTCGTTTGCCCTGCAGGGCATGAAGCCACACCACGCCGCCGGCAAATGGAACTTTGCCAACTTCCAGGGCCCCAACTACTCGGCCATCATGATGGAGTTCACAACCCCGCCTTCGTACGGTTCCACACTGGTCAATGTCGGCGGCATCGTGAAGGACGGTCAGATCATCACCGCCGGCCCCGGCCACGAGGCTATCCATACCGACGTAAAGAAGGATTCGGAGAACGAGTGGCCCGAGCCCAGTTCTGTCAAGTTTGAGTGGACGGGCAACAGCACCGACGCCAAGCCCGTCAGCGCCGTCCTGGAGGGCCCTCTAGGAGGCCGGACGGACCGCGTGGATGTCATGGCCGAGGTACCTGGCTTTGTCAAAACGCTCGTCGCCGCCGCCGCCGGTACGAAGCCGTACATTTACCAGGTATGCTGGCGCGGTTTCTCTCTTTTCTCTCTTCTCTTTTTAATTATTTTTTTTCCCACCAAAGAAAAAACCTTGCCCAATCCCGTCAAGCGTAGTTGGAATCCTCAACTAACAAATTGTAGTATACACCAAAGATGACCCTCAAGCTCAAGATTGGGGATGAGCAAATTACCGAAGAGGGCCAGCTATTTATGGAGGCGACGTTTATCACGGAATAAGCTGAAAGCAGCTCACTCGGCCGATTGGGGGTGGAGAATTGACAACTGTAGAGAGATTCAATTACTTGGGCTTCCCAGAAAGGGAAGAAACGACTGCATGCATCACCGTGTTGGGTAACACACTCTCAGAAACGAGAACAGGCGTTGGAGACGGCATTGGTCACTCGCTTTGACATATATAATGCCTTGTTGTTCTTGGCACAACGGCAAAGCTGTTATGTGATTTGCCTTTGTTTTGGCACTATGCGGAGCATTATACAGGTACAAGATTTAATAACGCCTAAGTGGACTTGACTTGAGCATTGTTGCGCGCACGAGGTGAATCGTATGATCAAGACGATGTCGGCAGCCCCGGCGCCTGTGGTGGTCTCGATGAGAGTCTCAGCAGCGAGCATGTTGATGTCAGGGTCTCTTTGCTGTGCACAAGATAGTTTGACGGGCGTTTCCTGAATGATGGACGATGGTGATGCTTGGAAGTCATAACACTAATGCTAATACTCATGGGTGGGGGCTTGGTCCTAATCTATACGGACCCCGGCGGTCATTGCTTCTTCTCTTTTGAATCTCGCCTCTCGACATTGTCATTTGCGGGTGCGCCGTGGAGGTGCTTCTGCGTCTCGTCTCGCCCGTCGGCGTGGAGAAGCGCCCGCTCGACCTGCCATATCGCCCTCTCCAGCTCAATCTCCAGCGCGGGAATGTCCAGCGTCTCCGAGAACGAGCGGACTTGCTCCCGCGTCAACAGCATGCGCTCCCCGGCCGTGTCGCCCGGCGCGGTCGGCGCCACAGGTTTAGGCGCCCGGCGGTAGAGCCCGTCGAGGGTAGGCGACGGCGTGGGCGTCAGCAGCTTCTGCTCGACGAGCCACCGGACGTGTCTGCCGCCGGCGACGGCGCGCCAGTGCGACCAGGCGCGGTACGCGAGGTAGAAGAAGGGCAGGTTGGGTACTCTGTCGTCGCCGCAGTGCCGTGTCAGCAGCAGTTCGGCATGGCCGCGCGATCCCGGCACCGCACACGGGGACGAGGCCCGGGGAAGGGAGAAGGGAGAGGGGGTTAGGGTTAGGGTTAGGGCCGCACTCACATGGGCACCAGGGCAAACGGCAGCGTCATGGGCATCCCGACGAGGCACCAGGCGAGGCGGCGGCGGTGCAGGCCGTCCCTCTCGCCGGCCAGCCGGGCCGCGGCCTCGAGCACGTGCTCCTCGCGCAGGACGCTCCCCGGGAAGACTAGCTGGACCGTCTCGCCGCCCTGCACCTCGTCCTGCTGGCGGCGCGTCGAGAGCGGCGGCACGCTCTTGAGGCCCCATTCCTCGTAGGGGATCCGCCGGAACGCGTGGTTGCCGTAGTCGACTGTCCTCCTCTGCCAGCCGGACGGCTTCTTCTCCCACTCGGCCCATTTGCGCGCGGCCAGGGCGGCGCCGCGGTCGAGCAGCGACGTCTTGTTGGGCGGCGATGACGGCGACGTCGCGTGCAGGCGCTGGGCGTAGAGGAAGGTGCGCCGCGTGGAGAGCGGGAGGAGGAAGATGCGCATGTTTTCTGTGCGGGCGGCACTGCGGACCGAGGACCGAGGACCGAGGAGAGACGGCTCTTTTATTTTTATTTTTATTCCCCGTCTTCGTCTTCGTCTTCGTTTCGTCTTCGCTGTCTGTGTGCCGGTGTTTTCTCGCTTTCTCCGTCGGCCGGCCGGGCTTCTCGCGCTGGCAAGTTGGACGTGCCGCCGTGCTCTTTGCAGGGCGCTGCGCTGGGTGGCTGGCCCGGTTATTCGTCCATGGCGGCGCGAACTGGAGAATCTTCTGAGTCTGCGTCTCGGTCTGGCCGTGAAGCGGCGGCGGGTGCAGGACTGTAGGGCCTGTCGACGAGCAGGGCCTGTGGCTGTGGGTTGAAGGGAGGGAACATTGCAAGCTCCGAGTTTGCGAAGACTGAAGCCAGGCGGTGCGACGTTGGCGCTAGGCGGCGGCCGCGCGCCATGACGACAGACGACGACGACAAGGTCAAGGTCGACTGGACCGGCCGCTGCAGCAGCAATGCGTTCACGTCACGTCTACCAACTACACCGTGGCGCTCCCTGCTCCCTACTCCGTCCTCCCGTGTTCAGTCACGTCATGGCGCAAGGGAATCTCATCTCGGTGCAATCTTGCCTTCCTCTCCTCGAGAGTGTAGATGACCCGACCATTGCTCGCCTACCTGAGCTGACCTGACCATTGCTAGTGGAGACTTTAGTGGAGCCTGAATGTTAAAAGTCACTGCTTAGGGTTAGGGTTAACTCTTGCATATATATTACCTAATTAGGAAAGAGCAATTCATCTGCATTCTCCTACATCCCATATGCGACCATCAGCCAACTGGTCTCCAGAAAACGTCCAACATGTCCGGTATATCCTGATCCGCCATTCCCCGGCCGCCATCCGCCTCCCTCGTTATTCGCTACTCAATCGTCTCGGCATCGCCCACCCACTTGTTCCACTCCTCGTTGGCCAACAGTCGCATCATCGACGCCTCGTCCAGCGTCACCAATATCTCGTAATCCGAATCTCGCTTCCCTGGCAGCACAAGCCCGGCCTCCATACCCCAAATTGGCTGCGAGCGACGCACCGCATCAGCTGTCCTTCCTCGGGAGCTTGACTCGCCCTCGGCCTTCAGCCCCGGAAACCAAAATACATCCTCGGCTCCAAAAAGGCGCCACGAGTTCACAATAAAGTCCCGAGGGGATCGGGAATCAAGATTGAGGCCAATCAATCGAGCATCCTTGGCGGCTCGAAACATGGCCGTCCGTGTCGCCACGAATCCGTCGTCAATAGCGGTTATTGCCGTGTCGATGGAGCACATCAGTCTGCCCAGCTGCTCTTCTTTTGTCGCCGCCGAAACCGACGCCGTTGCGCTTGGCTTCCCGTTAGCAATCGCCAAGTGAGTGTCCATGTCGGCGCAGGTCCTGGCCATGCAAACCCCGTTGCCTGCATATCCAGGCAGTTCGTTTCGGAATGCCCTCCTTGTCCAAGCTACTGGGACGAGAAGACTTGTCTCGCCGGCGACGCCACGCTCATTTTCAATGTACCTATCGACTCGTGCGGCGGTACAGAAGGACCATGTAAGACCCGCCAGACAGGCAAACGTACTAACACGGCTGTCGGTCCAATTTTGCGCCATGGCTCGAAGTGCTCCAATCTTTTCCGGGCTGAACTTGAATATGCGGCCCGTTTTGGTCACGTCGCGAAGCGGTGGATCCCGTTCTGGGCGGTTGTATGGCATGGTTGGTCCCGTCGGCTTGGAAAGAAGGGTGTATTCGGGACATTGCTCCATGAGTTCTTGAAAAGAGAACTTCTCGAGTAAAGCAGCTGTGTGGTAGTTGGGTATGTCCACGTCTATGTCGGTGGGATATTCAGACCTGGCTTGGTGATTCTCGGCGCCGTTTGCAACACCGCTCGCGACAACATCCTCAAGCAAGCTCAAGTACGCAGGATGAGGGCCATCGTTCTTGACGAAAGATTTCTTGGAGACAAGGTTCTTGGCGACCCGGTACCGTACCCTCTTCTTCTTGACGACGCTGTTCTCGGCGACACCGTTCTCGACGCCCGTCTCGTTGCGGAGGGTGAAATCAGCAAAGGTCGAGATGAAGTTGTGTATGCCCTGACCATCCGTAACAGAGTGGTGGATGTAGAAGCACAGCAAGAGTCCGCCGCCTGGGATAACGTGTGCATGAACCACAGTAACAGGTATTTTGATCGTGGTTTCCTTCAAGTTATACGGCAGTCTGAACAAGGGCCCTACAAATGCCTTGCAGGGGAAACCCTGTGCCTTGAGCTCGGGATAGCTCCAGCCAAACGACTCCTCCTTCTCACATTGTCGTCTGTCAAAAAACTTGAAAGTCACTGCATCTTCCTCTGTTACCAAGATGGACATTGTTTTGTCTAACGGGGCACACCATACCGTCCCTGCAAAGTGAGGGAGATGAGAACATGCAAGGCTGAGACTTCGTTGAATGTGAGCGCACAGCTCGCTAAAGTCGCTCAGCTGCTCGTCGATTGGAAAGCAAAACACTTGCTGTACATAGGCTCGCGGTGCAAGCTGGTTACAGGTGCCGAGACTGCGCGAAGACGGGGTATTCATGGCCATGTTCGTCGTGGAATGGTGGCACAGAGGTTCTTTGTTTTGGACTCGGTTTTTGCTGTTTTTTGCTCTGGGGGGTTTTTTTTTTTTTTAATTTTATTCCACGAACCAGATCCAGCACTCTTGTTTCTTGTCTGCGCGCTTTTCGATATGACTCAACGTCTTCTTTGGGCAGAAAAGCTGGACTGTTTCTCGTCGTCGCAGTTTTTCCTTGAGGGGCGGCCCAAGCAACCCGGGCCTGGGGCACGTTCCGTGTCGTTGGTACGGTAGAAGAAGGGGGAAGCTGACAGGTCCAGGCTGTTTTTGTTGGCAGGGGCAAGGAAGCGTCGCTCGCAATATATCACTCTCTGGAGAAGAGGGGGGAACGCAGCCTCGAGCAAAGCAAACGCGAATCAAGCTTGACGTTACTGTGATGCTTGAGGAGGGAGGCAATGATGATGGTGGTGGTGGTGATGATATCCAAAAAAGATGAGGGAAAGAGAGAGGAGACCCCCAGCCAGAGAGAGGTTCCTACGGTCCTTTTTATAGGAATGATCTCGTCAAGACTTCTTCTCATTGCAGCTGTGAATGATCAAGTTCATCACTCTTTGGAGAGACTGGAATTGATTGGAAGCTGCGGCTCAGTCGCGCCTTCCGCGGCACAAAACAGACATTTGTTCGACCGGGCTGCCGAAGCGGAAGGTGCTGCCCAGTCCCGTTTCCACGCCGTCTTCGACGCATGTGCGCAGTCAGTCCACCGTCTTGCAGCCAGCGCTTGCGAGTCAGTCGGCGGCTTCTCGAGGCCTTTTATCAAGAAGCCCCTTCGACGTTGGGCGAGAATCGGGCGACCCGGAGCCGAGAGAGAACCTTGGCAGGGACCCCTACCAACAGTGAGGCCGTCACAGCATCTTGCTGGTTGTCGTTGATGCGCGCCGGCCTTGGTCGCACCGCTTCATTTCCCGGCCCGTGGTTTGGCAGCAATTACAAAGAGCCCTTGTGGAACTCTGCCATGTCACGGTCAACACAGTCCCGGTACTCGGTGACAGTGTGCCAGCCAGCTTTGTGAGTTCTTTGTGACGTTGGGCCGTGCTGTCCTCACCTCTGGGTCCGTGGTCCGTGGTCCGTGGTCCGTGGTCCGTGGTCCGTGGTCCGTGGTGGTCCGTGTTCCGTGATATTTCCGTGTTCCGCCGGTCTCCCTGGTCCCTTGCCCTGTCTTGCCCACAACTGCGAGAACCTACAGGGTAGGTAGGGTAAGTAGAGCGCGAGGCTCGCCCGTTTATTAGAAAACGAAGCAATGGAACAGATGCTGAGCGAGTCGAGTCGCAGCCAGACACCCTTTTTTGAGCTCGGAACGATTATCCACGCCCTGTTCCCGAAACGACATCATGCGTCTGGATCGTGGCGCTTCCGGACGCACCAATATGGGACACAACACAACCCGGACATGTCCTGCGATCCGACTACCAGTGACACGACATGACAACTCGGCCGAGCCAACGGGGAGTGGCTGCGGTTCTCATCGTGTCGATATGCTAAAGTATAACGCCACTCTCTCCAACAACCTCCTGGGCGGATGGTTTAGTGGTATAATACTCCCTTAGCATTCGTGCATTGTCAGATCCGACTGGGAGTGGTCCGGGGTTCGATTCCCCGTCTGTCCATCCGAGGTGGTATCAACCCCACCATTGTACCTCGCTTTTTGCCCTCCTCGTCGTCGAGTTCTCTTTTGAAGCCGTGATTTTTTTTTTCTTTTTTCAAAACGCATTCGCTTCCTCCTTGGCCAGAGCCAACTTGACAAATGACATTCTTGGCAGCCGAGAGACCACGTCTTCTTTGTCGGTGGCGCACAGCGCACCATTTGACGCTCAACTCACAGCTTTCATCAGAAGAGCACGACAAATGTACATTCATCTGGCGACCAGTAGCATTGTCGTGACTCATGTCCCCTCTACTCACGGTTTGCTCCGATCTGCTTTGACCTGCTGCCTGAATTGCGCGACTTTCGGAGCCCGCCATGTCTCTGATCTGTCACATACAGTTCCGCCGTGGTCACTTTGACACCGATTCAACGTGTTTGCCATGTGACCAATGCACAACTTCGTCATTTCCCTTTAGACCATGATATTATTCAAGTACTAGTACGTAGTGCTATCTGCTGCATGAGGCATGTCTCATCCAAGGCACATCTGTCTCTCCATCGTCCGGCCCGATCAGCTAGTGCTTCATCGGCCTTCACCGGGTTTCGGGCTTTCCCTCCGGCTCCTGGTCGACCCCTTGCCCACGATTTTCTCAGCCCATTTCCACGACGATGATGGGCTGAGCCGCTCTTGTTGCGCCCCGCCCTTTGTCGGCTGCGTAGACTGCTGCCTCTGTTTTTCTTTATGCGCTTCGACATCGCTCTCGTCTTCGCTGTCCACCCAGTCTCGTTCACTCCAAGTCATGGAGTCAGCCCTATCTGACGATCCGAGACGAGGCGGCGGCAATGGCAAGAGATCGCCGTCTGACTTCGTCCGCAATTCGGGCACCTCGTCCAGAGCCTCTCGCGCCTCTCGCGCCTCTCGCGCCTCGCTGGTCCCACTGTCGCTTGGTTCTTCCGATGACTCGGGGTTGCCCTCGCCTTCTTGACCAAGTTGGCCCAACTGTTTGACTTCCCGGCCGTCAGCATCGGGAGATCGCTGAGATGCAAATGCCCGCTCTACGTTTGGTTCCTCATCATCTCGCATCCGTGCCGCCTCCGAGTCACTGAAGTGGGCGTCCACCAAATGCTTGACGACAGGCCAGCCGTGAGCATTCGCAAACATACGGCGCACAATGATGTTGTTGTGTGCGTCCGGTTCCAGCTCTACCAGCACCTTTCGCCAGGAAAGATCACGATGATAACCTCGGGCAATCTTTTCCTCTACCCGCATGCTCGAACCGTCCACCACCTCAACCCGATATGTGTCTGGCTTGCTATTGACAGAGTCGTCCTGATCCCTCGCCGACGGCTCCATGGAATCAGCGTGGTTGATTGAAGGATGAGGCGAAGATGAGTCGCTTTGCGTAGACCGCTGCGACGTTGCAGACATCTTCCCCGACGTCCTACGACGGGTAAGAGTTGACGGCCGCTTTTTCATGGGCGGAGGGGGTATATCACTTGGGTGGTATACACGGTCGTGGAAAATTGTTCGGGGACGCTTGGATGGATCAAGCAGGTATTCTTTGCTGGGCAGGCTGGGGTTGAGAAGATCGCCGGCGGATTCGAAGAATGTAGTTTTGGGCGGTGCAGTCATCCCATCCACCTCCTCTTCCATCTCATGCCCTGTCGTCGCTTTGCCAGGTTTTCTGTCGCTCCTGTCAGTGGTGGTGGTGATCGTCGTGGTGGTGGTGGTGGTGGTCGAGTAGGCCGTGTCGCAACCGTTGATCGGTATTGTCTGACCGCGGCGCAGAATCTTCTTTTGTTTTGCAGAAGTCACTTTGGGCCTGGGAGGCTCATTACTCTTGAAGAAATTGAAGAAGCCGGCCAACGGTGGGGCTTGAGCTGCGTCAACACCAGTATCGGATGGAGAATCGTCGTCTCCGTTGAAGGTTCGAGGCACTGACCGGATGCTTGCTCGGTCATCCTCGTCCATGGCATCATCAGAAGGCTGCGGAACCTGGCGCATGCTGCCTATTGGCGTACTTGTTCCGGAGTCACTATGCTGCGTCTGTTCATCCGATGCAAGTCTCTGCTTTTGTCGGGGGGTCAGCATGCTTGTGCCCGTCAACTCTGCCCACCCGAAGCCAACAACAGTTTCGACCAAGCCGGCATCCCGCCGAGCCTTCTCGACACGACCAAGGCCTTGCCAATCCAAGAATAACAGACAGCTTGTGCGAAGAGGGACAATGCCATCATTGACAACATTGGAATAGACTGTTCGATTTCTGAACTTTTTGAGGGCCACATGTGCAGGGCCAGTAGGCAGAATGCGTAGCAGAGGCTTCGACTCAGCTTGCGCCTCGCCGTATACCTTTTTGTGTGCCGACTCTCCCAGGTTGCTTACAATGGCGCCCCATCCACTTCGAGCAATGGTCGGGGCCCTCCAGGTGAGACCAAGATCTTGGCCTGTTCGCCCGACTAGACCAAAGTCAAGTGCAAATTTGACGTAAAGAGGGTTTTCGTTACTCAAGCCGAGAAATGGCGATGCCAAGGCGATGAAGTTGACTGGCTTAATAAGATTAAAGAAATCGGGAGAGTGCTTCTGAATGTATGCGATAGCATACGTCTGGATAAGACCGCCAAGAGAGTGCCCAACGAAGCTAATGCTTGTTATGTTATAATGTCTGCAATAAACGTCCTGCTTAGCTTTGGCAACATGGGCTTGGATGGTGCTATTGTTTTGCGACGCCTTTGCGTCAGGAGAGCCGTGGTGACGGTGGCTGTGGTCGCCTTTCATAGACTCGGCGGGACCCCAAACCGCTCCTTTACCAGTAGGAAGAAAGGGTTGATCGGGATAGGTCATGGAAAGAATATATCTTGACAATCTCTTGCCAAGGTACTTGATCCCCTTTTCGGTTTTAGTAGCGTTTCCCGGATACCCGCGCACAATGACCTCTTCATCGTCGTCGTCGCCCTGCTTTGCATCTTCGAATCTAGGCTCGGTACTGGCTTCCCTCTTGGCCGCTCGTTCCTTTGCCCGCCTAGCCTTGGCATCTATCCGCGCCTGTCTAGCAGCAACGTCAATGCTCTCTTTGATGTATAGCATGTCAGCCCCCAGGTTGCTGTGCAGCCCGTGGGTCAAGATAACTAGGTGGACCTTTTTCTTCTTCTTCCGCTCCCCTACGACACACGATTTGCATTTGTGGCTTCCTGGGTCGGGCGTCTGAACCATGCTTTGCACAGGCTTGTCCGCAGCTGCGGCTTTGCCTTTTTCTTTGCTCACATCGTCCCAGCCCGGGAGTCTCGGAGTGTTCCAGAGCGAAGCTGTATCTTCCACTTTCAGGTGGACGGCTCGAGAGAAGACGCCCTTGGTTTGGGCGGGATGGTGACCGTCCTTGGCGCCGATGCTCTCCTGATAGTCACTGACACGGCCGGGCTGGGGTACGGCGCTTGCATTACCAACAATAGGCAATGATTGGCTTAGATTCAGCGATTTGTGGTCTCGTGCCACGACGAGCTCGAACCCCACGGCAGCCGAGGTCGAGAATATCACTTGTGAGGCAATTTCAATGATCCAGCTAGCGCATTCGTGGTCGTGGTCGTGGCTTTTACCGAACGCGGCATGCCGGCCGACACCGGCAGCCTGACGAATATCGTGTGGAACGACCAGTTCGCAGTCCCACGACCCTCCTGCTTTGAGCATGGGTTCGAATTCGGGGACTCCATAACGGCGGGGATCGGGATATTTCTCATTAGGGTTGTAGTTGGACGGATAAGCTGAGACGGAAAGCGTGTAAGGCCCGTGGACAAATGCGGCGCGCAGCGCAATGGTGGAAGTATTTCGGATTCGGACGTAGAGTTTCTCGGGGGACGGCAGGATCCGATCCTGGGACGGCGTGTAGGTGACGGTGTATCGGACGACTTCGCCAACCTTGACGCTGCCGACCTGGTGCAGGAGGAGCATGGTGAAGTGGTAGGAACGGTTTTGCGACGGGCACACGTTGAGCCCGCAGGCGTAGGTGTCGAGGTTGGTTCAACTCGCCAGGGTTTGAGGGAGAAGAGCAATGTCGTACAGGGAGTTGGGGAGGATGGCTTCAGCCGCAAGCGAGCATCGTAGACGGCGGCACGTGGTCACCTCTGAGGATGCTGATCTGAGAGGCCGACCAGCGACAGCTGCGGCCTGTGCAGCACTGGCAAGGCGCGAGCTGCAGGTGCCCAAGGAGGCGGAGAGGAGAAGGGAGATCTAGCACAGGCTGGCCATGTTGCGAGAGGAATCAGGTTCCTGGCAGGCAGCGAGTTGCGAGTGTGTGCTCCGTAATGTGGAGGAAGATGAGATGTGATGCCAAATTGCCGGTGCCGCCCCGGGTGGTGCGCAATAGGGGGAACGTACGTTGTGGCCTGGTTGACAACTGTTGGAAGTGGGTCTCCCCGGTTTTCCCCCTGAGCAGGCAGGCGGCAGAGCGGGACTCCGGAGAGAATGGCAAGTGCGATGGTCAGCAGCAGCAGCAGCAGCAGCAGCAGCAGCAGACGGAGCATGTCGTCATCCATTCGTCCATCTAGTCCGGAAGAAGGACGGAGGACGGAGGACAATCATGACGGATTGATTACCAACGCAAACTGCTAATACCGAGGAATCAGGACTACCCCTACCCCTACCCCTCCTCCTACAAAAGCATGTCAGACAAACGTTTCACTCCAATACGTTTCAAAAAGTAAAACACAAAGCAAGTAAATCAATCAACAGCGGCACTAAATTTCTAAAATACACATCATCAACTCGTGAGAGCAAAATCTTAGGCATGCCCAACCGTCGACTCCCCATCCGGAATCCCAGGCTCAACAAACGTCCTCCATTGCGAAACCCGACTCATCCCCCGTCCCGTGCCATTCAATCCCGCCAAATCGCTCGACTTGGGTCTGTTTGCCCTGCTCCTGCGCCAGTCAGCTCGTGGCGGGGAATGGACCCTGGCCTCGTCTTCGTAATCCCTCGACATGCGCCGCCCCACGACCCTCTCTGCCCGAGGCGTATACGGCGACATGTTGTACAATTCCGCCTCCCACGTATGGTACCTCAGCCCAAGGGGTGGAAGGAGACCGGGCGCCGCAGGCACCAGTGGAGGAGGCACGCCCATGCCCACTTGGTACATGGGGCCCGCCGCCGGAGGAGACCCAAAGCCGCTTCGAGATTCTGAGAGACGATGTGCCAGTCGTCGTTCTTGAGAAGTTTCCAGACGGCCCCGTGAGCGCCGACTATCACCGTACTCGGGCCTGTCGCGTACTGCTGCCATTTGTCCTTGGGATCTGTAATGTCCACCATGTCTGCGATGCTCATTCATGTAATGCCCTGCTGGGCTTCCGATACCGTGGATATCTCCCAACCCGCCTGTCATAGTGTAACTGTTCCTGTCGTAGTCCTCGGTATACTGCAAGTGAAAAGCGAAGTCGGCGTCCTGTGCTTCTTGCAGTTGTCGCATTCCCATTTCCTCCTGGTACGTCCTTGGTCTTCGACGACCTGCCGTCATCATAGGAGGAGATTCTTCTTGCCGTCGTGGTTCAATTCCTGCAGGTGCGCCGTCACCAGAAAATATATCACCTGGATCGGCTCTGATACCAGGAATTGGAATGTTCATATGATTTAAACGGTCCGCGCGGCGGTCGTCGTCAGTGAACCAGGGACAATCGCAATTTTTCCACTTTATGCCGCATATCATGCAAAATTCGGCGCCGCAGAGACTACACATTCTTAACAAAAGTTCACATCTCCCTCGAAGCAAAAAAAAAAAAAAAAAGTTCACCATGTCATATGGTTACAACCCTCTTTCAGTTCTACCAAGGCCTTGCACTTATAGCAGCGCTTCCATCCTTCTTCTTTTGCCTGGGCAAGAAGATCCACCGTCTCTTGGTCGTTCGGACATGGCGAAGCTCCATGCCATCGGGTATTGCAAGCGCAACATACCTTGGTTCTGCATCTACTACACTTTCCTACCTTGCGGCCCTCCTCGCGACGAATATTAGACGGCTTGATCCATTCTCCGCACTTTGGGGAAGGGCAGTAAACCCGATTCTTGGTCGAGTATTCTGCGAATTTACGATTCCAAGTCTTCTTGAAATCGTGGTCAAAAAACCGTTCGACGTGCTTTAACGGAATGTAATCTGCCGTGCAGCATCGAGGAGGCATGTGTTGCGGATCCGTGATGGAAAGCCTAAAGTTTCGTTCAAGGCATGGCCGGCACATGTAGTGGTCGCATCTTAGCTTGGGGGCCTTGGATGCTGAGACGTCTCCCATGCAGACCACACACTGGACCCTGCTTTTTTGATTTAGTTTCGTTCTTTCCGATTTGCGTGACTCCAGCATCGTGAAAAAACTGACCTTTTCCCTGGCACCTTTGTTTCCTTGACGCGCTTGTCTGGACTTTCCTGTCGCCGCGCCGCCTGCGCTCCGAATATACTCCCAATGATACTGGTTGCACCGCCCGATGCTGACCCAGCCCTGGCTCGGCTGGATCTTCGAGACTTGGGCAGGTCAATCTGTATCACCTCGGCTGATCTGTGACGTCTGTGAACCTGCGACCTGCGACCAAAATGGTTAGAACTTGGACACAACACAGTCCTTCATAGCTTGTGACATGCCTTCTCGACGAGATCGGCGGCCGCGAATGTTCAATCACATCAGGTACTTGATAGATCCTCTCGCGACGAGACGAAACACTGCGGTCCGGTGTTCTTGAGGCGTGGGCTGCGGAGCCACCTTCGCTTGCAGCATAGTACCTTCGCGATCCGCTATCTTCGTCCGCATACGGCCTCCTCCTCCGCCTCCTCCTACGATCTTTCCAATCCGAAGACGACTCGATATACTCATCTCGGCTTGACTGACGACGCTCTTTACACCCGACCGGCTCCTCGGCGATCTCCTCGACGACCTCTATGTGATCGTCGTCATAGTCGTCTCCATACGCTAGCCCGCTTGTGGCTGAAGAACGAGCCGAGTACTCTGCTCCTCCTCCTCTCGCCCTTCCATATTCCGGAAATACATCTCTTGCCGAATGCCTCCTCGCAAGTGGTACCCCGTAGCGACTGTCTGGAGCGAGGCAATGAACAGGTCTTCGATAGGAGGCATCTGTTGCAGACCTTGTTAAGCCAATTGCAGGCACTGGCACTGGCACTGGCGCTGGGGGCAGGGGCATGGTTGGGGAGGCAGAAGCAGCAAAGTACTCGTTTGTCTCGGGGCTTCTCCAAGTTGAATAGCGTCGTCGTCGAGACGTCGTCCTACGCGGAGAGCTATGTACCTCGTCGACAGCATGGGGCAGCGAACCGGGCGACTGGTCAGGCCGCACTCTGATGTCGGGAATACGGTCGTCGTACCGTCTTGGTCGACGGGGGATACGATGGCCGTCCACATCGTCTAGGTTCGAGACCCGCCTCATTCTCCGAGCAGCCCAGGCCGTGGGATTGTTGGGTTTTAGGCCGTTAAGAAAGATGTATGCTGCTGGCTTCGGGCAACCATGGGCTGTATATTCCTCCACGACCCCGGCCAGTATGTCGATTGATTATGCACGCACTATCCCGTCTGCCGGCTCTGGTTGGTGAGTAGTCGAGTACGTTGACGTGGGAAGCGAAGAATATGCCAAGTACGAGCGAATAGATAGTAAGCCCAGGCGCCGGCAGACCAGTCGGGGGTTGTCTTGCCTGCATCAAGCAAGCTGCTGCAGCATAAGTCGATGATTGGGGTTGGGCAAGGCGGGTGGCGCATTATAAGGCTTTGCCGAGCAGCAAAGCGCGCAGGGGAACACACGCCGAATGCGAAAGAAGAAGACGAGCAATATTGCCGCATGCGAGCTTTGACTCTCTCTTGGTTTGGCGGCAGTGTGGTGTCGGGCCGCTACGCTATGATGTCCTCGGGCTGTGAAGAATGTTGGATGACGGCGAGGTTTCTCGTCCGGGCCGTCTGTGAGGCAGCCGTTCCACGCTCCCGCCAAGCCAAGCCCAGGCGCGACACTCAGGACACAACAAGACGGGGTGATTAGGCGAGCTTGGCGACCTGGACAAAAGTGGCATGTTCAAGTGAGCAACCAGCAGGTCGTGGAGGGTGACGGTGACGGTGTGCCTCGCAAGTTGGGTCAAGTGCTCGACGTGGGTGGTTGCTGGGCCGGGGCGGTTCTGGTCGTGGTCGGGGTGCGCTGAGATGTGAATGAATAACGGGAGCTTGAACTTTGGGCACGAAGAAGCATTGGACAGTGTGTCGAATGCACATCAAACATCAAATGCAAGACAAGTCTCTGTTCGCTCAGACTCAGCCGCCGGCGTCACCAGCGTTATCGTGCCACGAGCCTGCCGATGAAAAAAATCTGGTGCTGATGTGATGAGGCGCCGCTGTTCGCTCGCGCCTGCCCGTGCAGTCAGTCGGATGGGGGTGGCTGCTCCTTCCTCCAGCCGGAAGAAACAAAGGGTGGTGGTTGGCTGGGTCAAATGCCAAGGTTCAAGGGTGGGTGGTTGGTCGACCGTCGTGGACGCTTGCCTGCTTGCCTGCTTGCCTGCTTGCCTGCTTGCCTGCTTGCTTGCTTCCTTCCTTCCTTCCTTCCTTCCTCCTCTCAGCCGTCACGTGCAAACGACGTCACGGCTCCGTTGCTGAGCTGGCAGAGGCAGGCTGTGAAACCCAACCCACTCGTCCCCTCCCAGAAGAAGAAAAACTGCCAGAATATCCCTCACCTGTTTGTTTGATCACGGAGTCGCGTACTCCATACTCCGTGGGACCAGGCCAGCCACACTTCGTGGGCCTCTTCGGCACGGACTGGCCTCCATGACCTGGCTGAGCCTGCCAGTCCGAAGGCCCTGACTGCTCTTCACGTGGACCCTGCAACCAGCAGGAAGGCAGGAACCGACGACCCGACGACCCTGTTGCCCGAGTCTGGCTCAGCTCAGGGGATGAGCATTTTGTGGACGTGGCGTGGGGGCCGCGGCCCGGGCCTCGAGTGGGTCCAAGGGGGCTCCCATGCAACGGAGCGGCGGCCGCCGGAGAGACGAGACGAGACCCGGCCGTGTCTCCTCAGACTCATGTTGACGAGATCGATGCCGGTTCCGTCACGCTCCATCGGCAATGGAAATGCCCGCCCGTGCAACTACCAACATAACCCCAGCGCGCAGGCAGTCCCCGTACCCTCCAAGCACCTCTATTCCAAGTCTCTCCGCTCATTGGGCTAGGTATACCACAACCTAGAAGCGAGCCCCATCTCTTTCCTGGCCGGCAGCGCGTAATGTGTCCGTAGTCTTTTGCTTCCAATCCTCCAGGCGGATTTATTTACAGGGGACAAGGTCGACATCAGAAGCGTCACCGAAAGTTGTAATAGACTTACTGCCAAGACTACATGCTGTCATTTACATCATCGCCCAAGGTACGTCTAGGGGTCGGCCGCCTTGGTGTGGCCGTCAAGAAGACAGCCTGTCTCACCTCCAACAGCGCTTCGAGTAACTCGGCGAAAGCCTCCAGGGACCTGCGTGCAAAGATGCAATGCCAAAATGAACCGGGAGACCAGGTCCAGGGAGCTTGGCATAGTTGACGCGGCCGTGCTGAGGCGAGCCGCAGCTAGTATTACGCAGGTTTTGTTGGGTAATTTCCGACAGCTCCAGAACAAGCCCGTCCTGCTCACTCACGGCTCGGCATCACCATCATCACGCCCTTGAAAATGCTTTCAAGCTCAACGTTCTCCTCAAACTGCACATACTTTCGAGTCGCAAAAGACGAAACTCTGCAACCAAGTCACTTTCAAGTAATGACGTACTTCAGTATTTCCTTACCGCAAGTTCCAGGGAATCGTGTCAGGAGCCACCAGGAGAACCTGCAGCTTGGTGCACGTGGTCCAGAGCAGATCCCAAGCCTTGAAGAGCCAAACGAAGCAGAGCAATCACGCCGTCGAATCCTCCAGCACGGTCATGTTTCGTCGCTCATCAAATCCGCAAAGCGTAGCCAACCCGACGGTTCCCATGGAGCACACTATATGCGAGGCCGGCACTCCATTCATGCCAGAATCTGGCACCTGCCACCGCTGCCTGCTTGACATGAATGCTCGTGGTGGCGCCTGGAAATCCCCGAACAGCCCCCCAGAGTGCCGGCTTTGTTTATGCAAAGTTGATGAGAAAAACTCACTCTGTAAACAGCCTCCCGGCTACCTGCGAGTGCGGTTGCTTTGAGAGAGTTCGCGGTGACGGCGAAGTCTTCGCTAGACTTTTTCAGCGCCCAGTGGGGGGCGATGACGAATTTTCCGGTGGGACGTAGCAAGGCCTGGCGAGGATGACGGAGCGTCTTGGAAAATCTCCCTACTATTTACTTACAAGCTACTGTCTCATACCGACATCCATGTACCTTGTACCTCGATTCAAATCGTCGACGTTGGGTGCTGCCCCGCCCAAGCTGCAAGCGAGCGAGCCGAATCAACCGCCGGCGCGGGGACTCCCGGCGGCTCCCGGCGGCTCTTGGCGGCTTCCGCTCCGCCCGTGCCCCACCTTGTCCATGCTGGACAGAACTGTCGACTTGGCGCAGCCAAAACACTCAAGTAGGCAAACCCGTCCTGAACAGACCGTTGTCGACAAAGGGAGAGAGGCAGCTGGCTTTGCTTTTCCCTTCTCGAATCCAACTCGCAGTGATTGGAAACCAGACCTCTAGACCTTATTCATCTGCCGCCAAACAGTATGCTGTTCATTCCGCGCCAACACCAGACGCCTTACCAACCAACCAGAGCTTCGTTAATTTTTGTCGAGAACATTGCACCTGCTTCTTAGCAAGGCGAACCACTGATCGAAATCAGTCATGCATTGCGGCTCCACAGGGGGGTGCATTGTGATATGCTAGCTGCATTCACCATGGGGCCTCACCCTGTACCTTGGTTGCTCCGTTAAAAAATGAGGGACATAAGGATGAGCATGCGGCCACAGCCCGAGACCGGAGACCAGAGACACACAACTGAATGGTATATTTGCCACCCAATGACTCGCGCTCTATCACTTGGTTTTGCTGTCTTCACGTTGCCACACCGCAACTCACAAAGTTGAACAAACAGCGCCGCCGACACCAGAGCCCCCTTTCTGGTTGTTTCACCTGTATCATATTCTCGTCTTTTCCATTTCGTTTCCCACAGACAAAAGCTAGCTTTGTACCATGTCCTATGTCGGATTCTATTTCCATCCAAGTCATCCTCGATTCCGCCTCTTTCCTCTTTTTTTTTTTCCTTTCTAGTCTCCCTTCAAGTTTCAGTGTCGAATTCTTGCGCCGCTGGCGTTGCAGAGCCTTTTGAACGGGACATACTATATGGTGCCTGTACCCCCATGTTAGTCATCACCACATCCATCACTTCATAGCTATACAACTTACCAGAACTTCCTTGGCGTTACAGATTCTCCAGGCTAGTTTCCGTACGTTTCCATCTGCCAACACCACAACTGGCGCAAAATCAACCCCAAACATTTCTCGAATGGCATATACTATCCTCTTGGCATATTTGCCATCACGCTCGACATGGCTACCAAATGCTTCATCGATAGTGCATGGAGCAATATCGGGGTCTCTATCCAGACAGTTCCGGACAACCGGCAGGATAGACGCCTCGACTGCTTCGGCGTACATGCCCTTGGAATCGATATCAGCATCATTCTCTGCAAACTGCGAAATGCGAATCTCAAAGGGCTCGGATATGGACATGGCAATATGCTTGCCATTATGGTGGTATCGGAATTCGAAAACACCCTGCGTCCACCATAGCTTGTCTCCACTGAATTCCACCTCACCCTCTACCATGTCTGGCTCAGACGAGTCGCCTTTGGGACAAGGATGCTCCGAGGTCACTATGCTCCGGTCAGCGGTCAAGGCGTCATAGACGCCTTCGTTCGTGGGAGCCCAGCGTCCAAGGGACGGCACCTCGGTAGCCTCTCTGGACCGGTTATCCGTAACCATGTACAGGCCAATCCAATCCTTTTCGCTGTGGTTTGCCGGTGCCCTCCACTTGACTCTCAAGGGAGTGCCATACTCAAATGCCGTGGTCTTGACGGGCTTGGGAAACCGCCCGGTGAGACTCTCCTTGCCCGTGGCTCTATCATGAATATTTGTCAGGGAAGACGGCGTGCCTTGCACGGAGAGCGAGTACAGCTTCGGGTCCAGGCCAGCCACATCAGCAGAAATCTTGGTCAGAGTGATACGAGCCGGTGCGATGTTGAAGAAAGCAGACGTATCTCGCACAATGGTCTTGACACCGGAAGCAAACTTGGGGCGAGCGGTATCAATGAAGTCTTCTACGAAATGAGTGGTATCGTCGAGGACCTTGTCGACACTCGCTTGCCAGCCTTTCACCGGAGGTGGCAAGGAACGCTTGATAAACTTGGTGAGACCAGCCTCTCCACGCATGCTTCTGCCGTAGATCTTTTGCATGTGTGGTCTCTCGACGTACGAGATGTAATACAGAGTAAGCAGTTGTGCTACAAGAGCCATGATGAAGATGGCCCTGCTCCAGGTAATGAGTGCGCCGCCCCATGCACCAGCCGTTCCAAAGATCCTTTCCGGGTTGTTGAGAAATCGATAGATGGATGTGTACGTGAGCTTAGCCTCTTGGTCCCAGAAGAAATCACCGCAGAACCAGCCGAATTCGCCCAACGAGTCATAGACGCTGAAGGCAGTCCATAGTTGAAGGGCAATCAAGCCGCCACCCATGACGTGTTTTAGAAGCACAAGGCCATAGCCCCAGTCCGCTGGCATGGAGTACATCTTGTAGCAGGCCGCAACAAAGGACGCGTTGCACATGATCATGCTGATATGATGCAGGCCCTTCCATTGCCGCCACGCCTCGCCTGCACTTTCACCATATTTGAGAAAGTGACGGGTCCACATTTTGGTTTTGGACTGCTTGTCAAGAATAATGCTTAGCCCCAGGTGATACCAGACACGCCACAAGAGTGCGTGAGCTACGAAGAAGGCCTGCCAAGCTGGCGTCGTTGGGGTCGCCAGAGTGAGGATGGCTACATACATGGGCAGGAGGACAACCATGGAGTCTGGCACTCTGAAAAGATCCATGTTGCTGAAGCCAACCATGTTGTGAACCGGGACTGGTGGCTCTTGCGTAGGCATCTTGGTGGTAGAAGCCGAGCGGTTGATGACGTTGTGGTCGGGCATGTCGAGACTCACATTGGAATCGCTCTGCAGCCGGGAAACGTCTCTCTTCCTCGGTGTAGGAGGATTGTAGATTTTTGCGATGTGAGGATTTTCCACAGTCACCAGGAAGGCGAACTGTGCGGCATGGGCGATGATGGAGATGAAGAGGACCTCGTAGCTGGCCGCCATCATGGAGATGCCGTAGTATCCAGCATAGCCGATCGAGTACATGGGGTGCGGCGCCATTTCGAACACGCCGTCAAAGGTAAGGTCTTGGTCGATGAGATAGAAGAAATCACCCCAGTACCACGCAAAGTCCTTGACGACTCTGTGGGCATCCAGCTTCACCCAGAGATTGAATCCAACCAAGGCAATACCCAGGGCCCAGCGAGTAGCACAAACAAGAATGTTCTCCGCTTCCGGGGTGTGGCCACAGACCATAGCAAACAGGCAATACGACACGAAGTCACACATCAAGATCAAGTCAACAACCCGCCGGAAGACCAACCATGTGTTGTACTCCAGAGGCGCCTTCTCGAAGTCGTAATCTTCTGGTATTTTTGCTTCGAGTTCTCGTTTGAGGAGGTTGTAAAGCCAAGGTCGAGGGTTCTTGCCTGATCTGGGATCTTCGAAGAGCTTCCATCGTTTGGCCCACGTTATCAGACGTCGATGGTGGGACTGAATATGTAACAACACACCGATTCCAACATTGTAGCAGCCTCTCCAGAACAGAAAAGTGATTGCGAAGACAGGTCGCTTCCATCCGGTTGGTAGAGAGTAGGCAACTAAAATCATCAAGCCCAGGATGCCGAGAACAACGGCGTCTGACAGATTTTTGGGCTGTCGTGGGTCCAGAAGCTGCGAAACCATGTCATGGGTAGTTGGCACAATGAAAACTGCCAGATGGAACAACACGTTAGCTCTAGTGTCTGCACTAATAAAACGACGGCTTACCTGTGCCGTCCGGGGTTCGCCCATAGGTCTTTGGGTTGGACTTGGGCTTGCCATGGTCCGGGGCGGTTTTGGTGGCCAGACTTTCTGAAGTAACAGACTGTGCTGGGTCAGCGACACTGGGAAACCCATTCGTCTGTCTTTGACGGAGCTCAGACGCTTCGGCGTCGACGGCGTGGCTGTTACTCATGGCTTGAATGAACGCCTAGAAGAATTGCCCACGAAGCATGAGAGAGTACGTCCGGGAGAAAAGGAATGCGAGAGAACCGACTAGTTGACCGACAACAAGGAGAATGAGGGATTCCGCCGAGTAGACGATACTGCAATTATCTCTTCGGGTATGGTTGCAGAGCTTCGAGTTGCTACTTTAGTAGTCGAACTTGAACGTTGAAGAGGCTGCTCGCACAGGCAGGCAGAGCTTCCAAACCTACACTCCGGCACACAGATCGAGCCAGGTCAGGGTATTGTTGCGGGAGAAGGAAGTTTCTGGTGCGTTTTATTGGCTTCGGCACAATGCGTCATGAGTGCGTGAAAGATGCAAGTCGAATATGCGCGTCTGGGCGGATGTCGCCAAATCAGGCCGGTAACGGCTGCAGGTGCGAGCAATCAACGTGCAAATGCGGCGCAAGATTGACAAGCCACCGTTCTTACTGGGCGAGTGATGTCAGAAGAACAAGAGACGCTGTTATTCATGTGCGGACAGCCATGTGGCTAGCAATATCTCGGTCTCTATCAGAACATGGGTTTCGAAGGTTGCGAGAGCTCAAGTCGGGGAGGTTGGAGGGCTCCAAGACCAGTTCATTGGATTGACGGAAGGTGGGCCTGGGGTGCCACCGCATGAGCAACCCGGCGGCACCTTCCATGCTTCATGCAGAGCCAACAGTCAACAGTCCCTATCCCGTGCTTTTCCGCACCACACTCGGAGCGAAGAAGATGCTGCGAACCCAAAGGCACATGTGAAACCTCAGCGAGATGCAATACTATCAGTTCTCAGTCATGCCTGTCTCGAGGCTAGCGTCGAGCCACGGAGTACGGAGTATGGGCTCGTATAATGATCTGGGCGACGGCTCGACGGCATGCGGTGATGGTGTTTCCCCGCCCTGCAGCGCCCCAATTCCACATGTGCACTGGCCAGTTGGTGGTTGACCCGGCGGTAGCTGCAGCGGCCCTTTGTCTTCAATCTACGCTGAACAACACACCAAAACCCGTCTTTACAGGCCAAAAATCTGACCGAGAAACAACTCTTTTGATTAAAATTTTTTTAATGTTTTTCAACCAGAAAGCCCTTGCTGCTTATTGGTTGGGGGTGGCATTTCACTTGTCACTTTTTTTGTTCTTACCAAGACTCCCGCCATTTACCGAGCTTTTGCCCAGCTAACAACGCGGCGACGAAAGCGGCCTTCTCTGTCCAACCAATCAAAGGCTTCCACTCATAGTAGCAACTCTGCGATGGTTTCCCAACAACAAATATTTACGTACTTACCCCCGTGTTACTCCACATATTAGTTACCATTTTCAACTACCCACCATCCAGGACGTCAAACCTCAAGGCGTGGACATGAACCAGTAGGAGCAGTACTCCCGACTCCCGCCATGAAGCCTAGGTGCTTATTCGGTATTCGACCACTCCGCCACTCTCAAGTCGTGTAAATTCCTCCACCAAAGTTAAAAAGCCAGCGACCCCCTCCCAGCAATGCCTCCGTTGAGCAAACACGATATCTGGTCACTTCGCTCACTAACTCGCCATCGAGTTTACTGCTGCGGGGCCGCATAGAGCTTCCCGAAGAGGGGGGTTCTGTCTGTGGTGCGGCAGAGCTGTAAACTTTTTTTATTCATTTATTTATTCATTCCTCATTGATCGGAGAACCTCCGATCGGACGGGCTTTTGTGCTTAGCATTTAAACTATGCCCTTCGACTCTGGCGCCGATCTTTCCTGGTTTTCCTGGCAACATGGGCCGCGGGATCAAGAATTCCATCCGTCTCGATGCAGACAGGACCAGCTATCGTGCCCCGCTCGACCCGTGCCCGTCTAGAACGAACCACATGACATTTAGAAGGCTCAGTCGTGGCTTGCCGACAGTCCGGAAACATACCTGTTGAGCATACTGCAAGACTAGGCGTGGCCGAAGAACATCCATCTCATGTGGTAATGTGCATGCACGGAAAAAGCAGTCATGGTCATGGATGGTGCAGTCATGGTGATAAAACACAAGGCCGCAATGTACATTAACCGCAGATTCCTCGTGTCCCTACGACAACAGAAACAGTCTACTGAGCCTTCTTGGCAAACTCGACTCTGAGAATAAGATGCTTGAAACCAAATCCATCCATCTTGCTGCATGCCTTGACGGCATCTCCACGGTCTGCGAAGCTGATAAAAGCGAATCCTTTAGCCATGCCAGTTTCCCTGTCCTTAGCGAGGAACACCCTGGTGACTCTTCCAAATCGCTCAAACATATCCCGTAACTCCGACTCCTCTGCCATCTCGGAAACCTGTCGAGGACGTTAGCAATGCGCCGTATGAATGAAAAAAGCAGCAGGCGGGCATCCCACGGGGGCACACATACGTTGGTGACGCGAAGGGTGGCAAAGTCGTCTCTCTCGCCGTACTTGGATCCTCCCATGCGCTCGCCAGCGGCTCCGGCACGATCGCCACGCAGAGCAGGAGGAACGTAGGAGCCCTTCTTGGCAGCACCGCCGGCACCAGATGGTGCGGGCTCGTCGCCCATGCCGGCGGCGACGTCTGCGGCGCCATTCTCCCCAATGGGTGCCATGGTGTCCTTGTACGGGCATCTGGCTGTGAAATGTTCGCCATTGCAAATACGGCACTTGACCTTCTTGTCCTTGAGCTTGTCCTTCATAGACTGCGTGTCGGGGTCCTGGCTCTCGTCCTTGGCATCCTTGCGCCAGTTGACGCTAGGTCGGAAGATGATATTCTCACCGACTGATGTGGTATCGGGGGCAGGGCCGGCGCCGTCCTTTTGGCTGAGGCCAAACTTGGACCAAGTCGTTCTATTGGCAACCCGGGGGTTGACAGTCTCCTTGAGGGTGACATAGCGAATTCTGCGGGTTGTCTTTACTTTCTGGCCTTGATCGTTGTATCGGAATGTGATGATGGTCTTTGTTCCGTCCTTGTTGGAGATGGTCTGGGGAGGAGGAAGGTCGGTGGTCTCCTCGACGTCGTCGTCGGCCCAGTCATGCCTATTTCGGGTGTGGGGGTTAGATATGCGAAGACAAGGCTGGCGATGCTTCTCTGCCGAGTTACTCACCTCGGCTTCGGGGGTGCCGTCGTAGCCATGATCTCCAGGTTGAAAGTTCCGGCCTCTATGTTTCTTTTGCGCCGCAGTCGTAATCCAGGTATTTTCTGAACGTAATTTGGCGCCTTGAGGCTGGTCGTTGCGATCGTGGGGTTTCGTAGACATGGACGAATTTCTCACTTTTCGTGGGCTGAGTGGTTTGTCGTTGTGGGGCGAAAAGTCCGATCACAGAGAGTGTGGCTGATGTGGCTGATGTGGCTGATGTGGCTGATGTGGCTGATGTGGCTGATGTGGCTGGTGAGGCATACGTGACCGACCTGTCTTGGGCGAAGGGCAGGAGAAGGTTGCTTTCGGTCCATGATGTAGAAAGAGAATACAACTGGGACTGAAACCGGATCGACTGTTATTGGAGTGTCAAAGTATGCGAATTTTTTTAAATTTTTTTTTTTTTTTGCAGTGTATACGATGCTAAATCATTGTCGACAAAGTTGGTGAAGCTACTATCAAACAGTTAAAGGATATCGTGCATTTGGACGAGCAAAGGACGGATGTGGCACTGAATATTTTGATTTTGGGTTCGTCAAGGACAATAATCACCTTCCCCGTCAAAAAAGGCCTTGTCATCTCGGGTATCAGTAACCATCGTCGCAAAGTCGGAGAGTCAATCGCCACCAAGCTCGTGTCCATCGAAGTGGCAAGGCTTGGCCAAGAGCGGCACAGCCAGCAACCACGTAATCAGTAGTCCGCGTCCTCCGTAATCTGAGGGACGCCCCGCGTGGCGTCCGAGTCTGGTTCGTCCGTGACGCGCGGGCAGTCTCGACCAGCTCTGATAAATTTCGAGGCGCGGCCTTCTTGGCCACTCAGCTCTGTGCCACCTGTTGGGCCTGGCATTTTTCTTTTCTCCTCACTCAACATCCTTTACTGTTATTCCTTGTGCTGCGTTCATAATAGCCACTTAGGCCTCCTTGCCCAATCCATCCGCAGACGCGCGCGAAATCTTCAGCCGACGATCCTCCGTATCGACAGTCATCAAACAAATATCATCGACATGAGCAACAAAGGCCACGAGCCTCCTCCATACGGTGGTGCTCCTCCACCCGTGGCACCGAAGCCTTCATACGGCGGTGGTCAGCCAGCGCCTTTCCCAGATGACCAGCAGCGCGGCTATCAGCAGCCATATCATCAGCAGCAGCAGCCATACTACCAACCTGGTCCTCAGATGGGCTATTACAATCAACAACAAGGACCGTACCCCCCAGCGCAATATGGACCTCCCCAGGGCCAATTCCAGCCCGGCGGTTACCAACCATATCAGACCTATCAGCCTCAACAAAGACAAGACAAATCCGCTGGCATCATGACCGGTTTATTGGCCGGCCTGGCATGCTGCTGCTGCTTAGACTGCCTTTTCTAACCGGCGCGTTTCCCTCACGCCTGAGTAAAAGAATAGAGGGAAGTCACCGGCCGACGACTAAGCCGTTGCAGTACTGCAATTGCGCGTACAACAATAAAACTCAAAGACCATAAAGGAAGGGAGGGATACGTGATGATAATTATTCATTGATTGCCCATCAGGACCCGGCAGCTTGCCCTGCTGATCTGACCTTTGAAAGTTTTCGAACGCGTTGATATCTGTGGTACGCGGAATACATTGGTTTTGGAGTGTGGCAATGGGGCCCGAGCTGCAAGACATGTTCGATTTGGATACACACGTTTTTCTTTATCGGCGTTGGTGTTGGGAATAGAGCGCGCCGTCGGGGCACCTATAGGATTGTTCTTGCTCGAATTATTATCACGCTGTATTTTGTGCAGTCTTGTGCGCATTCGTACACGTGAATGTTTCTGTTCTTCAGCTTCAATATACCTACTTTTCGTATACGGTAGATATGACGTGACACGGTTTGTTCGGGTGTACCAATGAAAACAAGAGCAAGTCGAATTGAATATTTCAATTCGAGCTCTCGTGCAAGTACTGAGCGGGCAGTATTAGTATGTCCCTGCTCCGGCTTGACAGGGACGGGTGATGCCCCGGGACTTCTTTGTGTGGCACATGGGGTGAGCGCATGTTTTATGTAGAATCGTACTGATTGTTTGCCTGTTTCCAGGCAAGGACTGATTGATTGTCTGTGCGCTTTGGATAATGATAGAGGTTGAATATGACTATGTGCCACGACAAAGATGCCTGATACCTATCCATGCGTGTGATAGTTAGACGGGCCGGGCATCCATCTAGGTGTCCATGGAGGACTTTGAACGTTCTTTGTCCACCTAACACCTAGCTAGTGCGAATGAGGATATTGATGGTATCAATGGGCCTGTCTGCTGCTTCATCATCCCTACCCATGGCTCAGAACAGGGCTTACATTTCACAGCAAGGGGCTCCTTTTTGTCTAAATCAGCTGAACAACCCCGGCAATTCACGGCAAAACTTACCGCTTCCAACCAGCGGGCGGGGATGAGTACTGCAAGACGTGGCCACAGAGCTTGCAGATGGACATCAGAAAGCTCACGAGCAAGGATCATAAGACGATGGGAGACATCTTGGCATCGAAGGAGAAGCGCCCCATCAGCGTAGGGGTCACAGAGTATTCTGAACCACATGGTGACGAGCACCAAGATAGAGAGAGCGAGTGAAAGACAAACAATCTGTGCAACAGAAGGGTTAATCTTTACAAAATCGATGACTGGTCACGATGGGAGCCAGACACTTTCACAACAGGGTGCTGAAAAAGCGCATCCAGGAGCTAACGTTGAACTAGGATCCTATCCGATTCACACAGAAATCGTTCGCAGTGGAATCGTCTGAGTTTGAAGTTGATCCTAAAATTACGCCGGAGCATGAATGGGGTTTGACTGTGTGATCTTATGGTGGTACATCGGAGTCTGATTTTGAGCATGTCGTTTTTTACTTGAAAGTTGGACCAGAAAAATGGACGCGAAATGTACTGCCACAAGACCAGCACTCATGCGGGTAGTTCATACGCATCACCTGTGCTTACTATGGAGGTCGTGACGTCTCCCCATGGCGTCGAAAGCCAAGGATCCTAAGAGACGGGACAAGTTGGAATAGTCCACGAGGCGGCCAGGCACAGCCGTCTGGATTTCTTTAAAATAGCCCTGTACATGTATCCTCTGCCCGAGAGGGCTGACCCAGTCAGTATGGTATCATTGACGGTCTACAACAAAGTCAGCGCTACCAACTTCACTTTAATCGTTTGCCTTTCCTACCACGGCGTCTCAGCGCCACGGTATGCCCATCACGAAAACGTCATCGTCATCGTAATCGTCGCCGTCGCCACTCACCCTTCGCCGACGGCCCAAGGGAGGCAGCGATGTGGTGCATTTTCGCTTCGTCGTGACCCTCTCATAGATGAGGGGACGTCGGACTGGGTTTATTATTACTTTTTTGCTCGCTTGCCGCCAGGCTGCGCATCGTTTGTTTGATGCCAGCAACCACCGACTGTTGGCTGGCAAACAGGGCCAGCCGGGGCTGGGATCGCGAGTTGGTGGGCTTGGATGTTTGACGATCGTTGGTTTGCTGCAGCACATTCTGCAACAAAAGGCAGACAGAGACAAGGACATGGACAAGGGCAGATGTGCTACCAAACGCAAAACAGGATCCCGGCTTGGGCGCAGCCGCTCCGTGTCCAGTGCCACAGCGGCAAACTAGCTTCAATGACTGTGATTGGCTACCAGCAGTGGTGCGTTCCTGTAATAGTACTAGCGACGGTGCCTGTGGCGCCTGTGGTGCTTGTAGCACCTGTAGGCGTGGCCTGTGCATACCGCTGTGGGCAGCTCTTGCCGGTTTGGTCTCCGCCTCTGATGTCACGGATTGCATGAGCCGGCTCATGGCGCCCTCCCTTTGCCTAAATCGGCAGAAGCTTGTGTGCCAACTTTTCCAGTCCGTTGATCTCCATGCCCGCTGGCCTGTTTAATATTCACCGTCGCTCGCTCCTTTTTGCCTTGTGCCTCAGTATCCTATTAGCATGGTGACCTTGCATCCCGTCAGCCATCACTCATTCTGTTTCCGACATTATGTCCTAATGTTCACTTTCGACCATCCAATCGACCTGATGGCCTGACTCGAATCTTTTGCCCTTCAACCTGCAAGAACATGAGTCTTCCCTCGCCCACGACGAACCTCTACCGAACCTCATCACCCTTTTCCAATGGCTTCAAATATACCCGCAAACGTGGCCGCTGGGCCCAGCTTCTGGCCGTCCATCTCTATGACCGAGGCAACAACAGCTCTGTCGCAACGTGCTGCCATCCTCACTAGAAGTGAGAACAGCAAGGCCAAACAGCAGCAAGGGCTTGGTATAGTTAGTTTCTTGACTGCCATCAGCGTCGCTGTAGCTATTTTCTCGGCCCAGTTTCTCTTGTTTGCATCGTTACGAAACAAGCTGGCAAGAATATTGTATGTTGTACACTTTCTCCCATCCCTCTTTCTCTTCCCCCCCTCCACCCTCTCTCTCTCCCTCCCCCTTTTTTTTAATGTCGGCGTTGCCAACTACGACATGAGATGTTCTACTTATTGACATAAACATGAAACAAACAGCAAGCCAAAGACCTACCTTGTTCCCGAGCGCGAGAGAACTGAGCCGCCGCCAGCAAACCTAGTATCCATGATTGGAGCCCTGGTTACGTACGACGAGCGTGAAGTCATCAAAAAATGCGGCTTGGACGCATATTTCTTTCTACGCTATTTGAAAACACTTCTCGTCATATTCGTACCAATATCCTTTGTGGTATTGCCCATCTTGCTACCCTTGAATTTTGTCGATGGCATCGGTCGCCAAATAGACATCAGTGACGGGGACAGAAATTCTACCAATGCGACCATCCCGACTGGTCTTGACACCTTGGCATGGGGAAACGTCGCTCCGAACAATCGGAGCCGATACACAGCCCACCTTATAATGGCCATCCTCGTCGTCATTTGGGTCTGCACAGTCTTTTTCTTCGAGCTGCGAGTTTACATTAAAATCCGCCAAGATTATCTGGCCAGCGCCGAGCACCGTCTTCGAGCCTCTGCTACCACTGTTCTTGTCAGCAGTATTCCGAAAAAATGGCTGACTGAAGAAGCCTTGTCGGGGTTGTTTGACGTGTTACCGGGAGGCATAAGGAACCTTTGGATCAACCGAGATTTGACTCAACTCCTGGACAAGATCTCCCTCAGGGACAGTATTCACAAGCAGTTAGAATCTGCCGAGACAAGTCTCATCAAAGCAGCTAAAAAGGCCCAGCTGAAGCAGAGAAATGCGGAAGAAAAGAGGAGGCGTAGGAAGCTGAATCTAAAAGCCTTGACTAAAACAGAGAAAGCTGCTAGAGATGCAGAGGAGGACGCTGAAGCTAATCGTTTAGCTCGCACCGAAGAATGTGCAGATGCTGGACATGACCAAGATGTCCCCCTCACTGATGATGCATGCATCCTCGAGCCTCGGCTTGAAAACCGAGAAACCTTGCGTGCGACAACCTCACCGGACACCACTACGGGTCCAGACGGAAATCACAACCCTCTACATCTTGTTGGAACTGGCCTAAAAGGAGTGGCCGGAAAGGCAGGACGAGGTGTAAATAACGCACTGGGCACCAAAAACGGCTTCGTGGATCTGAGCTCTGCGCAAGAACATACCCATCAAAGAGTTCCTTCTCCGACTCCAACCGAGCCGCAGGAAGCTCTACGAGGCTCCTTGGACGACTCAATACTCACATCCAATTCATCCAAAGCCACAAGACCACCCTACGATCCGACGCACCATCGTGACATGAAAAACTCTGTCCGCAAAGCTGACCACGCTGACGATTTATACCTGAATGCGAAGCCAAAGTTTTGGCAGTTTTGGAAACCCCCGCAAGGCGGGTTTGCGTCGCCTGTACCGCATGGCGCTTCGGGATCCGTGCCTACTACCGAGGGATCTGGCTGGCAGACTTTCAAAAATTCCCTTCCATTTATGGGCCCAAAGGACGAACCATTCAAATACGATGATGCTTATGAATGCGATAATCAACTGGAACTGGACAAGGATGCCGAATGGGCGAAATATATCAAAAGACGTGACCGCCCGACTCATCATCTTCCCCTTTTCGGATTGAATTGGATGTTTGGAATGCCGCTAATCACCAAAAAGGTCGACACGATTTACTGGTGCCGTCAAGAGCTTGCTCGACTCAACTTGGAGATCGAGGAAGATCAAAAGCATCCGGAGAGATTCCCATTGATGGGCTCCGCCTTTATCCAGTTCAATCATCAGATTGCTGCACACATGGCATGCCAGTGCATCGCTCACCACTTACCAAAGCACATGTCCCCACGGACCATTGAGATTTCGCCTCGCGACGTTGTCTGGGGGAACATGGCAATCAGTTGGTGGCAACAGTGGCTTCGTTCAATCATAGTTGTGACAATCGTTGTCGCCATGATCATATTGTGGGCTATTCCCGTGGCCTGGACTGCTGCCATAGGTCAAGCCGATGCTCTCATCAGATCTAATAGTTGGCTAGCGGATCTCGAACAGAACAAAGGACTTGGAACTTTTGTCAAAGCGGTTTCCGGTGTCTTGCCTGCTGTTATTTTGGCGATTTTGCTCGTCCTGGTTCCAGTCATTTTCGGTTTACTGGCAGGCTTCAAAGGCGCAAAGACCGGGGCACAGAAGACGGAATTCGTTCAGATGTACTACTTTGCTTTCTTATTTGTACAAGTCTTTCTTGTTATTTCGATTGCGTCGTTCTTCTTCAAGTCGCTCGGGGACTTCATTACCGGCTTCAAGGAGCTGTCCAGCGTCACTTCCGTCCTTACACTCTTGGCCCTGAATTTGCCGTCCGCCGCCATTTACTTCTTTTCCTACATGATTCTACAGGCTCTTTCTACCAGCTCTGGGACCTTGCTGCAGGTCGGCTCTTTGTTCATGTGGTTCATCATGGCGCCGATTTTCGACAGCACTGCCAGGCAGAAGTGGGCACGCAACACGTCGCTCAACCAGGTCAACTGGGGCTCTTTCTTCCCCGTGTACACGAATTTCGCCTGCATCGGGTTAATATATTGCGTTGTTGCGCCGCTAATTTCTATCTTTGCGATCATCACATTCGGTCTGCTCTGGCTGGCTCAGAGATATGCAATGCTGTACGTCAACCGATCTGACACTGACACTGGCGGAGTCTTGTATCCTCGAGCAATCAACCAAACGTTTACCGGAATTTACGTCATGGAGCTCTGCCTGGCTGGGTTGTTTTTCATTGTGCCTGGCGGTCAATGCACCCCTCACGGCGTTATCATGGTTGCCGTGTTCATCCTCACACTATTGTACCAAGTTATGCTCAATCTTTCTTTCTCGCCTCTATTCCGATATCTTCCAATTACGCTCGAGGACGAAGCTGTACTTCGGGACGAAGCATTCCAACGAGCTCAGGATGTTCGGTTTGGATTAATTCAGGAAGATGAAGAACGGGGGCGGGCTAATCTTGCAGAGAAAGCAACATCGGTTCCAGCCAGTGACAAGAATATCGAGCTCCAGAACGTGGAGCCTGGCAGAATAGATGACTCGAATAGCCGTTTCAGGCCCGCCAAGCAGGTTGGACATTGGGCCAAAGCTGGAGGCAAACAGGTCGGCACATGGGCCAGGGGTGGCGGCAATCAGCTTCGCAAGCTGAAGAACATGACAGACAACACGCGGGCTGCACAATACCGCCGAAACCAACACAAGAAGAATCTCGACGCACAGAGGGCTATAGGTGATGCCCTCTACGGCGGCATTCCAGACGACATTGAGGATTTGACCCCCGAAGAAAGAGATACCCTGACGCAACACGCATTTTTGCACTCGGCTCTACGAGCTCGAAGACCTACAGTCTGGATACCACGAGATGATTTGGGGGTGAGCGACGACGAAATTCGACGCACAAACGCATTCAGCAAGCATATTTGGGTCAGTAACGAAGGAACAGCGCTTGACAGTAAAGTACGCGTTGTGTACGGGAAGAACCCCCCTGATTTTTCGGAGTTGGATATCATCGTCTTGTAACTCTGGCCTCGAGTGCGAAGAAGTGTTGTGGCCTGGTCTGAGCAGACGCCCTGGTGGCGTTGGATCATTGCCGGGAACGACTGGATACCTCAAAGAACTTATTTATTTATTTATTTTTTTGGGGTGGGGGGCTTCTCTGCGCGATGAAAACAAGGGGAAGAAAGGGGATCCTGGGCGGTTCGTTTGTTTATCTACCATCCATCCATTGCATAGCGTGTACTTTCCGCCTGTGTGAGGAGGAGTTTATTTGCCTTCACCTCCTGAAACTGCTGAACAATTGATCGCCAACATCACAGAATTGGGGGTTCAAATGTAAAATACAGAATGAAAGAAGAATATGATGAAGATAGTTGTTGTATGCTTTTTGAATGTGATTTCTAGTCTATGTCTCGCAAATGTATCCAAACGCCATACTGATGCTAACAAGCCCGTCAGGCTAAACTCTAGAGAAAACTGGACAATCCATCAATTCGTCAAACGCCGGCAGTTTATGCTTTGTCATAGTCGCCATCCCCATCTTAGTCTATAGCACAAGGCGCTTCTTCTCAGCAGCCTTGGTCTCCTCCATCTCCTCTGTCAACAGCCTGTTGAAATCGTCCGGGTTATCAAGATACAAATGGTGGCCGGCCTTGGGAATGACAACCACTTTCACACTCCCGTTCTCATTGCGCTTCTCGTCGTCTGTGCCGTGGAGCAGCGCATGGAGCTTGGCCTCCTTGAGCTTCTCTTCTGCTGCCAAGCCACCTGCCACGTCCATCCAGTCGTTTTCGCCGTACATGAAGACGATGGGGATGCCGGTTTCTTTGCGGGCCCTGCTGCTGTCTGTCTGCGGGATAGGCTGGCGACCGACTTGATGAATACGGTTGATGACAGGGCGGCGGGCGTATGCGCCAGGCGCGAGGATGTAGGCTAATGCGTATTCACCACTGCCTTTCTGCTTGAATATGGAGAAGGAATAGTCGTGGAGGGCTTGGGCTTCTTCGGGAGGGAGATGGTTGAAGCGGCGGGAGCTCCAGCCCGACACGAAGCGGGGACCAAACGGGCCGGCCATGAGGACGATGCTGAAGGGGGAGATGTTTGCATCCCAGAGCCAGACGAGCCAGCTTGGCAGAGGGCGCTTGGGGGCACTTGATGCTTGTCCGTTAGGGGGTGTGGAGGGCGGCTTGCGGCTTTCGGTGACAGATTGCTGGTCCTGAGTGAACTCGCTTTGGAGCGTCGACTCTTCGGGCTCGGGGAGGTTTGCGTTAACGGCGTACGGGTCCTCGGGAACCCCAACGGGGGATGCGAGGATGAGCTTCTTCAAATGTCCTGGGTACTTGATGGCGTAGGAAACGGCGAGGTAGCCGCCAAGCGAGTGGCCGAGGAGAGTGAAGCGTTCAATTTTGCGGGATTGCCGCCATTCCTCGAGCGCATCGATGAACCAATTCTCTGCTTCTTCGACCTTTTCCTCTTTGTCTTTGGCGTGGATCTTAAAAGGCGGTCTTGACGAGTTGCCCATGCCCAGCATGTCGAGAGCATAGAGCTTGAGGCCAGGCATGCGGGTGATGGGCTCAAAGTTCTTGTAGAAAAAGCCCAAGCCGGCGCCATATCCGTGGATCATGACGAGCGTCTCCTCGACCTCTTCGCCTCGTCTTTCAACGCAGATTTCGTTGAGGGCGCGATTTTTGCCAGAGAGTTGAACGAGTGAGCGGCGCCATATTCTGGCTCCGTGGGGATCAGGCCTGTCTGTGGTTGAGGCCGAGGCAGAGGTCGATGTGACGCTGTCGGCAGCTTCTTTGAGGTAGGGGACTAGAGAAAGGACGTTGTGCTCTGCCATCGTCGGAGTGACGCTTGTCCACTGCGCAAATAGTCAGTCGTCAGCCCAGCATGTCTACATGGTGTATGAGCGGGCGCGGCGCAGACTCACCCATTGATATGCGGCATCTTTGTAACCCAGGGGGAAATACACAGATGGCGGGCCTCCCCGTGCAGCAGGCTTCTGCTGCTTCAGGTTATCAGGAACCTCGACGTTGGACATTTTCAAAGGTGAGTGTGACGCAGACGCCGAGGAGGAATCGAAAGATGAGGATGAACGCGAAGACGAAGCAGGATTGGGGATAAGCCGTGATCTCTGCAGCGCCGCAGTGACCGCGTTTGGTTGTCGAAGCACTTGCATATGCATAGCCTGAAGGCTCATCGGTCTGGGCGGGGGCGCGCGGGTGCTTTTAATTCAAGCAGCGCCCAGGCACCTTCCAAGTGACGTAGATGGGCTATTCTTGTTTTTCCTGGGGCATGCCGGTCGTTTGCAGTAGCGGAGTTAACGAGCTTGACCATGCGGGCTTCGGATTTTGGGTCCGCCCGGACACCGATGCCACGGAAATGATGATGCGGTCGGAGACACTAGCGGTCGGAGTGATCCGATGTCTGTGCGAGGCTGCGGCTGAGATGGAGGATGGGACAAGACTCCTGAATCCTGGTGGCCTTGAAGTCGTTGCCGACCCTGCTCTGTCGTGTCATCACCTGCACGTGCACGCGCACGCGCACGCGAACGCGAACGGCAGAGGCAAAGGCAGGTGCGAGCGAGGAGCATTGAACATGTGACGTCCCTGCCTGGTCGTGTCGTGTCGTTGGCCGCGACGTTGCGTGGCTGGTTTGCCGCGCCCGGCTGCGGACTCTGCGCTAAGTGCGACTAATAGCCGAGAGGAGAGCGGCACCAGGCAGTTTCATCAATGTCAACTGGTTCCATGTCGTTTCTCAGCCTAGCAGGCTCCATCTCCGGCAATCGATGGCCAACGTCTGTCCCAACTACCAGCGGGTCCCTCGTCGCTTTGCATCACACGCTTCATCATTCTGCGTCTCTTGTTGACACCCATCCCCCCGCGATCGCATGGCACATGGCCTCAGCTGACCGGCTGCGATTTCGGCCTACATCGACTCCTCCACGTCCACGATCCCGCGTGCCCGACGTGCTGCCGCCGTCATGGCCGACGACATCGATTCCATTGTCAAAGGCGCTCCCGTCCGAGCGGCAAACATCAAGAGCAGCTCGGGACCGACCCCAATCGCACCCGCCGGCGGCAAGCTGGGCGACCCCCTCAACCACGCGCCCAGCTCACCATCCATGGTTTACCTGAACCTCCTCATTCTCGAGGCCTCTCTACGAGCGCAGTTTCTCGAACTCAGAGCGAGGAGACGCCACCACACCTTCTTCTTGGCGCTGCTGACGCTATGGGTCGCCTTCTTTGGCTACAAGCTGTACTTTGCCCCCCGGGAGGACGGCCGCGGCGTCGGAGGCTCCATCTATTGGGCATTGGAAGGTGCCCAAAAGGTGTGTTTTATGGGCGGCATCATCACGGCCATTTTGGTCTGGGCAACGGGCATCTGGGACCGCGGCGTGCGTTGGCCGCGGCGGTGGTTCGCCATATCAAACAGGGGCCTGCGCGGCTTCAACTGCAAGCTTGTCATAATACGCCGTCCGTGGTGGGCCGAGGCTCTGTCCACAATTGGCTTCTTCCTGACATACGGCTTGTTTTCGCACACGGCAAGCTCATCGTACCGCCATGTCGAGCCCTGGTTGATGCGGGAGACGGAAAAGGAACTCCAGCTGCCTGGTGAAGGCCACCCCATGCTGGTGCTGCCACACGATGACGAGGAAAGGGGTGGGCACGAGGAGGACCTGGCTCCCGGAGGTGACTACGTCAAGCTCCTCCTGCTACCCAAGCCATTCTCGCCGACCTTTCGGGAAAACTGGGAACTGTATCGCACCGAATACTGGGAGAGGGAAAACGAGCGGCGAGCACGATTACGCAAAAAGGTCAAGGAGCATGACCGCAACATGGCCAAGCAGGCGTACGGTTGGTTGTGGTGGCTGCCATGGAGGCAGACTCCGCAGCGCAGGCCACAGTCACACAAGGCTCTCCATCGCCACTCCAGCAGCGAGAAAGTGCGAAGGGCCCGCGGCGGCAGCGTTCACCGCCCATCTACGAGCTCCTCCCGAAGCCAAACACCTACCTTGGACCTGGACGATGGCCAGCTGAGCCGCCGCCCTAGCTCTGCTTCAGAAAAGCGCCGGAAGAAGCCGACGTCCATTTCCATGTCCAAGCCGAAACGGTCCGGGACAGACTCCCGCTCTGTAACCCCTGAAGCACCGTCACCCTTGACAAAGGAGGCTACCGTTTTCTCTGATGGGGATCCCACTGAAGGTAGTGGACGGGTTTTGCGCAGTGCGGGACAAAAGCCTGGGAGGGCCTCTCCAGAACCGGGGAAGCCGGGTTCATAGGGCATCATCCGTTTGTACATGTCTTGATGTGAGAATATGAAATGTATTGCCTCGAGCTGTCCCGCTTGCCATTGCAGCGATGCTTGTTCACGACGGAGAACGTTTCTTAATAGCCGGTTGGCATCTGTGCATCATAGCGAGTCCGGCTAGGACGAGTTGATGAGAGATGATGAGGCATCAACTGTTTGTGCTCTGTACTCTGTACACGGGACATGATGCAGGGGGGCTTTTCCTCGCGTACCGATGCAATCCAAAGCAACATTCTTTATTGCACATTGCCCAGAGTGCTGCTGCTTTGCCGGACCACGACAGGGCTGTGCAAATCGTCCAGAAGGGCTGCTTTTGCAAGATGCAACGCAGACTTCCCACGCGAGTGACCCATCGGGGAGACGACTTTTTCGGCAAGCAGGAAACCTTGAAAACTGCTTGGTTGGCATCATGATCCACGATTGCATGGACGACCCGCAATTTCGTCTCCCGCAGCCGCCGTTGATGCGGTTGCACAAGGACGTGCACAGAGCAATCGGCACAGCACTTGGGAATTCGGTTGCCGGTGAGACATGACAACAATCTCATTCATTGACTGCGGAAAGCAGCTCGCAGCCCAGATCCAGATGCTGGGACTGAAACTGGAGCCGGAACCGAAACCACGGAGTGCGGAGAATTGAGTCCCCAAATAGCCAACGCAGAACGCAGCGCGCCTAGTTTGTCCGTTGGAACCAATCGCACCCCTTGTATCGCCTGAAATGTGGGGCCTCTGCGCCGCGGGATAATCGGGATAATCTTCCGAACAGCTCGACATTTTCCGCGTGTCTCGCATTAATATCGCCAACAACCGGCAAAAGGTCGAGATTCGAGAGAGGAAGCCGCAAGACATAATAAAGGCCCATACCAGCTCAGGCGCCATGTCTCTGGCCAATTCGACGGGCGCCTTGCGGCCAATAAGCAGACTCTGCCGCCAGCACGGACATGGGAGGAAAATGCGGCTGGCATCAAGGTCCACGACGAGAGAATGGTGTTGTCACTTGCGTGTCAGAGGGCTCCGGAGCAACAGGTGGCTGTGCGAGGCATGAAAGCGAACCGGTGCATATCAACAAGTCTTGGTGATGGCACGAAAATGCCGTATATCATCAGCTTCACGGCCGGTTGTCGCCGCGGGCCGTCCTGCCATGTTGCCTTGGCTCGAGATCCGCAAGCTCACCCCGTCAGTCACTCGCTCTTCTCCTCTTCCCACTCTTCATCATGTCGGGCCGCGTCGCTGCTGCAGCTGCTGCTGCAGCTGCAGCCCTGTTTGCAGCCCATGGCATCATGCCGTGCGCGGCCAAGGCGCCGCACGCCAATGCCGTCAAGACGGCGCAGATGCCGGCCGGATTCTCAAACCGCATCTTCTACGACGACTTCTCGGGGCCCGAGGGATCGCTTCCGGACGCGTCGAGATGGACCATCGACCAGGGCACCCAGTACGACGGGGGGCCCGAGCATTGGGGCACCCGCGAGGTTGAGAGCTACACGGCCGACTGGCAGAACATCCACATCACGGCCGACGGGACGCTCAAGATCACGCCCGTCCGCGGCGACGGCGACTCGTGGACGTCGGCGCGCATCGAGACCACGGCCGACTGGGACTTTGCCTGCGCGTGCGGCGAGCGCCTCCGCGTCGAGGCCAGCATCAAGCTGGGCGACAATGCCGAGGACAGGTCGCTGGGCATCTGGCCGGCCTTTTGGGCCCTGGGCGCCGCGTACCGCGGCAACTACCAGAACTGGCCTGCCCTGGGGGAAGTCGACATTCTCGAGACCGTCAACGGCCTGCGCAAGATCTGGAGCGTCGTCCACTGCGGCACGAGCCCCGGCGGCGTCTGCAACGAGCCCAACGGGATCAGCCACACCACGGAGCCGTTTGAGCGCGGTGTCTGGCACTCGATGGCGTGGGAGATTGACCGGTCGGGCTCGGGCCCAGAGTCCATGACTTGGTACGTTGACGGGCGGCCGCAGTGGACGCTGTGGGAGCAGGACGTGGGCGATGCCGATGCGTGGCACGCACTGGCCGCCGACCCAAAGATGCTGCTGCTGAACGTTGCTGTCGGCGGGGGCTTCCCGGACGGCGTCTCGGGCCTGAAGACGCCCACGGACGAGACGCTTGGCGGCGACGGCGCGAGCATGGAGGTGGACTACGTGGCCGTCTACTCGGAGGGCGGGTGGTGAATGTGGCCATGGCTGCGGGCAGGCAGGCAACATGCGGCGACTGCGTGGACACGAATTGGAGGAAATAACGTGCCTTGTAGCGCTAATCTGCTCTAATTCACAATGCCAATTACACATGATCCCGGACACGGCGCCGTTTGTCGTGCCCACTCACCATCACCGTCGTCGTCAACGTTTTAAGTCGACCTCTCCGGACACTCCCTTCTTCTCCCGAAACCAAAAAGGCAAGCCGGTTCGGCATCGAAATCGTCCCCAGGCAACTAGTTCCACGCCAAATCACCACCAAGCCTCAATTCCACCCGTCACGCACGCACACGCACAAAGGAAAGGCGATATGGACGGACGCCCCGAGTCTGCGACTCACAAGCCAGCCAATGAAATGCAAAGCCGTCGCGGCTCTTGCCTAATTAGGCAAGTGCAGTCGACTTCCCTGTCGGCCCCGTCGGCGGAACCAGCCGTCACCGACTCACCGTCGAGTCGAGTCCATCCACCGTGTCGCTTACAGCAAGCCGAAGAAATGGGTTTACACATCTCCCCAATACCCAATTCCCCTCCCCCAGTCCTCCTCCCCGGAAAGACGCAAATATCCCGCCCCAGAAGCAGCAGCAGCAGAAAACCGGCTCATCCCATCCTGATTCTTCACACACGGGCCGGGGCGCAGAGACAAAGAATGCAGGCGCACCATCTCTGCACGCGCATCGAGTCGCGCACGCTGCCCCTCGCGCTGCGGACCATTGAGCCGCGAGATGCGCCCCGGCACGCGGCCATCCTGACCGCTGACGCTGGCGCCTCCGACCCTTCGGCAGCCGGCGTGTCGGCCTCGCGGTCCGAGGAGCTCATTGCCGGGCAGCGCGAGTCCGCCGCCGTGCCGACTGTTCTCGGGCCCGACGGCGCCGTGGCCAGCGGCCCGGCGAGGGTGAATATGGTGCTGGTGCTCAAGGCGCCCGAGGGCGAGAAGGTCATTGGGCTGGGTGGGTTCGGCGCAATCGAGGACCGGGAGAGGAACGGGGCCAGAATCCGTGCCGGCGACGCGGGAGTCGTCATTGACGAGGCGTACCGGGGGAACGGGTACGCCGTCGAGGCCATGAAGATGGCCATGGCGTGGGCCTTTACGCCCGTGGCAGACGGCGGTCCGCAGTTGGATATCGTCTCGGTCACCACCACGGCCACCAACAAGCCCATGCTGGCCTTGGCCGAGGACAAGTTGGGATTGAAGGGCAAGGGGGTCCTGAGGCATCATGAGTTTGGCCATGCCGCTGGGGAGATGTACTACGAGCTGACGGCTGAGGACTGGAGCCACATGAACAAGAAGTCGTAATCGGTATATACAGCGGGTGCTTGTGCTCTGGCAATCTCCAGAGGAAATGGAAAAAATGTACAGTGACATCAAGTCTGAGATGAAAACAAAGGGGACAAATCAAAATAAAACTCCCAAGCCGGCTCCTACGTCCAACCCCTCCCTCCCTCTTTTGTCCAGAACGCCAGTGCAGCGAAACAAGTAGCTAATGCTGCCTCTTTTCCCAAATCAAGACAATAATCGAATCGAGTTCCTTCAGTCCATCCGGCTTTCCCCCGTCCTCCTTGGCTGGCTTGCCTCCCCTCTTTATATAAGCTTGCCATATGGTTTCGTCCGACGCCTTTGTCGAATCAAGCAGGCGCCACACATCCCTTCGCCCTGTCCACGTCACTGGCCTCCTCTCGGCCTCATCTTGGTGAGCGGATGTTTGGCTCGAGACGCGAGACCGTTGAGCATCCTTAAACAAGTGTCCCTTTCCTGCAGCATTGCGGGAGTGCCGGTGATGGCTGAGTCCATCGGGGTGGTGGCTTATCGACACGCCGTTGATGATGACCCAGTTGTCGTGGAATAAATATTGGTGCATGAAGCATGCGTCGCCACAAGCATCAGTCACCAGGTGCGCCATGCCCACGTCGAGGCGGTGTCGGTATTCGTAGTCGTTAAGCAAAAGTGGCCGCACGCCAATTCCGTGGCCCTCGAGAGGGGGCTCATAGCTGGCCTCGTTCGGCGCGTGCAATGCAGGAATGACATGCATGTCAATGCTGGTCTGCTTTTCGAGACACTTCTTCAGCTCGGCGTCCCACCTCTGTCCGTGAAATGGCTGCTTGGGGGCCTCGTCAAGTTCCATGCAGGAGAGCTTGGGAATCAAAGACACGGCGTGCTTGGTCAAGAATATGGCGCCTGCACCGTACTTGGTGACAGATCTGCCGTCTTTCTGCCCGTCCGTCTCTTCACCGGGGATGCTGACATAGAGCTGCTTGCTGACGTCGTAGGTTGAAAGGCGTTGATGGAGATGGGAAAGGCTGGGAAAGAAGACGGTGTCTTCTACGACTGCGAACCAATGCTTCTCCTGGCCACTTGCGGCGATGGTGGCACCGTATGACTTCATGACGCGAATCAGTTCATGGTATCTGCGGATTTTGGATGTGGGCTCGGCAGTTGAGGAAGCGTACACGTCAATGCCCGCTTCTTCAAGTGCCTTGTCTATCTCGTTGAGCTGTTCCTCGGTGGCATTGTCAAGCATGAGGACCAGACTGGCGCCGTTGGTGGTTCCGTCGCTCTTGGTCAACCAGCGCTTCCACGCCCGCAGAATCGCCCGGTCCTTCTCGACAATGCGGCTGTACGAGGTGGAAATGCCAAATATGAAAATGGATGCATATGGTCCGTCCTGTCTCTGGTCGGCATGGACAGCAAGCTCCAATCCCTTTGACGCACGCAAATCGGTAGGACTTGGGTTGTCAACGTGGATGACCTTGGGAGCATCCCGGTCCGGTTGGAAGTCTGCGTGTACATCGGTGACTGAACCCGCGGCCAAAGACTGGACACGAGAGGTTTGCACTCTCCAGGCTTGCCATTCCGTCAAGTTGCCGAGTACATAGCGACCAGTGAGCCTCTCGAGGTATTCCTCCTCGGGCAAGGAATCACCCGTCGGATTCGTGTCCTGCACATCAATCGCAAGGGCCAAATATTGTTGGTGAAGTCTGATGGCCCAGCAGAGGAGCCCAACAGTCGCCACGGTTAATAAGGCGTGGCCAAGCCTCACCTGGAGGACCGGCATGCCTTTGGAGAGCAGCATAGTGGTCAATAGCTGACAGTAGTTGAAGCAAAAAGCTGCGCCGGGCTTGCAGAATGAAATGGAGCCGAGGGCGGCAAGAAGACAAAGGGCCTGCTGAGAACCAAATACATGGTTGACTGACAAGAAGAGGTCGCAAACAGCCGCCCATGACGGACAATCGAAAAGGCAGTGCTAGCGCTGCATTCCGGGCCGCCTGGGATTTTTGAATAAAAGTGGCCATCATCTGCGTCGAGAAACTGGCCTGGTCCCAGATGGCGCATGCGCGATTTCCCCAACCATGATTGATTGTCGATCCTAGTTGAAGCGGCAAGTGCCAGGGCCATGGACTCATGGCTCATGGGCCAGGAATCCAGGAACTCCCCGGGGCGGGACGAGACGAACGAACGAACGAACGGGACAACGTCAATTATTCGACATGGATTGATCCCTGCTGGTTCGTGACAAACCCACGAGCCGGGGCTGAAACGCCTGCGAACAAAGGGCAGAGCCAGCCATTGCCGTCGTGTCGCAGAATCCGAACAAACAATCTGTCGCACCAAGAAATGGCGTCACTTAATCTTAATACCCTCTAGCATCTTCCGACAGTATAGATAATAACCCCCACCCAGGGGGTGGACCCCATGCGGCAGACTGCATCCGCGGCCACGTAATATGTATGTGTGAAGTCGGATGAGTAAAACAGTCTGGTGCGATCTAGAGAGTTGGCCGGCCCTTTTGAGCGTCGCCACCACGGATGACCTTCAAGATGCAGAGCCGACAGGGAGAAAACAGCCGAGACGATCGGTCTGTGAAGTGGAATGGGGTGGGAGGTATAGAGGTAGAGCATAATAGCATATCTGTGTATTAGTTACTCTCCGTTAAAAGGAACACTGCGTGCAGACCTATACCTTTTTAAAAAGACTAATAGTCCAGGCTCCGTTGTTGTCTACCATCTGCCTCCTGCTGAATTGGTGTTTTAACGCACCCTGCTGACTAAGTAGCTGGCTAGCTAAAAAGCTGGTAACTAGCAAGCAGCATACGGAGTAGCTTGTTACGTCTTGGAAATGTGCCCCTTGCCTCGTCTTTTGCAACAAGTACTCGGAACCATGCCAAGTTTCAAGAGCAGGTACGGAGTACACAGCAAATTTCTAAATTTCGGGCGCTATGCCGTACCACTCGAGAATACTTGCAATATGTATGATTGTCAATGTATACTGCGGCACTTATGACATAGTAGGCAAGTATGTTAGGCCACGGACTCTTCATCTTGGTTCATCTATGCAATTTATCAGTCTACAGTACACACGTTGTCATACCCTCAGGGATGAGACGACAGGACCCTTGGAAAGATAAGGCAAACTTGCGCCAGTCTCAACGAACGGATGGAAAACATGGTTGGTACGTGCGCTCTTGTCATCCTGAGTGGACATTAGCACGGGAGCCCCGGCGTTTCCATTCGTTGCAGTTAATCCTGGTCCTGGTCCTGGTCCTGTTTCGAGACACCCTTCTTTGCAGTAGTATCCATCTGCCTTGAAAGCATTTGTTTTGAGGCATAATTCGCGGGCATGTTCACTGCAACGGTCGACTTGGCCTCGCGGAACGAGTCGAAAAATCCGCCAAGAATCTGATCGGCGGTCTGATCGGCGGGGGCGACGCCCGAGTTCAATACTTCTTTGATGTCGTCTTCAATCTCTTCAAACTCTGCCATGTCGTTTCGGTATCTGTCTGGAAGACCACTGTTGTGCAGGATGGCAAGAAACCCAGCGACCACGGTGTTGATGGCACCGAGAACTGTTATGAGCGTTCTGCTGTTGGGCGACATGGCGCCCAGAGCCGTCATGGACGCTCCAATTAAAAGCTGAGCGATCATGAGCATCCATCGGACAACACTGGTGAAGTGGAATAGGAAATAAAACCGATATTTGTGCGAAACGACCTCGCGGTACAGTCCCGGAGGCATGCCAAATGAGGGCCATAACCAATGTGAAGGATGGGCCGCCCTATCGCTTTCCTCGCCCTCTAACCCGCCGATGCCATTGGCAATGATTCTCCACTCTGACGAGGAAAGAAAGCGATGATGAACAACGGTTTGATGAGCGTTTGTGTCGTGAGTGGTAACAATGGGGGTTGCCCAGCCGTCTCTGGCTTTGCCCGCAGAAGCATCCTGGTGCCGCCTACCTTGAACCGGGGCTGAAGGGGGAATTGCAGGGAGAACAGGGGTTTCGGCTGATGCAACGCCGTTTTCGCCGTGGCTGGTCATTTTTGCGATTTGAATCGTCCACTGTAAAGGCAATAATCCTAGATGCAGGAACAAAGGGGGCACAAGTATAAAACTCGACGGCCTAATGACACGAAATCGTCTGGAAATCTGGACTTTGCAATTCAGCACAGAAGATGATCATCCAAGAGGGCGCTATACTTGGATCAATTGGTGTAAATCGATTTCACATAGAATCATGAGTCACTAACCTCCACGCCGTATAGAATTAATCGTGTCTGGCGCTACCGTGGGAGTTAAAATGTATTGACTAGAGGATGTTCCAGGTTATCGCATGCCATGCTAAAGTATAGAGCGGTCCGTTAGTGTATACTTTTTGGTGGGCAAATGCATCATGCGGGAGACCTAGTATCGATGGACCAACATTGAACCTAAGGGCCGGTGTAGGTGCCAGTAGGAGGACTTAGAATGTGTCCCCAATTAAAAAAATGACATCCTGATTAGGATGGAAACCTTTTGATGCTGTGGGATATGGAGTACGGAAGAAATGGACGGGTGATTTTGGGGTGCAGACTCTGGCCTCTGACGCTTGACCGTGGGAGGAGTTGGAGGCACATCAGACACACGGAGGGTCGTCTTTCCCCATTAGATGACTTGGTGCCTGCCTGAAAGCCATCCGATGTTTCGCAAATGTGGGAAGGCGCAATGCGGTGAGCGCCACCTGGGAGCAAAAACGGCCCTGGCTCTTGGTGAAAGAACCCTGCTCCATCATTTCCATTGAGCCATATTGAAGATACGAGGACATAGTCCGCCTTATCGTCTGAATACTCAAGGACGTGTTTGAGTCTGACGAAAGCTGGCGGGCGTGTTGAAGTTGGACTTCCGGGGTGCTGCTGGACCGAAGAGCTGCATCGGCGGGGCCTGTAGTTATAACCTGTCGAGAACGTTTCCTCCCACCGCCCAGCTTTTGACACCGGCAGAATTCCAAAAATTTGGTCGCAGCGGCTGAGAATGACTTCGCTTGACAGTCCTGCGGCTCTTGCCAAAACTCGCCACTGATCGCCCAATTCAAACGAGCTGCCTGCATGTGTCGACTTGGTTTTATATTGCGCCACAAAATCCGTCATAAACCAGGACGGCTTGCATCTTGCTACCGCCTAATACCACCTACACGAGCGAGTCGCCCTCCCCAGCTTCCACCTTCGTTTTCCAGGACAGTGTCGTCGACCTCACCAAGGATGATGGACGAAGCGCCTCCAGTGCGGACCATTGAGCGCGATGGTAAGAATTTCGAGCAGATTACTGAGGGAAAGGCTACGATCCTGGTTCCTCACGAAGCAAAAATTGGCAAAGACACCACGGGGGAACAGCAAGTCTTCTACAATCCAATACAGCAGTATAATCGTGACTTGTCTACGTTGGCAGTCAAGGTTTACGGGGAGATGCTGTTGGAGAAGCGAATAGAAGCCTTCCATTCAAAGAGTGCAAAGCAAGGGAAGAAGCGAAAGCGAGACGAGCTAGAACGAGAACGAGACGACGAACAAGCGGCGCTACAAGCCTCCGAGCTGCACCACCAGCCGGGAAAGGAAGAAGCAGAAAATGGTCACATATACAAGCCCTCATTCAAGATTCTCGACGCGTTATCAGCATCTGGCCTAAGAGCTTTGAGATATGCCTTGGAAATCCCCTTTGTTACGTCTGTTACCGCCAATGACCTGTCTGCTTCTGCGGCAGATTCAATAGCAGTGAATGCCGACCACAACGGCGTAGCTGATAGATTGACCGTCACCAATGAAGATGCCCTGGCTCTCATGTACCGATATATTGCGCTAGACTTGTCCAGAAGAGATAAACGCGGCAACCCTAGCAAATCACACAAGTTCGATGTCGTCGACCTCGATCCATATGGAACAGCTGCTCCATTTTTTGACGCCGCTATTCAGTCTGTTCGGGACGATGGTGGCCTGCTCGTCGTTACTTGCACAGATAGTGCTGTCTGGGCCGGCCACAGCTATTGCGAAAAGGCGTTTTCCTTGTATGGCGGTGTCCCCGTCAAAGGCATGCATTCTCATGAGGCAGCCTTGCGCCTTATCCTGAATGCGGTCGCAACTTCCGGAGCGCGATACGGTATCGCAATTGAGCCCATACTGTCTCTATCGATTGACTTTTACACAAAGGTGTTCATCAGGGTCACGAGGTCGCCGTCCGCGGTAAAGTTTTTGGGAGCGAAAACGATGCTGGTGTATAGCTGTGATCAAGGCTGCGGTTCTTGGAAGACGCAGCCAATCCTCAAGAGCCGTCCATTTCCCAATAAAAAGGGAAACGGGTCCTTTTACAAGCACACAATGGCCCAAGGCCCAAGCACTGATCATCTTTGCCAGCATTGCGGTTTCAAAATGCACGTCAGCGGACCCATGTATGGCGGCAGGATTCATAACCAGGACTTCATTCACCGTATGCTGGACGAACTACCCAAGGCATCTCCCGAGGTATATGGAACTCTGTCTCGTCTGGAGGGTATGTTGCGGACTGCATTGGAGGAGTGTATCCCTGGACCTGAGCTGCCCGCGGATGTTGATGCTAAAGATGCGGAAGCTGCGGTCGTTGATCCCACTCCATTCTTCTTTATCCCGGGAAAGGTATCCAGCATTTTATCATGCTCCACTCCGACTGATGATATGTTCCGAGGCGCACTCATGCATCTGGGCTATCAAGTGGGCAGAAGTCATTGCCGTCCAGGCAGCATCAAGACAGACGCGCCATGGTCCACGATCTGGTGGGTTCTGACAGAGTGGATCAGGCAAAAGTCACCGATAAAAGTATCCAAATTTAAGGAGTCTATGGCCGGATGGAAGATTCTCTACGACGCTGGCATCGTCGGGCACGAAGAAGACAAGACGTCGGGGGATGACGCACGGCCAAGCAGCAGCGACACCAAGTCTGGAGGCACCGAACAGCAACAACCGCCAGAGCAGCAACCGCAAGAGCAAAAGGATGAGAAGGTGCTAGAAGGCAAGGAGATGGAAGAAAATAACGTGGAAAAGAAAGAGCTCCCGAGTGAAGAAGAGTTGCGAAAGACGCTCGTATTCGACGACGCTTTGATACAGCTCGGTCGTCAACGGGGTACTCGGTACATGAGGTACCAAGTCAACCCTCACAAGTATTGGGGGCCCATGACAAGAGCCAAGGGCTAAGTCGAGGTGGTCCGATGTTGATGGATAAAAAAAGGAAAAAAAAAAGGGCCAAGCCAAGGTCGAGGGGATCGCCGCCCCACCGGCCACTGGGGCTGTCGAGTCTCGACTCTCGACTGCGGACCAAGGACTCTGGCGTGCTTACCAAGATGTATGATGTGGTGTTTGGGGGAGCAAAATTGCGTCAAAAACTTGGATGCCTATCCTAGTCTTGCACCACTGTTCTCACCATTGAATCCGTCTCACCAAGCAGGATCTCCGTGTGTGCCATCTTTCCCGTCTGTCCACGTGATGACATGTCGGCCATTTTCTCGCCTCCAACTGCAACCCGGCCATGATGCCCGTCCACGCGGAGCATCTGACTGTGCCTGCTAAGCCAGTCCAAGTTCGCAGTCTCCAAGTCACAGATGCAAGTTTCTCATGGACCGACTCCGACAAGGCTGAGGCCAGAGCATCGACTCACCAGGTTCTCTTCACCGCAGACTCGTCCTCCGCCGACGGGGCAAAGTACATCATTTGCATTCTGAGAGAGGACCCTGGGACGCCTCCATCACGCCCTTTCCGCCTCGACCTCCTCCAGACCGACGAGATACCAGCAGAGCTTCGCAATGGCCACGTCATCAGCGGAATGCCGCCTCACCTACAACCCAGGCCCGACAACAAGGTCGACGTCATCGTCTCCACGAAATCCGGCACAGGGCGCGCACAATCGTTCTGGCAGACCGTGCTGCAGCCTCTCCTCCAAATCGCATCCTGCCAAACCCCCCCTGAGCAGTACGGCCTCGTCGTCACGCAAGACGCCCAAAGCGTCCGGCAATACGCCAAAGTCATCGGCGACTCTCCTGTCGCCAGAACCATCATCCTCCTCAGCGGTGACGGAGGCGTCGTCGACCTCCTCAATGGCCACGAGCGCGCCCCCAGTGCACCACTCCCGCTCATCGCGTTGCTGCCCCTAGGCACAGGGAACGCCCTCTTCCACTCCCTGCACAAGCCGTGCTTGAATGACACGAGTACAACTGGGCCGACGCCGCTCGTCCTCGCCCTCCGTACGCTCTTCCTCGGCGTTGCGGCAAACCTGCCCGTGTTCCAAGCAACGTTCACGCCGGGCTCGCAAATCGTCACCTACGCCAGCCCGTCGCCCATCGACAACAGCCAAGCTTCACAGCTCCCGCACAGGCAGCAGGTCTCTTCGCTCTACGGCGCAATCGTAGCGAGCCACGGGTTTCACGCAAGCATCGTCTACGAAAGCGACACGCCGTCGCACCGCGTCCACGGGGCAAAACGGTTCGGCATGGTCGCCCAGGAACTGCTGGGGCTGTCACACGCGTATAAAGCCCGTCTGGACGTACGGCCTCCCGGTCCTGCTTCTTTGGGTGAGCTCGAGAGGGATGCACACGAGACGCATGGCTATATTTTGGTGTCGATGGTGTCAAATTTGGAGCGTAAATTTACCATTTCGCCTGCTTCCAAGCCGCTAGATGGAAAGCTTCATCTGGTGCATTTCGGGGCGGTCAGTGGCCACAGGGCGATGGAGGTGATGATGAAGGCGTACGACGGGGGCAAGCACGTGGGTGTCAAGTGGGATGATGGCGAGAGGGTGCGATACGAAGAGGTTGGCGAGGTGAGGGTTGCGAGTGACGAGGATGATGAGCGGTGGAGGGTGTTTTGCGTTGATGGCACGATTGTGCAGGTCGAGAGGGGTGGAGGGATGAGCGTGACGAGGGCGGACAGAGAATTGTTACAGGTCTTGGTTGACGAGAGGATTCGTCGGCCTTGATGTTCTTTGTGTCGATTATGGATCGTGGCATGAACCACCACAGCGATGCCTCATGGGATTCTCTCGGCTCCTGTTGGTGTGTTTGTGTTTGTTCTTTTTCTTTTACAAAACACCACGGGTAAGCCCGGTAATGGTATATTCGTAGATGCACCTTCATCTACCATGCGGCATCTACAAAGCCTCGCAGCCCAAACTCTCACTGGACAAGCAGTTTATTCACCTTCCTCTCCATTGACTTCTCAAACTCATCCACGCCACCGTCCAGCGCCGTCATGTTTCCCCCCTTCAGCCTGTACATGATCCTCCTCCGCGGCGCGTCGCCGTCGTCGCCGTCGTCGTCACTCTGCTCACTGTCATCGCTGTCCGCACCCAAGTTGCCCTCCACCGCACCCCTCAAGAACCACCTGTCGTGACTGACCAGGACGACTGCGCCGTCCCAACTGTACACTGCGATTCGCAGCGCCGTCGCCGTCTCATAGTCCAGGTGGGTGGTGACTTCGTCGAGAATCAAGCAATGAGGACGTTTCCAGAACAATCGTGCGAGCTCACACCTCACAAGCTGCCCCCCAGAGAGTTTGCACACGGGCGTGTCAGAAGCGATGCGACCGGGGAGGCCGAGCTCGCCCAGCAAGCCGCGGATTTCGCCCTCGCCCATTTGGCCGTCGACTTCGCGGGTGAGAAGTCCCAGGGCGGTCAGGGTACTATCCTCCTTGCCCAGGGCCTTGAGGGCCTCGACAGCGTGCTGCGAGTAATAGCCCAGCCTCAGACGCGGATGGGTGGTGGCGCTGCCCGTCGTAGGGCGCGACTCACCAACGAGCATCCTGATGAGGGTGGTTTTGCCGCTTCCGTTGAGACCGAGGATACCGATGCGGTCGCCCATCCCGACGGTGAGGCTGATGCTGTCGACGACAAGGGGCAGCCGCGGGCCGTAGCGGTACGAGGCGCCGTCGAGGGACACGAGAGAGCCGGGGGACCGCAGGTCCGGCGGCTCTGGCAGGGCCATGACCACGGGGCGTTCGTCGGCGGGAATGTCGATGTCTTCGCGACGAGTGAAGGAGTATCCGACCAGGTCGCGGTTGAGCTTGAAGCGGTGCCCCTTGGCATTGACCTGCATCCCCATACGGTCATCGAGCTTCTTCTGGCGTGACTTTGCCTGGCGGATCTTGTTGCCGTCGTCGTTGGCCTTGCCGGCCTTGATGTTTTGAGCAATCGTCTTCTCCATGTGCGCTCGCCGCTTGGCCTGCGCCGCCTTCATCTTCCGCAGCCACAGCTTACGTTGTGCCTGTGAGGCCTCGTACGTCGGCAAGTCGCCGTGGAAGTAGGTGAGCTTCTTGTCCTTGAGCAGCATCAGATCCGTACACACGGACATGAAGTCGCGGTCGTGTGATACGATGATGACGGTAGGGGGCTGCTCCCCCTCAGCAAGACGCTGCAGGTATCGCTGCAGCCAAACGATGCCCAGCAGGTCTAGAAAGTTGGTCGGCTCGTCGAGAATCAACAAGTCGGCGTCTTGTAGCAGAGCCGCTGCCAGAGCCGCTCGCATGTGCCAGCCCCCAGACATGCTCGAGACGGGCTTGCGCATGCGCTCCTCGGTGAATCCAAGACCGGCCATGACGCTTCTGGCCCTCGTTTCCGTCTGTGCGATGCGTGACGGTTCGAGGTGGATCTGAAGCTCGGCAAGCATGTCGGCGGCTTCCTGCGTTTCTGCCTGCCGCGTTCCGGGTGAGATGTCGTCGCTCGACTGGTTGATCCTGAGAGAGCCAAAAATGTCAGACGGCGTTGTGGCCCCATGCGAGAACATGAAGAATATCACGCAAAACGTACATGGCATCCGATTCGGCAACGACCTTTTCGAAAGCCACCAGGGCTTTCCTGGCCTGCACACCTCGAGCACCACTTCTCAGCCTGGCCTCTTTGTCCATGCGGAAGAGGCGTTTCTGCAAACGGTGATGCTTGAGAGAGCGCAAGGCTCGTACCGGCCCCAGCGGGTCAGAGGCATCAACACCCTCGGAAAGAGCTGAGGACTTAGCGAAGGATCAACTCGAAAAGGGGAGGGGGGGAGTTCAAGTGTTCTGCTGGGACGGCCAACCTTTAATTTCCTGTTCGATGGTATCCTGCGCCGTGGCCCGGTCAATGACCTCCTGAAGCACGCTGGCTTGCGGCTTATGCCCCTCGCCTGGCTTTTCATCTCCGTCATCTTCCATCAGCTTCGTCTGCTGCAGGATGGCAATTCTGGTGCCTTCGGGGATTCCAGGAATGAGCTTGTCCGCAATGGCCCGGAGCAGCGCTACGCAGGATAGCCGAGTAGTCAGTGGTGCCGTGCCGTGGCCATGCGACTAAGGAATACATAGAAATAGGGAGGAAAGCGTACTGGACTTTCCAGTCCCGTTACGGCCGACGAGTGCATATCTCCGTCCTTCTTTCAGGAGAAGTTTGGCATTGGACAGAATCTCGAGGCCGTCGGGGCGCTTGGACCTGGTCTTTGGCGTGGACGAATCCTTGCCGCCGGACGTCACGAGAATGTGCAGACCCTGAACATGGAGCTGTGGATGAGGGTCAGTACGACACGATAAATGGCTTGTTCTGCCAATTTCGAGGGCTATCGCCAAGTACCTCTCGGTAGTTTGGGGAGTCGATGTGAAATCGCGTCTGCTGGGCTGTGCAGAGGATGGTCGTGGCAGATTCCGCTGCCATGGAAGTCATTTCTGCGAAGGAAGTATGAAGCCAAACGCGAGAAGCGGCTGTGACCGTGGAAGTCAGTTTGTGAGCGTTGAGAGCAAGAACGATGCCTCAGTAGAGGAGGTCGATAATTACGCGTTATTGCGCATCGTCAGCTTATGACTGGCAACCGACTCCTCCAGCGTTTTAGCTGAGCCATGCCAGGCACCCTGACTTCAAAGCTCAGGTGGCGTTGCCCGCGTTGTTCATCTCATGGCATGATGAGTCTGCCGGGGATCCGTGACTCACGCCGAAGCCAAATGGGGAAACTGGGGACTCCACAATTTCGCAAAGTATAACGTTAATTTGGAGAGAGGTTGAGCCGAGTTGCAGGCAGCAGCACAAATCGTTCCCTCCACATTTCCCATCTGCAACGTCTCGATATCTATTGTAGCCGCTGCATGTGTGTCCTGCGTGCCAAGTCTCATGTCGAGTGCCGAACACGGACGACTCTCTCCACCCTCCGTGATTCGTCGCGGCCGCCTGTCATTGACCATAAAAGCCAGTCTCTGCTTCGACGTCGGCAGAGACAAAAGTGTTGGGGATTGGAGATTTGTAGGGGCTACTTCGACACGTGAAGAGCAGTTTCAAACCCCGATAGTGTTGGGGTACATCAAGTCGTGGGCGCCCGATAATCTCAGCGCTTGGCTGTAATCTTTGTAGATTATCCAACCATGTGGTTTCTAGCCATCTATGCTATCTCTCTCGACAGTGATGAAACGCCCCTTGCCGGCCCTCATTGCTACAATATGTTTCTCAACGCGCTTTGCAGTGTCAATGGCTGACTTGTATGCTGCTTTATCTGATGCCATGGCATCCATACCAAGCTCCCACCCTGTGTAAAGTCGCAGAACCGTTAGTCTGCCCCAGGAGCCAGACCAATCGACATAATCATGGCCGTCTTTCAACCGAAGCGCCTTGAACCACGTTGCACATCCAGTGAGATCTAGAAACTCCAACCTGTAGAAATTGTTGCTAAGCATTCTCAGCACAAGAAGGGCCTCGGTCCAATCATGGTCCAGCGAATGAGAATAATAATTTGTGCCGCCATACGATATATTACGCCCTTGAGGCGAAGAAATGGTGGAAAACTTTGCCCGTGGAGCCAAGCAAGGCTCTGGCCAGTACGCAAGACTCAGGTGTGTGACTGCGGGCAACCTTGATGATAATGACAGAAGTTCCTTCCACGGGGCGTCTCTTGTGCCCCTGGGATCCAGTGCCAGCGACAGATGCGTCAAGTTGGGCAGCAAGAGGCGCGGCGGGCTCGGGTTGGTGTCGACAGTTTCCCAAGACTCTTGAGGTTCGTCAGTAGTTTGGGATCCGACCGCATTGAAGAGGATGCTGGTCACGTCTTTCAGTTTCAAAGACCTGCCGACAGAGGCGGAGAGGTCAAGGCAGGTAATTTCCGTGTTTGCCCTGGATACGTGGTCAAACTTTTCATCGGAGTAGACCTCCTCGGGAGGTAGTAGAATGGTCTTCAGGTCAGATATCGATACACCGGTATTTGAAGCGACGCCTATATACCGAATCAGAGCCGGCTTGAGATGACTAGGCACAAAATACAGGTGATACTGGTTAAAAACGCGATGAAAGTCCCAGTCTACAGCCAGACGCCTGAGAACAAGGTCAATCAGACTCCCGGGCTGTGGCAGCGGCGCCCCTGGCAACGTGCATCTATCGAAGCCAGAATAGCTCACGCGCAGAGAACGGGCGAGCGAGTTTGAGAAGTCACCGTCATCACGCCCTCCTGATAACCAGCTGCGGGGCGGCGCTGGACCAGCGGGCAGTCTGCGGCCTTGGCTGTCATATCTTTGACGACAAGGTCGCCGTGGAGCGGGTGATGGCGTCTCAGGGATCTGGAGAATCTCTCTGATGGAAGGTGGAATGCTAGGCAAGGTCTCCGACAGAGATGGCGAGGAGGATGGTCCTGCACCAGCGTCTCGCAGGGTTGCAAGGAGTTGGTTCACATCTCTGGGGGCTTTATCTAACGGAGAATGAGTAACAGCATATCTATGGAGACTGGGGTGAGGAGACTTACCGCCACCGAAACCAGAAGGAGACGATGAACTGCTCGTCGATGCCGCAGGATATGGCTTGAAAGACTTTATGCTGTTTCGTTTCTTAGGCATTCCAGAGCGAGAGGTTGCTGTCGTGCAAGCGTACCAAGATCAGAAACTCAGTTGGTAAACGGTCAACGCTGAACGATTGACGACGGCATTTGAGTCATGCATGTCGTTGCCTCGAGGCCCTCGACCTCGAATGCTTGGCTTGTCGCCTCAACCTCCAGGCTACAATGGAAGCCCCGCCGGCTGCAAAGAATCGATGTGATTTGTCACGATACGGACAACGAGATCCACTTATTTCCCTTTCCAATCTTGGTCGCCCTGTTCCTTCCATCTTCGTCCGTCCTTCGCTTGCCAACACCAAGCAAGGCCGCCTTGACGTCGATTCACTTCTCATCTCTTCTTCTCATATCCGGACCGAATATCCTAAAAACAGTCTCCAAAAAGGACAAAAAAATTGGCGGCATGGAGTCGTCCAGACCGTCTCCACTATGCGGGACAATACGTGGATGCGAATCCTGCAGCATTCATCCAACAAGTTGAAACCGGATTCGACATCCGACTAAACCTCGACAGGGCGAAAATAATGGTTACCGTCATGCCGTACTATCACCCCTTGCCCAAAAGCCAAGATGCTTGACGATGCGGCCAACAAAGGCAGCCGGGAAGAGCATCGGCCCTTTATCAAAGTCAGGCCATTCGTCGTTTTCTTGGAATCAATTGAGAAAGCAGCGTCTTCTGTCGTGGCTGAGTTTCGTCTTTTGTGCTACCATCAGGCAAGGAGGCGGCGGCATCCCAAACTGTTGAAACTCAGATTGACTCTCCGTACCTACGGAGAACGTGTGAGTACGTTGGGCCGAGTGTGCTCCCGGAGAATGCTCCCAAACTCGACTGCCTGGAACTGTCTACAGGAGCCAACCTAGGTAATTCATGCAGGCCCAACTGCCTAGATATGAACTATCTCAATGGCACTGCGGAGCATATACTGGTTTCGGCCCTCTTACCAAGTTTTTACTAAGGCGGCATTGCCGGATTTCCGCACCGTCAAGCTCCGGCCGTGGGGCAATAATCCGCCTCCGGGATGAAGTGTCGCGTACGGACTAGGAGATACAGCAGATCCCATCGAGAGTGCCATGCATCTCCCTACTCTAGCTTCCCCCCCTACCGTCCTTGGTCACCCTTATTAGTCCGTTCCAGTGTCCATTTTCAGAAAGGCGAAGCGAACGGATAGGGAAGCCCGTGAATCCCAAAGCAGCAATCGGAGTAACATTGGCATTGACCAACAGGGTGTCCATTTATGAAACCCCGACGAAAATGAAGCTTGTCGATTGGGGAATAATGCAGCGTTGGTGCGTGCGCACTTTCTGAAACTGGGTGTTGCACAAATCAGAGTTGGGCCGTCACGGCTATGCCTGCTGATGCTCATGCATGGCGATGGGGTCGCGATATTTCCAGGCTCGCGGCCGAGTTTTCTGATCTGAACGGATCGCGTCTTCCTTCCCAACGAGCTTATATGGGCCAACCTTGGGCAGTCTCCCAACAGCACCAACAGCATAGACGCAATCGTGTTTCCTGGAGTTGGACCCCTGGTTTCTGAGGGGCCCCGTGGGGGGTGAACAGGACAGGAGGACGTGACCCAACGGAAGATAACTGACACTTTGTCTTGGAAAATGTCACGAACCATTGCCCTGCCGTGATTGTTATCCAGCTGTTGCTACATGTCTTGAAGCCTTTTGTTTCGAACCTTGGGCCAGGCAAGAGACATGGAGAGCAATGTTTGCTTTTCCTCAGGACCAACCAATCCGGGACAGGCAGTCTAGGTCTGATGATCAGATGGTTTCGTTTAATCCGTTCCAGACGCATAGTATGCCTTGGCCGTAGGCATATATCCCTGTTTCCCTCGTGTTACCCCTGTACTGTTCATCCGGCCGAACAGCGCGGACCGGAAGACAAGTAGGGGGATCAGTCAGGCCACGGTGGCTCCAAGTTATCGAAACTCGGGTCTCGTTCGCGCAGGCCGGCCCTCGAGGCGTCTCTGGGAAATGGCCTTCTTCACACATGTTTGTGTCGGTAGCCAAGCCTCCCTTTGAATCCGCTGCTGGTGTCTTCTCCGACAGACAAGGACAAATTACCTGACAACCATGGCTAGTTGGAAGTCCCCAAACGGATCACCAGGCTGACAACGAAGCCAGATCCCGATGACGCCGCACGCCAGGTCAGTACGGAAGCATTGATCAGTCCGCCAGCGCCACTGGGACTAAAGGCTTGGTCTTTCATGTTGATGCTGACAATGACTGACAGCGAAGCGGTTTCCCGTTGCTCCACAAACATGTATCTAACCGTCAGGAGACGACTCCCGATGACGCGGTTGGCAAAGTCAAGGCATCAAATGCCTTGGCACAGTTCTGCGTCTCTACATGCCTGCAGGCCGAGATCAGTTGCTGTCAGTTCTTGGAGGAGGAGGGGGAGCTCTGAAAGTCTTCTCTGACTCTATTACCACACCCTCGAGTGCCACCTGGCATTAGTGAGTGTGACCTTACCTTGGGTGCGGAACCATCTTCAGGTGCCCGGGCAATGTACTGGGATGTAGAATAACAATAGTGAATGGCTAGCGTGCCTCTTTCCTTAGCCCGGAACCTGAACCGGAACAGTTGATGAGCAGAATTTGATCGACTGAGCGGTGGTTTTGACATGGAGTCAACATTTCGGTACATGGGCTTCTAAAAGCCGACGCAGCAGTATTAACGTTCTCTTTTTCCTCTCTTCTTCTTCTTCTTCTTCTTCTTCTTCTTCTTCTTCGTCTTACACCGTGTCTTTTTCCGCAGCCTACTCAATACCTTTTGTGTCATGTCCCATCTCATGTACAGATTGTGCGGGGACCATCAGTCAAAGACACAAGGCAACCGTCATTACTCGTCTCAGATTTCGCCCATGTGGATGGCGCATAAATGCCCAGCATTCCGGGATACCAGACCAACGCTAGTCACGATTGAAGGGCAACAGTTACACTGGCAGGCATTGGAAGCGTACCGGGCTGCCCGGATCTGTTGCCTTGAGCCGATACGAGGGGGGTGCAGCTGAAGTATGGCACGCCATTCGAGGCGGTTGTTTCCATGGCCGGCGCAGCTTTATGACCTAACTGGCGGCGAGGACGGCCGAAGTAGTCGGCTATCTGTGCAGGCGATTGGTTTAGGCTAGGTGAAAAGCAGGGTCGAAGTCGAAAAATGCAGACCATTGACGCCTTGACTGCTTCATCAGTCGATCTCAGGAGGCGCTCTGGGCCATTCATCCAGGTAGGGCCCTTTGTCAAAGAGAAGCACAACGGACTGGAAACCTCGCGGACAAAGACTCTTGCACGGCCATGCCTATAAGCAATGTTAGTCCGGGAGGGTGGGGGAAGAGGATCAAGCTGACTAGAGTCCAATCGACTAACATAACATGTTGGGACAGAACGCCGCCATCTTCAAGCGCACATGTCGTGAGACTCTCCTTCATCGTATCACCGGAGCCCCAAGTTGATGGCAATTCCAACACTCCCCCTTGGATACTTGTCGCGTGGCCGTGCCAAGGCCCGAAACCCCGGAGTTGGGACGAAAGCTCGAGGTCGAGCTGTCCAAGGCTATGGTGAGCCTGTCTTTTGCCGTCGCCATTCGTATTTGTCCTCGTTGTTCAAGGTTTTCGCCGGCCACAGGAGCAGTGTTTGACGTTTTCGTCCCCTTGTAGCTGTGTATCGAATCGACTAGGTGAGGAATTGCGCCTTCCGGCGGGAGGAGCTGGGCAATGCGAAGCGGCTTTTTGTTGCTGCGGCGGGTGAGTTGAAGCCAGGTCCTGCGAGGCAGAAAAAGGGTCAACGTTTCTGTTTTCCATTTAAAACTGGCATGAGATTGTGAGACCTACATGGCACGTTTCAAAGCCAGGGACGAGGCAGGATCGATGACAGGCCGGCAAGCATGCGAGTTTCTCACAAGGCCATGAGGCCGTGAGGCCGTGAGGCCGTGAGTCTGCGAGTCCGTGACAGAAGCGGTGACATGTCCATCTCTCAGACATGCAACTACCCGTGTCGCCGCCACCTCTTGGTCAAAGCCTAACTTCTGGCCTATCAAGACAACGGGCCGTAGAGTGAATCCTGCTTTTGGCCGCCGGGTGGCAGCATCGCCATGCCATTGGATGCTGCCCGGGCAAACAGGCGGACGGACCGAGCAGTCGGTAGGCATCAATCAATAATCAAGATGGCTTTCTGTATGGAGTAGCTCGCTCGGCCGAGACGTCTTGCACCCGTGCCGTGGCCAGGCAGTTACTATGGATGCATCGCTGGAGCTGATGATGAGAGGCACCAGTTGCTGTGACATGGGCCATGGGCCGTGGGAATGCGAGTGGGAGTGCGAGTGGGAAGGGAGCCTGATGCAAGACGAGTGTCCGTCCTGACCTCCTGGGCCTTGTCCCGATGATGTTTTTGGAGAGGGGCGTCTTCGGCCTTTCTGAGGCTGGGGAGCATCCCGGCTGGGGAGAGAACAAGCAGCACGAGAAGGACGAGGAGGACGAGGACGAGAACGAGGACGAGAAGAGGAAGAGGAAGAGGAAGAGCAAGAAGAAGAAGAAGAAGCACAGCAAGAAGCACAGCAAGGACAAAAACTTAGGCCAGCTTCAAACCATCTCACTTTGACCTGGCCGACACGTCCATGCCACGTCAAGATCAGTCATGCCCCTGCATCCTTTCCTGGCTTTCCATCCGCTTCGCTTGAATACATGAATCTATGTGGCAGGCGAGAGGCCAATCCCCCGACTACCTGGGCATTGCTTAGCTCCGCAGGTTTCCTGCTCAGCTTGGGAAACGGGAAAAAAAAAAAAAAAAAAACAGGTGTGTTGGATTCTTGTCAACAAGGGTTATTATTTGGCCATGTCCATGTCCCGTATCCTCTTCGTATGATTCAGCAACCACTTGGCCTTCTACTCAAAAGGGGGACTGGACCTCGCAACAAGGTCTCTGGTTTGTTTGTCTCTTTCCCGTTTCTGTCGTGCCTTCTCTCTCCTCAACTTGGCTTCTCATCCACGTTGCCACCATTGCAAACCATCACGCTCTACAGATAGACGCCGTCTCGTTCAGAACCATCCACTGCTCGCTCACCTGCCTGCGTACCGGGACGTTGACGGCCTGGGCTTTCCCATCATCGATTCCTCTCTCTGGATGTCGTGCTACGTCTGCCATCTCTTGTCAGTTGAAAGTTCCGAACACGAGCCCTTCCTTCCCACGCGATACACACCAGCCACAAAAGGTGCGAGTCGGCGGCTCAGAAACCCCTTCTTTCGCCCAAGACCCGACACACACACACAGAGGTGGGAAGGAGGGGACGGGACACTGTTACGCGGTGCCTGGCTCTTGTCCTGTCTTTCTGAATTCGGTACCCGGCTGACTAGAGGTGCTGTCTAGCAGAGTGAGCTCTCCTGAGTTTTGATCTCCATCTCCAGGTAGTAAGTATTTGGGAGGGGGCTAGTACTTGCAATACTTCACCTCCTCGTCCGTGAGTTTCAAAGTCCAAGCTGGATAGGCAGCTTTTTCTGTCCTCAGCAGGTGGGTGCTCTGCTAATATAGAAGCCCAAGCAAAATATTTGCCGGTGGCTGCACCGTCTTTTTTTCTTTTTTTCACGTATTTTTATTCATCCTCTTGCCAGCCCTCCCAGGCAAAGAAATACGATAGAAGTCGAGTCAAGAGCCCTTGGTTGTCGTAGTCTTGGGATATCTCGCAAGGCAGTACTGACAACTTTGTATTATAACAGGATCCTGGGTCTGATACGTTGTGGAGTCTTTTCATCTTTTTTATCACCTCTACTTTTTATTCTTTATTCTTTATTTCCTGTTCATCTACAGCGACATCCCAATAGCGCGGCTCTCAATATCTTCAAGATTTTCGCTGCCTAACGGGCTTTTCTGGTGAAGGAAGAGCAAATTCTAGTACTGTCTACTGGTCGTGGTCGTCGGCCAGAGTCTCTGGTGAGTCGACTGAGTTGGCTCATCCCATGTTGTCGTGTTAATGTGCTGGCAAGGGCTAGTTTCCGGGGAACACAGGATAATCTCTGGATGCAAATTTAAACATCTCGGGTCGAGTCATTAAACCTGTTTTATTAGGGGTGCCCAGCTGATGATCTAGTAGTACGAGGGGACTGTTTTATCTCGTTTTACTTCATTTGTTTCATTTTATTTCATCTGATCTTATATTGTTTGTTTCTTAATTCTTTATTGCAAACTGTATGTGGATGTCCTCGTTGAGGCGAATTGATATCAGTACGACGGGAGTATAACACGGCACGAAGAGGTTGGCTAACGACTATCATTGCTTACGCTCTAGGCGCTGGATCCAGTTTCTGGATCGTATGGGATCCTTAGTTCCTGCTTATATATTCCCGTCGACCTTGGGCTGGCTCGGAACCGGTCCGGGCCCCGATATAGGCTTTTTCGATGCATTCGCAAAGCTCCAAGGTATGGCGAAGACATGTCCCGATCATGTCGGCAGTTCTTGTCTCCTTGGCCTTTTTTTTTTTTTTTTCCTCTTCACACAAATTAAGACGAAACTTGTCGTCAGGGCCAAAGGCGAGGAGAAATTTGGCACTCCCTGGCGGCATTCCTGAGGGCACCAAGAGAAATTGGTCCGCGATGGAGTCTGGCGTATCCACTCGTCCAAGGTATGTACATGTATGCTGTATATTCATTATGTTCACTGCTTTCTTCCGCTCTATCTCTGTGCCTCTGTCTTTCTCTCTCTATCTCTCTCTCTGTCTCTCTGTCTCTGTCTCTGTCCTGTCTCTGGTCCCTCTTCGCCTCTCTCTCTTTCCCCCCCCTCTCTTTGTTTGTCTCTCTTTGCCGCTTCCCGTCCAGCACCCCTGCAGAAATCAGAACAATGGTGGCCTGGACCGGGACCGGGTGGTGGCCGGGACACAAGGCTTTCTCGGTCAAGAGGTTTGAAATGACGGCGCTGGGTTTTGATATTCCAGAGCCGCAGGCTGGAGATATGGCAAGATACTTGACCAGAGAAAGTTTTGCCTGGGCCATGCAGACTGGACAAGGCGGCAGGCAAATCCCAAATCAAATCCCCTTGAGCACATGGACATCCACAACAACATCCACTTCCATACCCCGGGTGGGTTTTTGTGCAACGTCAAGAGCGCCCCCCCGGGCGATGCGTGGCGTCCTTGTTCCGACAAGTCTGCACGACAACCCCTGCCATGGCCAGTGCCTGAAGCTCTGGCAGAGGAAGAAGTACTGCCGAGTAGTACTGGGGAGTGGTGACGGTACGGGGAGTAGTATCGCCCAAGTACCAGGACGGTCAAGTACAAGGAAAAGGAGGGAGTCAGTCAAAGACCGAGCACCACGGACGGCCATGACCGAGACCAGGACCACGACCAGGACCACGACCAGGACCACGACCAGGACCATGACGGCGCTTCGTCCATGCCCATGCCAACATACATAGTACATGACATAACATGCAGAGGCATCCCGAACTGGAGCCCCCCCGTCGTCCCCCGTCGTCCCTCGTCGTCCACCACCCTCAGCCTGCCATTGATGTCTTGCCTTGAACACTGGGGGTCCTTGTGGCTAACAAATCGGAAAAGCAGATGCATATATCACGGGTCTCTCGGTGACGGCGCCTGGATCACTCCCCTCCCCAGCCCCGAGCCCCGAGCCCCGAGCCCCAAGCCAAAGCCAAAGCCAAAGCCCAAGGCCAAGGCCAAGGCCCAAACAAGCCCTCCTGTCGTGTCGTGCGTGGCTGGGCTAGTTCTGCTGCTCGATCTTGGTGTGAACTGACGTCTTGTCCTGCTGACAGAACGATTACAACTCGTCGCCGCCGCCGCCATGTGCGGAGCTTGACTACTTGGATATACAACCCCCGACGGGAGAGTTGAGGTGAGTCGACCATGCTGGCCCTTTTTCATTGGTAGCCTGTTCTCGTTGCAGCCATGGAGTATGAAAGTACAGACAGACATACATACACACGCACGCACACACACGCACGCACGCACGCACGCACACGCACACACACACACACATACATACATACATACTGGGCGTGTCGAGTCAAGTGTCTCCGGTGTCACCGTTTCCTTCATTTACCTACCTACCGTCTCGTGTGCGTGAGTGCGTGAGTGCGTGAGCGCGTGAGCGCGTTGAGAGAGCAAGTGTGTGTGTGTGTGCGTGTGTGTGTGCGTATGTTTTTTTTTTTTAATTTTTTTCTTGTCCATGTCCCCCTTTCCAGCTCTCGTCTCACTCATAGGCTGGCACTTGGCACACAGCCTGGGGCTCGCTGGACTTGCGGCGTTGCATTGCGAGCAACCAGTTTTCCCCGAAGTCTGACGATACCCTGGGAGCTGGCGCTCGCATCGCCGTCAACAGATATTAGATACTCGAACGAGAAGGTCTTTACCTGCCGAGAGTTTTCACCGTTGAAGTAGTCGTTGCTGTTGTATTGTTCCATTTACTTGTTTTCTTGTTCCTTTCCTTCTGTTTGCCTTTACTGCAGGGTTCCCCAATTGCAACATAGTAGCCAAAAAGAGAAGACGAAGAAGAGGACGAAGAAGAGCAAGAGCAAGAGCAAGAGCAAGAGGAACAGGCAGAGAAATACTCTTTGCGTAAACCTTTCCGTCGCCGGTCGTCGTCTCCTGTTTAAGTTGAGTCCTTTTTTTCCCTTTTCCTCTTCAATACAACCTTCTTCCTGTCTGTTATTCAACATAGTCCGGTCCGGGCCAGCCCAGCCCGGCCCGGCTGTGCCTCTTCTTCCTTTCGTCGTGTTTTACTATCACCGGTTTTTTTTTTTTTTATTTCTTTATTCCGATCTTTATTCCCTTTGGCCCTCCCCGGTTTCTTGTTTCTTCCTCGAGCCGCCCCAGCACACCTACCGGCATCCTATCCTGCCTGCTTCTTCCCCGTGGGCTTGTCTCGTGCAACCTAGGCGTTGGCGTTGGCGGTATTACCAAGAAGCTTGGTGGTACTTGAACACGCATTACGCATTGTATCGCATGGCAAAGGCAGGACAGCGTCTCTTGTGGTAGTCAACTCCCATGCCGTAATCTCAGTCCTCAGTCCTGGAGCACTCCCCAAACTTGCTGCATCCTTTGACACCGCCTGCCCCGGGCTAACCAATGGACAGATACAACCAAGACAGCGGCCCGTCGTCGCTCACGATAGATGCTCCCGAGGCCTCTCCTCTCCTGGGCCTCTTCCACCCAAGCAGCGCCTTGGCCACGGCGTCAAGCTATACCCACGACTCAAGCAGCTTCTACCATCCCACCAGTGGGCCGATCTTTCCAGATGGCAGGCTGCGCCTGAATACAAGGTAAGGCAGCCCGGGCCATATGGATGACATGGCGCCAACCAACCAACACGCAACCCCATCCATGATCCAACGTGATTCGAGAAGAAGAGAAACAAGGAGCAGAAGGAGACGAGGGAGAGGAAGAGGATAACGACGAGGACGACGAGGACGAGAAAGAAGAAGAAGAAGAAGAAGAAGAAGAAGCGAATAAAAAAGAGAAGCCAAAGACAATGTGACATCCAGATTCAAATTCAAATCCAAACCCAAACCCCAACACCAACCTCCTCATCCTCATCCTCATCCTCATTATCCTCATTCTCAACCTCCGTTTCCAAAGCTCAAGCCCCATAGAGCCCTCTCGACGGAACAGAAACAACGGAAGGAGGAGGGGGGGATGGAGGAAACGACAAGCAGAAGATAAAAGACCCCTAGCAGAAAACGAGCTCATTCTAACCATTCTTCCCTCTCTAGCTCTACTCCGTCGACGGGCATGGCACATGTCCAACTTCACAACCCTCGTACCACGACGTTGCCCCAGCTGGGCCACCACATCAACAACTCCCGAGATCAGTTTGCCAACTCAGTCGCACCCTACAGACGGGCGTCAGATCACCAGTTTACGCGGTCTCCCTCGTTCCACGGGTCCAGGAGACAACAGCACCAGCACCAGCAACAGCACCAGCACCATCATCAGCACCAGCAGCACCAGCACCAGCACCAGCACCAGCATTTGACCGGGCCACCGAACCCCCTGGCGGGCTACACGCCTCCCGTCACAAGGATGGATTCTCATCAGTACAACACCACCCACAGGCCCGGGCAGAACGACGTGCCGCCGCTGCTGCCCATGGAGATGATGGGCACGCTGCAGTACATGGACCCCAACCTGACCACCATCAAGCCAGACATCTCGGGCAATATCGACAAGGGACCGTTCCTCTCGTCGGACCGGGAATGGACGTGCTACAGGCGCAACTACCTGGCCTGCAACTGCTCCTTCAGCCTCAGTCCCAGCTATCCTGGGGCAGGCATCCAGTTCACGCCCAGCCCCATGGCCGGGACGAGCACGACGCAAACGTTCCAGGTCTACGGCTTCGCCATGTGCATCTCTGCCGTCGTGGCCGACAACGAGCAGCACGCCATCGAGCTCGTCCAGCACACGCCCAAGCGCGACAAGGGCCCCATCTCCAAGCCGTCCAAGACGCCCATCGCGCCCAAGACGAGCGCGACGCCGCACGGCGCCTCGCTTGGCATCTACGGGGATGGCTCGGGCCTCTCCAGCTCGCGAGGCCTCTACTCTACCGAGGGATTCGGCGGCCAGGTCGGCGTCGGCGTCGGCGTCGGCGTCGCCCAGCAGGTGCCGACCGAGCACACCTTTGAGCGCATCCAGTTCAAGCAGGCAACCCAGAACAATGGCAAGCGGCGGGCCGCGCAGCAGTACTATCACCTCGTCGTCGAGCTGTGGGCAGACGTCGGCGCCCAGGCCACGGACCAGTTTGTCAAGGTGGCCCTGCGCAAGTCGGCCAAGATGATTGTCCGCGGCCGCTCCCCCGGCCACTATCAGAACGAGCGACGCAACAGCCAGGGGAACGGCACAGGCGGTGCCGCCGGCAGCGGCGGATACCGAGCTCACATGGGCCACATGGGCGACTTTGGAAACGGCTCTGGCATGGCGGGCGCTGGGCTCGGCGCCTACAGCTCGGGCTACGACGGTCGTGGCATCAGCTACACCAACGTCAGGCACCAAGAGATGTCTCCCGAGAGCATCTTCTCCTCGGGCGACGACAAGCCCTCCTCTGGCAAGGCGGCGGCCTACCACCAGTACTACAACGCTACCTGTCCCGGAGCCGGCACCGCGGGAGGGGTGGGAGGAGGAGCAGGAGGAGGAGGAGCAGGAGGAGCAACGGGAACAGGAACAGGAACAGGAGCAGGAGCAGCAGCAGGAGGAGGGGGAGGAGTCACGGCAGCAGCAGCAGCTACAGGAGCTGGCGGGGGAGCAGGAGGAGCGGCAGCAGCAGCGACAACAGCAGCCGGGGGAGCAGCGTCCTCGTCGTCGTACGACAGTCACGGCGACCGCGTCGACCTGTTTGGCCACAGGAACGGCGCAGACGCGCTGCACTCAGCCGTCGCCCACGAACGCAAAGTCAAGCCCGAGTTCGACTTTAACATGCTGCCCAGCCCTTTCGGCGGCGGGCAACGTACCGACGACCACCATCGAGAGCGTTTTGATGGCCGGCCCAGCCCGGGTGGCTTTTACCCGTCCATCGTGCCGCCGACCGGGCTGGGAGCTCTTTGAAAAAAACAAGAAAGAGGAAGAGAAGAGAAGAGAAGAAAAAAAGGGGGCCACGGACAGCAGGACCGACAGCCGAGGGAGAAGCCGAGGGCCGGGCCAGAAGCCGGATACCACCACTCCACTGCCGGTATTTTCATATTATTACCGGAAATGCAGTGCTGGCCGGCCAATACGAGCAGAAGCAAGTGCTTTCTTTTTTCGCTGGGGCAAGGAGGGTTCATCTTGGTCCGGGCATGCATAGGCATGTGGTGTTTGCAGGCCACATCACCGACCAACGACATCTCAGACGACTTTGGAGGTCCAGAGGGGGATACGGAAGGCGGGAAGGGAGACGGGGAGAGAGAGAAGGGTCTACTACTACTACTAGCTAAGACGGAAAGGAAAGGGGGCGTGGGCAAAGACTCTTAGAAGGGGATCCCCTTTTGGTTGCTAATGTTTTGGTTCTTGCTCTTGATGTTGTTGTTGTTGTTGTTGTTTTGACAGTTTCTCGGTTTTTCTCGGTTGCTTGGGTTTCTTGGTCTTTGTCCATCATCATCATCATCATCATCATCATCATCTTCTTCTTCATCATCTTCTTCATCATCTTCCCTTCTTCTCCTGCTTCTTCTTCTTCTTCTACTTCTACTTCTACTTCTACTTGTTCTGCTTCTTTGGTTGATTCTTTCTCGGGGCTCACTAATAAAACTCGGATGAGTAAAGTTTCAGGCATGCGTGTTTTCACTTCCTTTGACTTGATTCGACTCCCCGTAACCAACCAAGCACTCCGTTCCTTTGGGTGCGTATCCCGCACCCACACACCAGGGTCGAGAGGGACTCTCGGTACAACGCACGCTCACACGCGCACACCCGCGCACTCGCGCTCGCGCTCGCGCTCGCGCTCACACACACGTACCAGGTAGGCGTGTTCCGGGGACAGCCAGGGACAGCCAGGGCCCGCGGGGCGGTTTGCTTGGATGGACAGGGCAGGGCAGGGCAGGGCAGGGCATGGGAACACGACCGCCGGGAAACGACATCACTCGCAGCACCAGGTGGGGAGGCACGGGTATCGTTCGCATTGGCTCTGCTTTGCCGCCAAAAGAAAAAAGAAGGGAAAAAAGTAAAGAGGTTGAAACTGTGTGCGTGGTGTGGGTGGTCCGCCGTGGATGCCGTGGATGCCGTGGATGCCGTGGATCTGGTGAGACGGACGGACGGACCGACGACGACGACGACGACGACGTGGAAGGCCAAACAAAGCCTCGCCTTGCCAACCGCCTCGCCTGCTGCTGCGCTGGCAACTCTTGTGCGAAATTGGTGGCGGTGTGGGGGATTCGCGCCTGGCTTGTGCTCGGCTGCATCCCTGATGCGGATGGATCAGGCAAGGGATCTCATCATCTCATCTCGCTCATCGTGGATGGCAAAGGGCATCGTGGTCGCTGGTCCCCATGGACGACGGACCGACGCCATCACGATTCGTGGGAGCAGAGCAGCGAGCCGGCTACCTGTTTCCTGTTCGCCGTCTGTCGTCTCGTCTGTCTGCATTTACATTTACATTTACGTTTACGTTTACATTGGACACGTTGTTCTTGGTGCTCTCGTGCCTCGCGGGCGGCGTTGTGTTGTGGTTTTTTGATTTTCCTCGTCCCCTCGGTCGCTGGAGCCGCGCGTCTTGCTCTGGTCCCTCTCTTGTCCATCTTCTTCTTGTTGTCCTTGTCGTCTGTCGACCTTGAACATGCGTGGCCCCTTCTCCTCTGTCGCCTCTCTGCATATGACTTCCCGAGACATTGTCTCCAACGTGGGAACCTCGAGGCTACATGCAACCTGACCCCATTAACAGGCACGGGCGGGCACGGCGCGGCGTGGCAGGGCAGGGCAGGGCAGGGCAGGGCAGGGCATGGCATGGCATGGCATCCGGCGTGAACGACATGCAAGACTTTGTTTCTGTTTGTGGGTGTCGTCGTCGGTATTGTTATCATCATCATCATCATCGTCATCATTCCTGCCACTCCGTACTACTATTACTATTACTATTACTATTATTATTCCATGGTATATTTCGCTTGCTCCTCCCTCTTCTCTGGTTGGAGCTTGGCACCAACGGGACCACACCAGGATACGTACTGCCACTTCACAGAGACGTGAAGCAACGACAGAAAGAGAATGCGTCGAGCCAGGGCAGCTCGGGAGCAGGGAGCAGGGGGGGGCATGTCCTTTCCTGGCAAGGCATTATTCGTCTCTCTCTTTCCATCCTCTAGCTCGCCGAGTCTCTCATTGCTAAGCAATTTGTAAACCGCCATTGTCTCCTTTGACAGCCGGCCCGCCTTCATTCGTCCGAGGCGGTTCCAAAACGTGAACGGGGGTGTGTTGGCCGGGGGGCGGAGATGCAACACCACCAACCACCGGGGGGAGGAGAGGAGAGGAAGAAGAAGGGAGGAGGCGAGCCCCGAGTTCCAGGCCTCCTTGGCCCCCGTCACGCATCCTGACAGGTCGTGGTAGCCTGGTCTCTCGTTCGCCATGCCGGGCTCCATTCTTTTCCCAGTCACTTCACTCACTCGCCCACTCACTGTCAGTCGCCTGGTATCACCTTGGCCATTCCAGGCTGGACCAACGGCTCGACAACAGGAGATGGAGGCACCAACAGCAACAGCAACAGCAACCACGGCAACCACGGCGGCGGCGGCGGCGGCGGCGGCGGCAGCAGCAGCAGCAGCAGCAGCAGCAACAACGACAACGACAACGACAACAGCAGCAGCAGCAGCAGCAGCAGCAGCCAGACCATACGAGTGAGCTCAGGCCACCGTGACCAACTCCCCCGGGCACCCAATCATGTGTGTAAGCAGCCGAGCGCGGATGATGCAAGATGGAAGGTGTGTATAGTCGGTCGTGTGTGGCGTCCCTGGATGACGAGGCCAAACACACACTCTCTCGCACCCGCACCCGCACGCACCCACACGCATACCAAAAGAGCCCTCTCATGGCGGCCAACAGCACGGCCTTGTTGCAAAGTCAGCCTATTGCGGAGCCGTGGCCTGGGACCAACAGGTGCTGGATCCTCCCATGGGTGCTGGTTTGATGTGATGAACCTTATTTCAGTTCGTCGTGAGCGAGGCCGTGCATTTCCATGTACGACAGCCACGGGCGGGTGACAGCAATCTAGCATGCCGCTAATACTCCGTCCTCGATAGATACTGGCGCCCGTCGTCGCACAAGCATCGAGCGAATACGCGGGTGCGGAGCCGTACGCTCCAGACGGGATGGCTCCCTCCTCGGCTCAGGACGCAGGCATGGATGAGCAATGGCCGTGTCGAAATGATTCCAGCAGCAGCCTCGAGTGGGCGAGAAAGAGAATGCGTCGGTCGAGAGGGAAGAAAACGTCTCCGGTCCAGCCAACAGAAGCCAGCAAACAAGATCCAACTAGCCATGCAGCTCACTCCCAATACAGCATCCCTTCTCCCTAGGCAGGTGCATTGAATGTGACTGGCAAACCCCAATGCCAGTTCATCCCATGCCATGCCGGCGCAAGGGCATACGGAGTGGTCCGTAGCGGAGTAGGGAGTACCGCCAGAACAAGCAAGACAAACTGTGCTTTGCTTTTTTTATTTTTTCCTTTTTTTTGGGGGGGGCAAACTTGGCCATTTTCTGTAACTGGAAGTCGGAATGTCTTTTGAGATACCGAGTACTCCTTGACCGAACCGCTACAGTAGCCACACCTGGACTGCTCCGTCATGGCGTTTTTGTCTGACAGAGTCCGGAGTCTCTTGCATACAGCCCTCATACGAATAATACATTAGCAGATGAAGTGGCTGACACACGAGAGCGCGGAAACATTTCCCGGTCAAGGACCATGAAGCGGCAGGCAGTGCCTCAGCCGGCGGCAAAGCTAGCCATCTTCCGGGGCTGACAACCTGTCCGGGACATGACCATCCCGAGTTAATAAGACCAAGACCGCCAACGCGGGGAGGCCGTTCTTGAACAAGTACCAGAAGAAGTAGGAGAGGGAGGGGGAGGACAAGAAGAAGGAGAAGAAGAAGAAGAAGAAGAAGAAGAAGAAGAAGAAGAAGAAGAAGAAGAAGAAGAAGAAGAAGAAGAAGAAGAAGAAGAAGAAGAAGAAGAAGAAGAAGAAGAAGAAGAAGAAGAAGAAGAAGAAGAAGAAGAAGAAGAAGAAGAAGAAGAAGAAGAAGAAGAAGAAGAAGAAGAAGAAGAAGAAGAAGAAGAAGAAGAAGAAGAAGAAGAAGAAGAAGAAGAAGAAGAAGAAGAAGAAGAAGAAGAAGAAGAAGAAGAAGAAGAAGAAGAAGAAGAAGAAGAAGAAGAAGAAGAAGAAGAAGAAGAAGAAGAAGAAGAAGAAGAAGAAGAAGAAGAAGAAGAAGAAGAAGAAGAAGAAGAAGAAGAAGAAGAAGAAGAAGAAGAAGAAGAAGAAGAAGAAGAAGAAGAAGAAGAAGAAGAAGAAGAAGAAGAAGAAGAAGAAGAAGAAGAAGAAGAAGAAGAAGAAGAAGAAGAAGAAGAAGAAGAAGAAGAAGAAGAAGAAGAAGAAGAAGAAGAAGAAGAAGAAGAAGAAGAAGAAGAAGAAGAAGAGACGCAGCCACCCCAAATTGAAGGGGTACGCCCGTGTCCCATACACATGGGAGCCATGGGCCGCGAGATGTCGAACAAGGTTTGAGGCTCATCGTCTGCCTACTCCGTATTACCGAGTGCTCCGTCATGGGTTCCAAGGTTCTTCTGCCTCGGACATGTCAGATCAACGACATGGCGAGACGAGGCGAGGCTCCCTGGCAAGGAAAAAAAATGCGGCAAGGTGGAAAGTGAGCGGCCATCCCATGACAGGTCGTTTTGTCGTCTGGCAGGGGTTCTTTTTCAAACCGGAAGCGTCGTGGTCAGTGGTCACCACGGTCCAGCCATTGAAAACCCAAGAGCTGCTCCGACGAGGCTTCTCCGAATTCTCCCTGGTTTCCATTCGGTTCATGTATGTGGCATTATGCATCCGGACCCTGGTCCCCTCCCCAGTCGTCGTGTGTGGCCCCATCATGGTCCAAACACACAAAAAGATTGCGCGGAGCATCAACCAAGATACGAGGTAGTTAGATTCCCGTGTAACTTGGATATTCTCCCTCTTGTCCATTGACTCTCACTCGGCCGTCAGACTCGTGCAAGGGTCGCTCCGTGACCCCGTTGTGGAAGTGCCTCTCTCTCACGCAAGCACGATCTCGTCCCACGTACGCATCTCGTCGTCTGGAAAAGATGATCACCTCGCACGGGCGATCGTCATCTTTTTCATTTTTTTTCCTTTCCCTTCTAATATCCGCCCGTCATGCCATCTCGTCCCAGGAGGCACAGAATGAAGGTCTCAGCCCTACCGGATATGCTCGATACCTACAGTGCCTCATCTCAAGTCTCACAGCATGACACCCGTTGACGCGGCTACCGAACCGATGAAGAAGAAGGAACGCAGGGTGTGCCGGCGGCTTCGCGTTCTGCGCCCTGGTCGTCCCCGGGATCCCGTTGGTCCGGACCACGTTGAATTTGATTGGCACTCGACGGCCAGAGAAAGCCCCCTTTCCCGAGACCCAGGACCCCAGGACCCCCAGGATCATCTTGCTTGGAGTCGAAAATCCACCAAATTCCCGATCACCACGTAGCATACGTAGCCATGCCTGTAAAAGCATGCTTGCTTGTCAACATGCGCGTCGACGTGATGCAGTCACTTGACCTCTCCGCTGCCTTGACACTTGTCAGTGATGTTTCAGCTGACGTTGATGACGTTGACAGACAGAGACAGCGCCCAGGGAGCCCAAATGCTGGACGACCCTTGATTATGCAAGAGCAGGCAGGGCAGGGCAGGACGAGAAAATTTCCGCCCTCGATATATTGACACCGACGGACATGCACGTTACATGAGGCTGTGTCTTGCCGCGGCGACAGATTGGCCCGAGCCCGACGGGTAAAGTGGATCTCGGCTGTTGAAGGAGATATCATGTCGTGGTTGGCTGAACGCGACCTGTCAACATAAAGCGAACGGGAGAGGCTTATGCAGACTTACACCGGTGATCGCCTTTGCATCCTCGACGCTGGTCGGATGCCAAAGGAAATCATCCACCCAGCCTGCCTGCCGTCGCCATCACGCCATGCCATGCCATCGCGTCTCCTTCATCTTTTGTCCACGGTGCTACGCTGCTGCCTGAACCGGATGGTGACTGGCGAATTGATTAGCAAACATGGGCAGGGTTCAAATGTTGATACTCCGTACTGCTGCCAGTATCTTGCTCGACCGGTGAGGAGAATGCACCCGGTCACCCTAGTTGGGTTGGGGGTCAGCTTAGGGGCCATGAAAAGGACACAATGCACGACGGGGGGGGGGGGGGGTCTTGTTGCGTTCGGGGATGCTTCTCGGCCGTATCCTAAATTATGTGACAAGGAGCCCATCGGATTTCATTTTCTTGGCGTACGTCCCAAGTCGCGGTACTTCCAGCGACTTGTTGTGACTCCGGGACCCCTGGCATGCGTTCCATCCTCCTCCTTTTTTTTTCTTTTTTTTTCTTTTTTTTTTTCCTTCTTCTTCTGATTTTTCTTCTTCTTCTCCAAACTCCCGGGTTCAGCGGCTGAAGGGAATCCATAACCACCAGACTCTCCACGACGTAATCCGTGGCGTGCGGCGTGGCATCCCGCTCTCACGAGGGTCTCCAAATCGCATCCGCCATGGCCGTCACCTTGGCCATTTCTGAGACGTCATGCACACGAACTATATCTGCTCCCCCTTGCACTGCCGCGGCCATCGTGGCTGCTGTGCCCCAGATTCTGTCCGACAGCTCCTCCGCCCTGGTTACCTTGCCGATAAAGCTCTTGCGGCTCGAGCCAACGAGCCACGGCAGACCCCCAAGACCGGGCCAGGCCCTCAGTTCATCCAGGCGTCTCAGCAGCTCCAGGTTCTGATTAGCCGTCTTTGCAAACCCAATGCCAGGATCCAGAATGATACGCCAACGCCGAACGCCGGCCTTTTCAGCTGCCGAGATGCGCTGGAGGAGCTCCGATGCGACCGTGGGGATCAACCCGCCCTCGTAATTGGTAAGTTCCATCATGTTTTGGGGGGTGCCACGCATATGCATCAGACAGATTGTGGTCCCAAGACGTGCCACGGTCGAGAGCATGTCGGGGTCGAGCAGTCCGGCTGAAACATCATTGATGATGTCGGCACCGCTAGCCACGGCTCTTTCGGCTACAGAAGCTCGATATGTGTCCACGCTAATGGCAATATTGCTTGCTTCCGGGATAGATCGTATGAGTTCGATTGCGGGAATGACGCGAGATGCTTCTTCCTCCGCCGAGACTTCAAGTCGACCTGGAGCCGTTGACTGGCCCCCTACATCAATAATGGTGGCGCCACCGTGGATGTGACGCAATACTGTGTCACGGAGATTGCTCAAGTCGTTGTTGCCCCCATCGGAGAACGAGTCTGGAGTCATGTTCAATATGGCCATGACTTGAGTCTTCCTATTGCGAACAAGGGGCATGAGACTTTGAGATGTACCGCGAAGCGGGGCAACGGATGAGAGAGGCTTCCCAGTCGGAAGTTCGTTTAAATAGTCCTGGACCAGTTTCCATGGTTTCGACGCGTCAAGAGGTTTTGATGGTACCAGTCTTTGAACCGTATTGTTAGACTCGGCCATGTGACCATGGGCATGGTGATTGTAACAAGGCAAGGAAGGTATGCTATGCTTACTCCGACAACGGTCTCAGAACAAACTCGCGCTCTGGAATAGCGGCATGAGGCACATGGAGCCGTTCATGGCTTACGGTTTCATCGCCGTACAACAGGATATCCAAGTCAATGTTTCGAGGGCCTTTGTCGATGAGCTTCCGACGGCCCAAATCATTTTCTATTGACTGAAGCTGGTCCAAAAGGGCCAGCGGTTCAAGATCTGTTTCCACCTAGAATTTGCAACCAGTAAATAACCAAGTTTGTCGGGCGAATTCTGGCGCATTGCTAGCATCCCGCATTCGATTACTGTTGGGATCCTGGCAAACTTGACTTACTTCACAAGCTCCGTTTAGGAAAGGATCCTGATCCAAAACATACATGGGCTCCGTCTCCCACAGGCTACTTGTGCGCGTTACTCGGATGCCTCGACGATCCATTTCGTTGCATGCCTTTTCTATCTCGGCCACTCGGTCGCCCAAGTTGCTTCCTAGGGCGATGTAGGCCTTCTTCTTGCCGTCGCCACCATGACAGGCACACCACGAAGAGTGTCGTCTGTGGGGTTTTGGGGGTCCCGGCGACGTGAGATTGTGGTGCGAAGCAGAAGATGCGTGCTGCAGCGTCCGCAGCGAAGGCTCTGAAAGAGAAACAACTCCTCGGGGCGGAGTTGAGAAAAAACGACGAGCAGTTTGCGCCCGGCGAAGCCCTCGATTTGCCTGCAGGGTACGCAAAACAGCTGCAGGGGACACGGTCGAGGCCATTCCGGCTGGATGAGACCTGACGTCACCGCAATGCGGACACGAGGCAAACGGAAGGCCTTGAACGCCGGCCAGGAAGGTTGGCGATTGTCTGTGATATGCACCGTAGGTAGACCTGGTTGTTTGGACTGGTTGGTGTTTGGAGGTTTCTGGGGCGTCGCGGCAGAAAGGAATCGCCGGCTTCCGTCCGAGTCCGCTGTCTGTCCGCCTTTGGTGTGATTTTCAGTGTTGCTTTGCATGCACTGGCTTCCGCCGCTCAACGTGGCTCCATTCCGAAATGTCACGCCGTGCCGCCTCGGATTGACGGCCGATCCGGGCCCCTGCCATGGGCCATGGCACACGAGTGCTCCGGATGATGACCGGTCATGGCCTCCATCTCGGTAGGGGCCTGAGGGAACTCGGCCTAAAGTCGACGAACCCAAGTGGCTCGTGTGCCGACTGTGCCATGGCCACGGACAATCCAGCAGGTTCCATGGACGCCAGGTCGCAGCCCGTGCAATTGGGCGAGGGAAAATCGGCGAAATCTTGGAGAAGATACGTGAGAGTCAATCACCACTTGGCAGCCCAGCCTGAGTATCATGCCCGTGTCCGTGCTGCGACATGTTGTCTCGTTCACCATCTACTTATGTAGCGTACCATGTCTGTCCGCCCTACCCTAGAGGCGTCACGTTTCATGTCCCCTCCGACGGACTAAAGGCTTGCCCCGCCACCGCCGACGGATGATTCAGCTTCCTCGGCTTCTTCTTTCCCTACGGCCCCAGAGCCTCCCGTCGCGACAGACTGCGCTAGCCCCAAATGATGACGCTAGCGCCGGACAAGGCCTTGAGCCTCGGCACAACTCAGCTGTGCCCCGCCAATCATTGGCCAGTTTGGGCCGCTCCCTTTCTCGCAGTCTCGTCTCCAGCCGTCGGCGGCCCAAGGTTCTCATGTGAGGACGACGACGGGCACAGCTTAACCGGCTGCTTTCTTCCTATTTTAATCTGTTGCGACGCTCCATCTTCACTTTTGCATACATAACCTCTGATACCTCTTTTCCGTCCTTGATCATCTCTTCGTTGCACAATCTCCCGGCACACAGCATCGGACAAAGATGGCCTCCCCTCGTAAGTTTTGCCTTTTGTGTGCAACCTTATCTCGCCACCAACGTCACGATGCATTGTCACAAGAATCCTTTGAGTGCTGACTGACCACGGCTTCTGCCGCAAATAGAGCAGATTCGCACTCCCATCACGGATCTCTTCAAGATCCAGCACCCCATCCTGCTGGCTGGCATGAATGTCGCTGCCGGTCCCAAGCTGGCTGCTGCCGTCACCAACGCCGGTGGTTTGGGCGTCATTGGCGGTGTCGGTTACACCCCCGACATGCTTCGCGAGCAGATCTCCGAGCTCAAGGAGTACCTGACAGACAAGAGCGCCCCCTTTGGCGTCGATCTGCTTCTTCCTCAGGTTGGCGGCAGTGCGCGCAAGACCAAGTAAGTCGTCCTGACCACCCCTACGCTTTTGCTGGAACCTCCTCGTTGCTGCTGCTGCACGATCACATGCTTCCCGTGCGCCGACCGCCCGGACCACTTGTTACCGCATGAAGAAGAGGAACAGAACGCGGCTAACGGTTTTTTTCTTCCTTTTCCCCGACTCACAGCTACGATTACACCAAGGGAAAGCTCGATGAGCTCGTCGACATCGTCATCGAGTCCGGCGCCAAGCTGTTCGTTTCCGCCGTCGGTGTTCCTCCCAAGCATGTCGTCCAGAAGCTCCAGAAGGCCGGAATTCTGTACATGAACATGATTGGTCACGTCAAGCACGTCAAGAAGTGTCTTGAGCTCGGCGTCGACATCATCTGCGCCCAGGGCGGAGAGGGTGGTGGCCACACTGGTGATATTCCCACCACGGTCCTGATTCCTGCCGTTGTCGAGGCTGTCAAGGATCACAAGTCCCCCGTCTCCGGCGGCCCCGTACAGGTCGTGGCCGCAGGTGGCATCCACAACGGCCAGCTCCTCGCCTCCGCTCTCATGATGGGTGCCAGCGGCGTCTGGGTAGGAACCCGCTTCATCCTCACTGATGAGGCCGGTGCTCCCAAGGCTCACAAGGATGCCGTCCGCACTGCCGGCCACGATGACAATATCCGTACCATCATCTTCACTGGTCGCCCCATGCGCGTCCGCAACAACCCATACATCAATGACTGGGAGACCAACAGAATCCAAGAGATGAAGGAGCTCACCGCCAAGGGCACCATTCCGTACGAGGTTGATCTCGAGCGATTCATGGGTGGTGAGGCGGCCAATGAACACAGCGGCGTCGAGAGCTACAGCAGCAATGCTGCCTCTGAGTCTGAAAATGATGACGACGAGGGTGATGACCCTCTTGAGCAGTTCCGTCCTTACCTGATGGGCAAGTGTGCTGCTGTTGTCAATGAGCAGAAGTCAGCCAAGGCTGTTGTTGATGAGTTTGTCAATGATGCCGTTGCCTGGATCAAGAAGGGCAACCAGATGATTGCCAAACTGTAAATTTTTTTTTTTGCTTCCATGGTCCCCCTTTGTCACAATCATGTAGAATATACACAGCATCATATGCAGGCTTAATTTGCCAAATTCAAGATGAGAAATTAACTGTTACATCATCCGTCTTGTGTCCGTGTTCACATGTGGTCGCATCCACGTCGGCTAGAAACTTGAACAACAAAGCGTCTATTTTAATGCCAACCAGCTACAGCTAAGTTTAACTTGACACGTACGCCATTACCAGCACAACGCAACAGCCACTCTCACCTATGCTGCATCGTCACTCCTTCACTGATGCTGATTCCGTGTGTGTAGGAACATACCGTCCCGTCTCGTCGCGTTACAATCCCCAAACACTGACTTCCATGGTCCCCGGCTCGGGCCGAGCTCGCCTGAAAAAAAAAATCGTCTCCGTGGCCATGAGATGCCTTGCCGCGTTCCCACCACCGCCCCAGCAGGGTCGGAGCGAGCTCAACTACGGAGATAGTTGCGAATAGCACCTTGCAGGCGGGTAGCCCCCTCACCAAGGACGTTGGTCAGATTCTCCAGGTCGTCACTGGCAGTGATGCCAAATTTGCGAACAAAGTCTTTGGCGGCTGATTCCAAATCGCCATACTCTTCCGCGACATCTTCCTCGGGCCGTCCAAAGTAGGCGTTGGAGGATATGGCGGATGCGCCCTCGAACCCTTGCAGTCGAGACTTGGCTTCTGCCTGCGCAGAGGGATCGAACGAGCCCTTGCCAAAGTACTCGTCGGACGAGATGCCCTTCTGAGACCCGAACTTTGTTCTCGCGTAGTTGCTTGAGTCATCTGTGGCCGCGTTAGAAGGGTGGTTCGGAAGCCCATCATCTTGGAAAACTTGCCTTCGACAGCCTTGACAGGGCCTACAGATCCAAAGCCGCCTGCATTCTTCTTTGCCGGTTGGGTAGTCGGTTTCCCGCCCCCAACCTGGCCAAATCCCAGACGCGCAACACCCATGCCCAGTCTTTCAACTTCGGCGTTGGACTTCTGCCGGGCATGAGAGCTGCCGCTGGTTATGGGAGGGCTCACGGGGGTAGGAGACATGATGGTAGCAGCCCCAGGGGCATCCTTGGTAGGCTCGTCCTCTGCCTCCGGGTCGTATCCCAGCTTAGCAATTCTCTCAGCCTCTTCCTTGGCCTTTTTCTCGGCTTCATCAAAGTCGATAGAGTCCCCAGTGACTTTTTTGGCGCCGAGCTTCTGAGTCTTCTTGGCCCCAAGCACGTTGAGTTTCTTGGGACCGCCGGCTGTCGTAGTCTTGCGGAGGGCCGCGGACGTGGTAATGCGGCTGGCGGCAGGCTTCGACTCGCCAGCAGAGTCGGACTTGGCGAGAGATGATGCCGGTCGAGCAGGGTCCTTTCCATTGCCATTGCCAGCGTTCAAGAAGGGCGAGGGGGTTCGACCGACGACGGGGGGGGTCGCCGTTCGTGAAAGAGGGGGCGTAGGTCGCTTGATGGCGGGCTTATCCCATGAGGAGAAAAAGTCGTCGTCAGGCTCTCCCGCGGGAGTTGAGGAACCGTCGTCGGCGCCGTCGGCCATGACAACTTCGTTGGGATATCTGCGGATCACAGTCAGGGGGGCTTTCCGGAAAACAGGTCAACCAGAGGCGGGTATTGACAAACTCTTTGGCGTCGCGAGCAGCCCGTCGCTTGAGTTCATCTTTATACTTTGTGGCCGCATTGGATTGATATTTGGTCTTGGGGTCTTTGCTGTTCAATGCTGCAGTCCCCCCGTTTTGCTGGAAGAACTTGGTAGCCGATTCATTGCCACCCACCTTCATCAGACGCAACTGATCCCACTGCCATTCTGTACGAGGTTAATCAAACGAGCTGGGGCAGATATTTCGCCGGGCATACATACGGTCCAGATTCGTCGACCGTACAAAGGATATATGAACGCCGAGGTTCCGGTGGTTGGAAGAGCAGTCGAGACACAGATAGATACCAAAGGGTACTGAAGTCCAAGTCGGGTTCTTTTGGCCGCAGTCGAAGCATATCTAGGTCGAAGAGGTCAGTTCTTGGACGATGCGACTTGAACATGCCACAGCTGCCATTCACCTTGTTCGCAGGCTTCGACTTGAGTTTCTCAAACAGCTTGAGCGACTGTTGCTTGGTGGCGAGTCCACTCGTCATGTTGGGCAGGCCAAGGGTTGTCGGAAGTCGCCAATTTGTACCTTGGACGCTGGGCCGTTGTTGTATTCACAGGGTAGAGGCCGCCCGTGTGCGGTGGCAAATACTGAGCAGGGATCAAGGCGATGCGCACGACTTGCTGTCGGGGAACAGGACGAGTTGTTGAGGAAACGTGTGATTGATGGCGAAGGGCGGTGTTCGGGTCAAGGTTGGCACATCGCCGGCGCTAATCTTGATTGGGCCAGCATCTGACCCCCACATCCAATCTGGAGCCAACCAGCCCAGGCATCATTCGGATTCATTGCAGACATGTGCCGCACAAACTCCAGCAACGACGAGGGCTCGATTTAGCAACCGGCAACGGCACGCGACTGCCGTGGAAGAACCGAATAAGTCCGCCTCACACAAGAGTCAACAGGAAAAAGCACCCGTACGACGATGGAAGCTGCATAGCCGCAGCCATGAAGCCAACGACCGCCACGCTGCTCGCCATCCGGCCCACGAGATGTCTCTCGGCCCCGACATCCAGGCGGTGCGCGTTCCGGAGTCGATCATTCGCAACTCAGGGCGGCCACAGAGCGAGCGACTCTCTTGGCTCTAAGCGCCGCGGCGTGACGCCATTCAACGACGACGGCTACGTTCCGTGGAGCGAGCTTTCTGCCGGAGAAAAGACTGCCCGTGCGACACAACAGACATTTAACTTTGGCCTCGTCCTAGTCGGTCTGGCACTCACCGTAAGCTCCGCCAATGCTGTCAATGCTCTCAACTCGGTGGCGAAGGGTATCAAATCTGACCGGATAACAACAGGGCGCAGTCGGATACTTTCTGTGGACGGACGTCTTTGCACCGGACAGCAAAATCAGCCAATTCAACCGGGCTGTGGACAAGATCAAGAAAGACGCACGATGCATCGAAGTGTTGGGCGATGCCAAGAAGATCATTGCGCACGGGGAAGAGACCACGAACAAGTGGAGAAGGGCAAGACCAGTCGCGTAGGTTCTCTACCATGGTGTACACATTCCAGGTGCCAGAGGTGTTGCTGACTCGCCCTCAGGTCCTCGGAGCGCGTCGACCAACAAGGGAACGAGCATCTTTTGATGCACTTTCATGTGCGTATCGCGGCCCCCAACCGAGAAATACCGTCTGTCGTTTACTGATGCGGCCGTGGATCAGGTTGACGGTCCAAAGCAGAACGGCGTGGCACAGCTACACATGGTGAGGCGACGCGGCGAACCCGACTACGAATACAAGTCTCTGTTCCTTGACGTCAAGGGCCACGAACGCATTTACCTCGAGAATGTCCATGTGCCGTCGAGCGGAGGGAAGAAGCAGCTGAGCCTGTTTGGAGTCAAGTGGTGATGAGCTGGGCACAGCTCGAGAGATGCCCAGACGAAGAAGAGCGCCACGTATCGGCCGCTCTTTGCTTGTACTATTACTTTTGTTTGAAAAGCGGTCCTATTGCCGCCCGCCGCGAGGTTCACCCGGGCCGAAGTAGTCACGTATGGGACGATGAATGGGACTGGCGGGCCATTTTGCCCCGGGGATATCAGACACCGAACTTGTTGTCCCTGCACGCTTGCAAACGATATCGAGGCGGACCGGATGACGGGCCGTAGAGTCAGCGTCTCTCAAGACACCAGAAACCAACATGTCGCCGTAGCGCTCCCGTGGTGCGTTTTCCTCCTGTGCAGGGACTCGGGAGCACGGCACAGCTCAATGGGCGGATACCTCAAGAGTCTGCCAGAGTCGCCCATGCCGTCTACTTCAGTAGTCAACCCTCTGCGTGCTCAACACAACAGGGCCAACAGCGTGGGTCGACGGACAGAGTGAAGTGTAACCGGAGGGAATCACGATTTACCATCATCGTGCCTCGGGTACGGCTATACATGCGTTCAGCACCCGACTCTGCGGCCTTCCCTGGACTCGTCGGACGCGACTGCACGACGTCGAAACCTTGGCGTAGCTGAGTCGGAAATTGCCCCGTCTTTGAATGCCAGCACTGCCGCACTCATACATCTTCCTCGCACGATGCGGTCGCAGACAAGAGCAGTGCGAATGCTGCCCGGTCAGAATCAAGGATATATATAAACTAGGTCGGTAGCGGTGTCGACCGGACACAGAAAAAGAGCCGTCTTGCAGATCCGAGGGGAAAGCACACGGGCTAGGACCGCTCCGTGATTCCGTCTTTTTACAGTTTCCGGTTTCAACCTTGGACCACGCACGCACACACACGTGGTACGGAGACGTCTCACTTGACACGACGACAAGTCCTGCTCGTCGACGCTGCAGAATCCCATCGCCGTGCCGGCGACGGTACCGCCCCGAACAAGAGGCATCAGGCAAGACGCGGCAAACCTGGACCACGCCCTGTATCTGGATCACTTGCCTATCGTGAAGCTGCAAGGTGCTGTTTTCCCATGCCCTACTCCGTAGACGACCAGCATCTCGTTGCATGTCGACCCGAGACGTCGGCCGGTGCATGCAGTCAACACCAATAAACACCACCTCGCCCTCCAACATTCCGCTCCCGCCCGGCCTCAACAAGCAACATCTTACAACGAAACTCCAAGACATCATACCACACAGCTCCCAAAGCCTGTTTCCCAGCAGATTTATATTCCAATCTCCACCTCAAGCAGTCCAATCAGAGAACCCTCCATCCAAAGGCACATTCTCCATCCCCCGACTTCTACGTCCACCCTCGCGCAACCATCTCCAACGCCATGCATGCTCGGCACAAGCGCCCTGCCTCACTCCCTCCGGCCTCGGCGCTGCCGTCCGCGGCACAGAGTCACATCCATCAAGCACATGGGTCCAACGGACATTGATGAAATGCCCGGGCAGTTGTTTTTCTGTAGCGGACAATGACTGCGCAGCGGTGATTTATTTTCCCTCCCTTTTCCCCTCCCGTACAAGCGCCCTAACACCACGGCTCCAGACTTGCAATTTACGGAAAGTGGTTTTGATTTCTAAAAGCAAAATATCCCGTGACAACATAAGCGTTGCGCCCCAACTATCTTGGAAGGTGTCTGCCATGTCGGTTTGTCTGTTGCAACTAACTGGTCTGTGTTTCCCAGTCTTCTGGTTGTGGTCATGCCAACTGAGGTGAGGCGGTTTCGGCCTCGGCGCTACTCGTTTGGATGGAGGCTGTTGCATGAGCGGCCCAACTTTGCCCACACTTGGGGTTTCATTCGACGCTTTCCTTTTGATGTTGAGCTGAATGGGGGTCCAGGAATGTCATCTCACTTGTACCATCATCCAGTGAGGCCCGTCGAATACTTGACACCGCAGCTCCTGATACGTTTCATGGACTGAGTCACGTCACATGTTGCAGTTGAACAAGCTCATAGTAGCGAAAGGAACCAGTTGGTCAAAGTACTTCATGTGACGTTTAAGCCGGGGATAAGAAGTCACTAATCACGAGTTTGCTCTGTGAGCTGTTACACTGAGAGCACTGCTTCTCACAACCTCTGCCTCGCATGCGTGTAGTATGTAATTCACTCACCTTGGTTATATCCTGGAGCACATAAAAGCCATTGGTATTGCGTTACCGCTGTACAAGTTGCAAGAACCACCGTGTTGTGCATGTGCAGCCTGGGGAGGCAAGCTCGCCGGAATTGAAAGTTGGACAACGTTTCGTGCAGCAAACCGGCTGCATTGGAGGTTGTTCTGGCAGGCGTACGGAGCACGGAGCGTACCATGCAGTGCGCCGAGGCGGGCGGACGGCCGAAACATTAGGATGGGTGTCGAATACTCGGGCATGACCTAGCGCTGCGATGTAACCGTCTCGAAAAGCTTGACTGGGTCGGCACGTTGAACAGGTCCTCCGCGTCGGTTGCAGAAGCCCGGACGATGGCTAGGTTCCAGACGACCTCACTGAACGGACAAGGATAACTCTTGCTCCAAGTTCCAGCCAGGATTTGTCTCAATCAATAAGCCGGATCATGCAAGGCCTGTGTTGAAAATTTCTTCCCAGCTTGATAGGGACTTGTTCCTTTTCACGCGCTCCTTCTTTGACTCTTTCGTCTCGCCTCCACGTCCGCCGAAACATTGATGCCTCTGTGGATAGACAGCAAGCGGTTGAGCAAGATCGCATCTTTCCATGTGCACGCCCTGTTTTATTTTATTACAACAGGGGAGTGCGGTCGTGCACGACAGGTTCAAACGACGCCAGCTCCCGACAGGATCATCGTACTGAGTAGATATTGTCGTTTGATCGCGGTAAACCAGACAGACCACTTTGACCACAGGCAGTGCCGACGCCCCTCGTCGTCGTCAGATCGATGTTTCGGCAAGAGACCGCCATTGCATGATTTAGTTCGTAGATCAGAGTTGCAGAAGGACCATGGACCATGTGTGCGTTCAGCAGGTGGTATCCGGCCCGTCCGCAGCCGCCGAGCACCCCAGAGAAAAGCCAGGACATGGTCCGTAGAGGTAGAAAGTCTGCCTCGTGCCTAGCGTCTGAGTCTTTCGACCTGCTACTTTTGGCGCACATTGACTAAAGAGATGTCAACTGGTCCGCCGTCAAGACTCTTCTGCCGTTTATACATCAGAGACGAGGCAGGGCAGTTGATAGATGCGGGAGTCTGCAGGTCTTGACTCCACTTGGCCAAGGTTTCTGGTTCGATCCTTCGCCAGGTGTGTGTGTGTGGTGTAGAACTGTGGTGTCATCCCGTCTCCGCACAAAATGAAATGTCATGAATCGCGTCGTTGGGCTTTACCGACAGAAACAGACTTTTCAGCAGCGTAGTCTTGCATCATTATTACTAGCACAACCCGCCCCTGCATGACAATCTCGTGCGAGCCAAGGTCACGACTCAGCTAGCCTCGTGCCCCAGTTGCGGTCAGAAGCGAGTGAGGCCTGCCTGGTAAAGTCGACGTGGGGAAAGCAGAGCAAAAGCAAAATAAGAGGGATAACAAAAATTTGCCTCTTGGGGACCCGCCCCTCGAAAGGCCATTGACAAGGGGCGCCCCGGCTCGCTGCCGAGCCCAACGCCGACAGTCGCCGAGAATTTGGCTTTTTTGGCTCGCTCAAAAATCATGGTGAGGCCCGGTTGGCTGTGCCTGATAATAGATCGACACCCAGACACGGAGTACAGAGAGAGTACGGAATACAGCTGGCTTGTCGGTTGTCTGGCTGAAAGCCTCTCCCTCCGTTTCTGACCTTGGGTGCAACGTAGCAAGCCTAGCAGCCACCAAAGGATATATTCTTCAACCGACTCTTTAGCCAGAAGAGGGGATGTGGACGACGACCTTGATGGCCGCTGGTACGGAGCATTTTTCGTTTTGCCGGTTGTTCACCAGCCGTCGTCGAGGCACTTGGCAATTCGGAGCATCCGTCTCCAGCAATGCTGATATGGAAATTCGCTCCCAAGACTGGGCATCCTCCACAATCGAAGCCAGCTGTGCCAAACTCGATCCCGCACGGAGTATTATCACGGTCACGGCGTCGATGTTCGGCTGGATGGACCAGTGTGTGGATGCTCCATGATCGAACCCAACATCGGGTGGGTTCCCCAAAGTTTGACAGGCCACTAATTTCACATGCCAGCTGGTGCACACGGGCTTCGTCTCGTTTGTAAATGTGAGTGTGAGGGTATTGGTGCTGCAGCTCCGGCGCCCGCGGAACGGGGCATGCTGGAGGTGGTTGAATCGCGATGAGGCCATGTTCCGTGTTGATCATGCCATGTCCAAGAGCGTTTGAGGACACGGAGTACTTGCTTGCGTTGCGTGTTGCGGTGGTTGGTGTTGCTGTTGACAGCTTTCGGTTACGTATGCAGGGGCGATGCAGCGCTCCTTCCCTGCTCTTTGCAGCTTCTTATTACGGCGGCTTGTGGGCACAGATCACTCCGTACTTTGTGCCCGAGATGGAGGACGGAGGATGCAGTACGGAGCACGGAGCGCGGAGCACAGAGTACCTAGCTAGCATCTAGCATCTAGCATGCACATAATACGAAGTTGTACCGCGTATGTCTGCCTTCGGAAAACAAGAGTCCCCCCCCCCCCAACAAAACCGATTGTGGAGGCGCGAATTGGTGCGGCGCGGTAACATCAAAGTGCCATGTTTCTTGGCAGCAGACATATTCAAGTGCACTCTCTAGGTAGCGGTTGCTCCTACATCACTCTGTACTTTGCAGTCAAAGTACAAAGGGGCGACGATTTAGTTCTGCGCCAGGCGGCATCGTGTGGGCAACACCGCCACTGTCCACGGCACAGAGACGACGTTGAGGTCCTGGCAATGCATTTTGGACGTGGACGGCGGCATTGTCCAACATCGACATCGTCATCGACTAGGGAAGGCCAAGCTCTCGCGGAGGGTATCCATGACAAACGTTCGTACGATGCTTCATGCTCGTCCGGCTTCCAACGGCTTCGCCAAGGCTCCCCCAGTTGGGATGACGGCACGATTCCTCTGCACATGGGCGGGCTCAAGCTTCTATGTCTGGATGAGCGAATCCTTGTGCCGCGTCCTGCCGTCTGCGACGAAGTGGTCTGGTCATGAGTCAGCATCCAGAGGAGCTGCTGTACTATCAACAAAGACAGGGCCTCGGGCTAAGCTATCGCCAGCACGAGTCAACAACAAGGAGGACGCCATAGTCCCTGGCGACTATCATTCGGAATGCGCGAGCAGCGAATGGCAGCGCTAGGGCATCTTGTTTGTTTGCATCGGGACCTAGTGTCTATGACGAAAAGTGTCCGTGGCTGCGGTAGATCGTGAATGCGTCTGCTCGGAACCCGTGCAATGTGAAGACGTGAGGTGAGTCGTGGCACCGCTGATCTCGATTCCGCAGACGGCGTCGAGTTGGGAGGGAGTTGAAACTCGACCGTCGCAGGTACTGAGTCCTAGCACATGTATTCTGTACAACACGGGCGTCAACGGCAGGGCAGGTCGTGACGGGTCGTGCGGCACAAGTGTCAATGCGCATGAAATATTTGGCGAGGGGAGGGGAGGGAAGGAAAAAAAAAAAAAGGGCACTCACACATTTACGCACACAGCCAGCCGGTTGTTGCATGCGGCCGCAAGCCAGCAGCCGCGTCACACAATAGCAACGACCAGGCTGTCTCGCCAACGCTGCGCCCCCGACCAAGCCCAAAGGCCCTCGCACTCGCCCTCGCACTCGTACAGGCGACTTGTACTCCATTCTCCGTGCTGCAAAGTTGCAATGTCATTTAACGTTATTAGATGATGTCAACACACTTGGACGTTCGGATAACTCCACCCCCACAATTTTTTTGCCCGATCAAAACAAGCATATAATGCATGTGCTTTTGTGGCACGGTAACACGGGGGAAGGGGGAGGAGGGGGCGTTAACGCTACAGTTCGCCAGGTGCCATCTGCCATCTGCCAGGTGCCATGCGCCAGGCACCGCAAACCCCGGGACCGGAAGCGACCAGACAGGGCGCGCGAGTGGCTCGGGTGCCAAGTTGGCGCTGGCTACTCCGTAGTGGGTGGAACTTGCCATTGACGTCCTGAAATGGGCCACCATGCACTGTCAACATCATTACCGGCGAATGCGACTTGGAGCTATAGTATCCTTCTCTTTCTCTCTTATCTCTGCCAACAATCTTTTGATGTAGTCACTACCCCTGCCACCGTGGTCTGATAGCCCTGGCCGTACCCGCCGCGTTCCTCCTGCAAGTCTCTGTGCTCATATGACATGTGCAGTTCACGTGGGCAGTACTCCGTGCCTGGCTCCGTGCTTGACCTCCGTTCCTACTTAGGTAGGTGCTACTTAAGTACCTGAGTAAGTACTTGACCAAGTACTGATAAGTGCTCAGGTACTCCGTAGGGGCAGGGCAGGTGCCATTTGACGTCCTGCTCCAGTGCTCCGTAACCGAGCGCCACCAAGATGCAAGCAAATCCAAGCAGACCCCACAGTCAAGCCGCTGGCGAGTAAATTAAATAAAATAATAAAACTCAACAATGCCGGCCCTGTGTCGGAGTCCTGTTGCAACCGGATCGGAAAGCTTCTGAACCTTGTCGGCCTGCCAAACGAGGAAATATGACGGGGAAGGAATGGATTTTTTTTTCTTATCAGCCACTCCGCTTTCTGCCTGCGCCTCCAACGGGACGTCCTCAAGATTCCGTTGCAACACACACAGATCTGGCGCAAAGATTTGACATGCAGCGTTAATCTGCACTCCGTACTCCGTAACCCCCGTGCAGAAGGGTGCAGTGCAGCCCCCACCTTCCCAGGCCGGGTTTCCCCACGGGTCGACGGGTGATAGTCTGATGGTCGCCAAGGCTCGTCACTCTAATTTCTCACCCACTCACCACTCACTTGCCTGCCCCCTGCCTGCCTGCCTGCTTGCTTTCATGCTCTCATGCTCTCACGCTCCCATGCTTCCACGCTTCGACGTTTGCAAAAAGCATCTCCCTTCCTCCCCTCCTTTCCATCATGCAACTGTTGACCGAGTGTCCGACTGGTCCATGCCAACCCCATCCATCGGATGCTGGATATGACTGCGCTCTGGCAAGCTCTCGGTCCGTGACAATCTGGAACTGCTCCCTTTTACCTCGACCAAGGAGTTTTGGCTCCTTCACAACAAGTACGCATCGCATATGTAGGTGCGGCATGGCTCCCACACAAACATACACCCCCCTCTGGTGGCTGCTGCTCCCCCATCTGCTCGACGAGCGGTGAAGAGACCTGTCTCGGGGGCGAAAGCTTGTACGTGAGCGGCCTAGCCATTGTCGGACCAGCAAGACAAATAGTTGTCCCTGCCGGAGGCTGCCTGCGGTTCCCTACAGCCAAAGTCAGGTACCGAGAATGAGCAATCGAAGCGGCCGACTTTCCGCCTGTCCGCCATTGGACGGCACCACATTGGCATCTGGCATGGCATGCCTCTGCAAGCCGCGGGAGACTGGAGGATGGACGGCCGTAAATCAAAGCCCTAGCCGCTCTTCCCGGAAGCCTTGCCTCACTGTCCCCGTCCCTCGGCGGATGCCGGCGTTCCCTTCCCCCAAGCACGACAGCTGGCGAGAAGTAGCAGAATATGATAGACGAGAAATCTGGGTGGAATATAAGCATCAACACACTAAGAAGTGGTGCTAGCCAGGGAGGGTGCTTCTCTTCTTTTTCTTCCCAATCATTTCCATCATATCGCGCCTCCTTCACGTCCTCTCCGAGTTCTCTCCGGCCGTCCAGCAGTTGATGGAGTCTGGCCCGCATCATTGTCGCTGACGTGATCACTCGCAGCAGGCCAGAAGACTTTGGCTCCCATAAGCTCAGCCATGCCATGCAAAGCTCAGCTTGGTGAGCTGCCTCGTCACTGCGCCTCGCTGTTTTACCGCTCCATGGGATCACGGTCACCGAGTCGATCGGCATGCCATGAAACGTGCTTGCTTAAGCCCCTGCTGGCAGCATCCCGTGGAGGAGTACTGACACCAAAGCTGAATGCCACCACAGCAGATGGGAATCCTCTAAGAGACAGACCCCCGAGTGAGTAAACAATCAACAAAAGGGTCGTCCTAAGAGGCAGCTGGCTTTGACATGTTCCAGCAGGCTGTCAGATCCGCCGAGGACCCTTTGTTGGCATGGCTATTTATTACAGGGCCAGTCGGCTAGGGTGCGCTCGTTCGAACATGAAATGCCGTCCAAGGTCCCGACACATGGCTGATGCCTAATTTCGGGGTGCCAGACTGCATGGAGCATCGATGGAAAGGGGGAGCCAGAGAGACATGGGCACTGGCAGAGCTTTGTTGATGACTCAAAGTAGGAAGAGAGCCTGGCGTATTGATTAGATTTGACTGGTTGACACATGGGTGCCTCCTTTTGCGTCGTGCGTCGGACAAGTTGCATTGACATCTTTCTGACCCGGCTAAAGCAGCCCAAGTTTTTTAAAAAAAAATTCAGCAGAAGAGTGGTTAAAAAAGTCAGAAGGGTGGTTACTACAAGATTCATGCAGCCCTCATGGAAATCGGCATTGCCGGAAACGAAAACCGCACGCGGTTGGCGAAAGTGTCAATGTAGCTCTGTATGTCGTTCCGTGTCCGATCCCTTCCCACTACGCCTTTTGTCTTTTCACTCCTCAATGGTTTCCCAGGAATTGCCAAATGGGGAAAAAAAAATTTGCTCATGACGATCCAATTATTTTGTTTTGAAATATCAACTTGAAGAATCTGAGTCCTCCGGGGGATAAGTGGTGATGTCTATATTCATTCCGTCCGTCCGTTCTTTGAAGCTCATGCCTCGAATAAAAAACCAAACGAGAAAAAAAAACAAAAAAAAACACAATGGCTTCTCAGGGTTGCGTATAGAAGAATAGCCCTCATAAATGCAACCGTGAACGCCTACTCTTTCTATAACTCTATAAACCCAAAGTCATCATGTCGTGCAAGTTACCGTCGCTTGGTACATCTCATACCCGATCCATGAGATCGCCGCCAGCGAGGCTACCCGTGGCCGAGCTTCTGCCACTGTTGCTGTATCCGCTGTCCGACAGCAAGTCCTGGACGGCGACCTTGGGAACCTGTGGGACAGGAAGTTTTCGCTGTGCGCCATCAGGGCGGCTGATAATATCCGTCAGGGACATTCCGTTGCTCCGAAGAGCGTTCAATTGAGGCGGAAATTGCGGGGCATCCAAGTGTGGCTCCATGGGTGCCAGAGCCGGTGTCGTGTTGTGCTGAAGGGACAAGTTCCGAATGCTTGGCAGCTCGTACCCCGGGAATGGCCGTAGACGAGGTGAGTGGGCAGGAGTTGCAATGGGAGTGTGGTCAGGAGTAGGTGAGAGTGAATCATGCGAGAAAGTTGGAGACGAAGGGGCCGTTGAGTTGGGAGAGTTTGGCCTTGAACGCTTGGCGTGGCGCATGCCGTTGTAGTGGTCGTCATGATCGTCGTTGGAGTGAGACCTCGCCATGTGGTATGACGACAAGCCATTAGGGTGGCCACGAGAGCTGGGCATGGCGTGGCCATAATAGTGTCGAGGACCGTGAGTGGGAGGAGCAGCGCGAGTCTCACGCTCCACCTGAGTTGCAGCCTTGGCCAGCATTGAAATATCACCGCCACGGTTGAGGGGGTGCATCGGTAGCGGATGGGGGTGCTGGGCAAACGAGGCGAAGGAGTGAGGAGGCGAGACATTGGGGGAGGCCAGCGTCGAAGTAGGGGCGGAGCGAATCGCCTTGGGAGCCGGCTGAGGAGCCATCATGGCCTCAGTGTGCATGTGAGGCGGCAGGCCGCCCTGATGATGGTGGTGGTGGTGGTGGTGGTGATGCTGCTGGTGATGCTGGCCCTTGTTCCCACGTCGCGAGTTGGGGTTGTTGTGAATTCGCGAGTGACGTGTCAACTCATCGGAGCGGGAGAACTTTTTGCTGCAACCAGGAAACTGGCAGGCATGAGGCTTTTCGCCCGTGTGAGTGCGAATATGTCTTGTCTGATGTTCGAGACGGTGGAAGGCCTTGTCACAGAGAGGGCACTTGTAAGGACGAGGCAACTCGTTGGTCGTCTCCGAGGCCTGCGCACCGGGGAGAGGTCCGTTGGGCTTGATGACGGTGACTGAAGCGCTTGCCATTGCGGCGTCAGCCTGTCGAGGTTTCGACTTGTTGCGGTCGGCGTGGACTAGAGGATTCAGCAAGTTGGTGAAGTCAACTGCAGACTGTGACCGTTGCATGTGATCCAGCGCAGTATCCAGAGCGAGGGGGGGGGGAAGCGTGAGGAACGGGCAACGACGTTGAGATGCAGGAAGTTGGGCTCAAGTTGCTGTGTCTGACTGTAAAGAGGCGCGTGTGTATGATGAATCAGAGGCCAAACCTCAGCCGCGAGCAGGATTCAAGTCGAGAATATCGGAAGACGGGGGAGGGAAAAAAGGAAAAAAGAATGGCTGTGTATGTGGCCTGGAGTGGGAGGAGACGGGGGATTTTTTTTTCAGAGGAGGGGACGAGGGGAGCGAACGGTTTTAAAAGGGCGGGTTTGTCCGGAACCACACAGGTGTGAAGTGTGAAAAGTGTGGAGGGTGTAGTACTCGGTACTCGGTACAAGCATCCATCACAGCGCACGGCATCAGGAGTGTGCTCTGGGGCAGCTGCACAAGGCGGCAAAACAGAGGCGCCACTCGGGACATTGGGGCGCTTGGGGGGTGAAGCACTGAAGCCGAAGCCGCCGGCCAGAAACCCGACGGTGAAGCGAAGCGTCAACCGCTGTTGCCTTCTGGTTGCGTGCGTGTAGCGTAGCAGTTCTCCCTGCCATGTCCGTCCTGTCCGTACCAGACAGGAGGCGCTGTTGGGCAATCGTCCGCACCTGCGGGCGGGTAGCAGGCAAGCCAGCAGGTTGCAGCGAGAGGAGAGAAGAAGGAGGGGCGCTGGGGCGCTGGGCTGCTGCTGCTGGGCTGCCAAACTGGACCAGAACATGGCCCATTCCAACTTCCTGGGGCAGATACCTGGGGGACACCTGGGGGACGCCCCCGACTCCCAAGGCAGGGGGGACACGTCGAGGTTCCGAGGCTCTCCAGACCTTGTACCTGCCCCAGCCCCATCCATGCTCTGGGGATTGATGCTTCCAGACGTCCAAGTTCGGTGTTGAGCGGCGGGCACCGGGCTGCGGGCTGCACTGCAGTCAAGGTCCCTTGACACACGCCCTTGTATCGAGAGCCACCCTTACGGCGGGGCTGGGCCCCCAGAGCCCAGCGGTGGACGGGCGGGTGATGCGAGTACTACTGAGGCGTCCGAGGTACCTGTGCAGATTCTCCGCCGTCCTTGGCTGAGGGGGTCGGTGGCTTGGCTGGGGCCGACTGGGGCGCCGACTGGGGCAAGGACCGGGGCAGCGACTGGACAGTGAACACTGGCCGGTACTCTGCCGACACACCCCTGGATTCACGGGCGCGCGCAGAGTGCATCTGGACACCCCCCCTTTCCTGAACCCAGGCATCTGAAGCCCTGCGCAAGGAGTCGAGTACTACTACCAACTCCAACTCCGTACATAATGTCCAGGGCGAAAGCGTCAAAGGACTGGAGCGCAAACGACGGCAAATAACGCAGAGAGCGCCGAAGGCAGTGCGCGAGTTATGCGAAGGACCGATGACTGAGCAGTGTGGGCAGTTGGGTTCTGTTGAGGTTTTTGACTTTTTTTTTTCTTTTCCCTCCCCTTCCTACTCCGTACTCTCTCTCGCCTCTCCACAACACTACTCCGTTCAGCACCACCATACAGACGGAGTACGCCAGCAAGGAGCCATGTTGTGTGGGGCGCAGCATCCGTCGTGTTGAGCTATGCCAGACTGATTGGTCCTCAGTTCACGAGACGTCGTCGTTCGGCAGTGTGTGGTAATGATGGCATTGACAAGCCAGGGCCGCTTCGCAACTGTCTTGTCGTTAGCATCCAGCATCCCCGTCACCAACGGAGCGCGACGAAGCGCAGCGACGGACGGCTTAGCGTGGCGGGAGTAACAGTCTTGGTGGGCACGGAGGAGGTTACTAACTACTCCGTGGTGCGTACGTGGAAAGACCGCCGCAGACCTTCTCATCTATCACCCACGCCCCGTACTCACACGTATTGCATCGCAGGCTGCAAGTCGACGACGGCCGTCCACGTCCTAGTCATGTCCCTGTCCGCCGGTGGTCAAACCTCTTGTCGATGATGGCTGTGGAACATGGATGGCGTGCTGCGGAGTCCCTCTCTTGCACCCACGCATGTCGTAACGGCCGGCTAAACCAAATAATTCATCCCTTTGGAATGAAACGCCGTGACTAAGAATACCTGGATATCTACGTACGTACTCCCAGTAAGCATAGCCACCGACCCCTTGCACCTCCAAGGCCTGGTTTGGCGGTCCTGATGAGTGGTTCGATAAAGGTCAACCACACGGCCTTGGCCCTCTGGGGCAGTCATTCTCTGCCTCTGCGTCGTCCTGTACGGAGAGGAGAGTATGGAGCACGGAGCAAGGAGCATCGAACACGTAATGCGAGTCTGGGGCCAAATATGTCTCCGGCAATATTCCGCAACTGCAAGGAGTAGTAGGTAGGGTACGGAGCACCAGTCGTCCAGCCGTGCAATCTTCGGCAACAAAACCTCCTGCTTCGCGAACCCCCGGCTTGCTACCTCTCCGTCTTGTGTGGGGTGGGACCACGACAGCCAGCCGTGGAGACGGATGGTACAGAGTAACTACGGAGTACGGAGTACTATAGGAGGGAGTGCTTCCCCGGACAGTCTCCCCCAAAGTGTGACTTGGAATTGCCGCTCTGGCTTCGATTGCCTTGCAACAGACGTGGTGCCGAGTGCGTCCGTTGTATTACCCCAGCCCGTCTGCCAAGTAGTTACAGACAAGCCGTCTACGATCCACCATGGCCATGGGGTTACGGATGTATTTTATACGTTCGTAGTTTCGGCGGTTTGCAGTGTAATGTCATGTGTACTCTGTCCAGACTCTCGAGGGTCGCAAAGCTATTCGATCGAGCTCATTCATGGTTTCGTTTCGCGCCCATGACCCGCTTCCTACCCCTTCGAATTTGATATATCGCGCTCGCGTCGAAATGAGACATGATTGGAGGGCGATACGGCCATGTACTTGGGGAAACGAACCTGAGCCAGCCAGACTACTCCGTCTCCGTGCAACTGAACTTTATTGGCCTTTCCAACCGACGGTTGGACCTGGCGGCTTTTGTCTCACCGGAAGGGAGCGTGGTGAGCTTCTCGCTAACAAGGCTTGCCAGGGCGTCATGAGAAGATGTCGACTCTTGAATGATGCGAGGACGATGACGAGTCGCCCGGTATCCTCGTCTCCTCGTCCGCTACCAAGCCATCCGCCAAGATTGTGAATCCCGCCCTGGTTGCGCCATCGAAAGCTTGCCAAGGACGCGGAACAGAGCCTTGTTTATCCAATGCCAAAATACCCGATTGTCGTAGTACTATGCAAAATACATGTTTATCGGGAACAGGGTGCGGGAGGCTTGAAAAGGTTTTCGTTGTTTCCTAGCCCACAAGACACGGAGACTCTGCCAACCGAAAAAAAAAATTTTTAAGAAAAATATGAAGAGAAAAAAAAGGGACCAGGTCTTTATCCTCCCAACTGTACGGAGTAACAAGCACAATGTCGTTGGTTGGCTTTCATCAGGTCTCGGATTGTCTCCCCCTTGGGTCGCTTCCCCGGTCGTTTGTTCCCCTAGTCTATCGGCGCCTCCCCGAGGATTTGCTTTTTTTGTCTTTTCCTTTTCCCTCGCTACGGGGTAATTTTGCTTCTGTTCCTTCTTCCCGTATGACTGCAGGTCTGAGTCGGCGGCAACCAGTCTAGCTCCCGCGGTCGCCACGCGTCCTGGTTCACATCGTGGCCACATCATGTCCCATGAGCTATTCAGGTGTCGCGCTATCAAACGCGGCCCTACATAGTTACATATCTCGATGCCTCGCCTTGCACGCAGGGTCATGGCGCTTATCAGCCTCAGTTGCGGGCCGCCGGTGCTGGACAAATGCTAACATAACCTGCCGATGCCGACGCATCGTCCTGGCGTTGATGTTGACCGTTAACGCCAGAGGTCTCTCTGGTACGGAGTAGGTACGGAGTAAGTGAGGGCTCGGTTGGACACGCAAGATGTCTCATCATGACTGCATCTCGTACATTAGGGCGCTCGTTCCCCGGGCTGTTTGAGGCGGCCAAGGTCAACAACAAAACAACGTCAACATCGACCACTGAGAGTGGCCAAGATGTATGCTGCCTTTCGGCGAGAACGGACATGAGGGTGGTGGTGGGATTATCCACCATAGTCCCCTGTGTTCATGGCCAGAACTGGGATTTGGCGAAGACGGCGACTTCAGGTTTCACTAGCTCTCTTGATGGCCCAAGTGTTTAGTTTTTAGCTGAAGATGGCGACCGAAGCACCCCTTGAGGGGCCCGTGTTGGCGACGAAGTATTAATAACATCCGACGAGCACATCATTGCATGTGTCACAACTGCCCTTTCCGAGACGCCATACGCCATCACTTCAACTCCAGGCTGTGACTGAGTAGCAGGGCACCGGCGCACCAGCGCACCAGGCGTCTGCTACATATTGGACGGTCTCTTGGCAATTCCGGAATCAGTCGGCGAGGCTTGGTGCAATAACAATGCGGCCGCCCATGGGCCCCATGGACCGTGTGCTCGATGCGCTGAATCGCGCAATCATTGCGCAATCCGCATCGACGAGTTCCGTCCCCTTGTGCTCGAGACCCAAATTAGCTCGCGGCTCTCGCCAAAGTTTCCTGCGCGTCAGGTGCCTCGGCAAGCCCATTACCGGGTGATCCGTCCATGCAAGTCTATCGGTTGAACGTGATCACAACGGGCTCGCGTGGAATTCGACTGGCAGAATTCTCCGGGGATAGCACGGAGCACCCACCAAGCAACTTAAACGCCGCATGGGGAGACGCAGTCGCCATGATCCCAGCGGCCTGGTTTGGCTTTGGCTGCAAGCCTCACAGGCCAGCTTCCAAATGCGGACAATGTCATTTCGTCCTCGATACACACCGGCCAACGGCGACTATTGCTAATATGACGGAGCTGGTTAGGAGTCAGGATTCGACATTTTACGCATGGAAAACGCAGGTCCAGGTATTTCTCGCGAGCACGTCTTCCGCCAAGACGACGGAAAGGTACGACAACACACCAAGGTAAGCCAAACGGAACAACTCGCCCGTCATGGCCAAAGAACAGATCTCGCATGGACTCAGACTCCAAGTCTAGTGATGGATGTAGCTGCACTGGTGGATGCTCGCTCAGAGCCCAGGTCAGGTCGCATTGTTGCCAACGGTGAGCACCCACGTGCCCGCGTGCTCTCACGATGGCGATGGCGCGGGGCTCCGCTCGGCGCGGTCGGTGTCCGACCCCGGACTCCAGTCGTGACTTCCTCCTGGTGCCTGCTCCTGCCTGTTCCTGCCTCCAAGAACCGACGTGACGCCTCGGCATCGCCGTCTCCTCCCAACCGCCTTTCTTGGAACGGTCTCCCGAGCATGTCGACGTCGTTCAAGGCCAAATCCATGGCAACCTCCCTGCGACTCCATTGACGAAACTCGGCATGACCGGCATAACCGGCACAACAGGCTTATCATCCTTATCAGCCCATGCCCATGTCTCACTTTGGCATCGAGAAGATGACGGCGGCCCCCGTTTCCCCCGGGTCGGCTGTTTTTGCTGTGGCCCGTTATCAGCCCAAGCCGCCCGCTTGATAGCAGATCCTCCGCATGGCCAAATTGTTTTGTCCGACTGTCCGTGTCGGTATCCAGTAGCTGCAACGTCTGCGGTCACTGTTGGATTGTGGCCCCGACGGTCATCTTAGATTACCAACGCCATCGCAGATCGGGGGACCTGTCGCTCTGTATCTGCCCCTTGTAGGAAACACCTGAAGGAGTTGAATAGAACAGAAGCCAAGAAAGGGACAGATGCGTGCGTGTCGACAAGTCGTTCGCGTCTGCTGTTGAAATTGTGGACATGGCCGTCTGTCGTGGGAATAGCTTGCTGCCGTGGACTCGCGGGATCCTTCTCCCCAACCTCTGGTTGGTTGATGGCGGTTGCCTTTCATGTCTTGGATCTCAGCTGCAGCACGATGATGCCCGGCTTCTACGAAGAATTTGGCCCCAGCCGGCCAGCCCACTGCTTCAGTGGCCGTCGGATGGCCGCATGGAGTCACTCGACCCGGCGTGCATTGCCATGACAGGAATCTTGGACCTTCAATCTCTCACCGCTACCCTACTAACGTTACCTACCACCCACTACCCTACCGCCGCGAGGAATTTCTTTGCAAATAGAGGCTAGAAATTGACAGTGGCGTGTGGGGTGACGCGCGAGTCCTAGGCGCTTGCTTGCAGTGCGATGGCAACGCGACTCGCGGTTTTGCAAAATGGCAATGAGAATTGTGGCGTGACTGACTTTGTGTGTACGAATACGGAGTGGCGAGTGATCAATTTTCGAAACTCTTCTCCGCGACGCTGCATGCCCGGTCGAGTTGGACGAAACGACAGCGCCGAGCCTTTCAAATGTCCCAAAACCCAAGTCAGGGATCTGGTCGAGTTACTACTTGACTCTACAGCAGCAGGGATGGACGGTCACGGTCCGGATTTCCCATACGTGACCGCGCAGCTGTTGACATTTTGCATCTCCATGATACCGGACCGCACTTCGGTTGCACGGAGCAAAGTTGAGCCATCGACGTCTCTCATCCTTTTCTCTTTTTTATTTTTGCCCCTCCCTTCGCAACAAAAAGACTGTTTGTTGCTGGCCGAAAAAACCCACGGGTAACGGACTAAAAAGATGACGCTGGACGACACCTCGTCGACGTTCCAGCCGTGAAGTGAGCGGCCAGGTTTCGCCCCAAGAGCCCGAGGCTCCCTAGTTACTCCGTAGTGGCTAGTGATTTGAGCACGTTTTCGGGCCAAGTTTCGTCGTCGAGACGTGTCAGGTAGATGATTTCAGCCTGGGGCTGGGGGGCGTGCGGGCAGAACGGGAACAAGTCGGCCTTGTTGCTCATACGTATCTCTTGCAGGACGAAGTACGTAGTACGCAGCGGTTTCTCCTTTCCTGCCCTTTGCTTGGCCTTTTTTTTTTTTTTTTTTTTTTTTTTTTTTTGTTCACACCGTGCTAGAGGCATTGTCACCACCTGGGCGTAAAGTGGCACCACGGAACTTCCGAAGTGAATGTCCGAGATGTAACGATGGCGATTTATTTGTCTACGGCGTACTGTAGCGCCAGTGAATGCGCCTACAGATTTACGTGGAACATGTGAGGTGACAGCAACAGGGGTAAATAAATAAATAATAACGCAATAAAAAAACTACACACACATGCGGCACCTCCCACCGCCATCTCGGTCACGTGATGTCGCGTGCGGCCCGACGTGAACGTTCGCGTCAAACCCGACTGCTCGGCCCGGCCACAACAGTCTCTTGCTGTACGAGTCAACCGATGGATTCGGGAAATGGACTACCACTCCGTCCATGGGCATGACGTATCTAGCTTTGACATAGCCGGGACCCGTAAGGTTTGCAAAATCCCTCCCCGCTCCGCCAGTCGTTGACCGTGTCTTCAGATCGGCTGCCGACAGTTCAGGCCTCGCAGGCCTTGGACGAGCTCCCGGATGACGGTGGCCTTTATTTATCTACAGGCTTGCAAGGGCTAGATCAGGCTCTCCTGCCGCCGTCGCCGTCTAGGCCTCCGAGCTCTGCCTCCGTTGGCGGCATCAAGAGGGGTCAAGTAACAGAGGTTTGGGGTGCGCCTGGGACAGGCAAAACCGCACTCGCGTAAGGGTCGCCTGAATCCACCAGCCTGGCTGCCGCAGGACGATGCACATACAGTGTCGTGTCTTTTTTCTAATGCAGTGCGCAGGATTCAGTTGGCTGCGAATTCCATCCGTGGTGGAAATCATGTTGTTTGGATCGGTAAGCGCTGTGGCTTTCCTAGCCTGACTAATTGTTCATGCTGACGGCTTGAAGATTGCTTCCAAGAGACACAAGTCTCTCGACTGCAAAATGTGCTGGAGGCTGCGACGGATGCGGTGCCCGGTGGCTCGATCCAAGTTGAACGGCCCGCCGCCAGCCGGGGTGAGTTTGTTCACTTTTCATGCTTGACCATGGCGCATTTCATGGCTCTGGTGTCACGGCCGAATGCAAAGTCCATACCAGAGGGGACGGCCCTGATGGTCGCAAGCAACCTCTCCGCCTTGATAAACTCAGCGTTGCCGAAAGCTACAGATGGGAAAACAGGCTCCAAGAACAACAAGGGTGAGTGCAGAGTCTTGCAGCGGTTCCGTCGCAGCTGCTAAACAGGAGGTTCTACGCGTAGGGCCGACCGCCTCTGCCAAGCGGCTCCAAGGCTTGCAGTTTATCATTAATGCACTTCAGAAGGTAGCAGCAACAAGGAACTGCGCCGTTGTCGTCTCCTCGCAATGCGCAACCAGAATGCAGTCCGAGTCCGGGGCCACTCTCGTGCCAGCAGTCAATGCGTCGGTGTGGGAGCAAGGCATATCGACCCGAATAGTCATGTTTCGAGATTGGGCATGGAATAATGGGACACTACTTGGCATTTTCAAGGCAGGGCTGCAGAAACTGGATGGCAAATCTGGCAGTGACGCGATTGAGCGGGTTGCGGCCTTTAACGTCGGAAGAGTAAGTCATTACGGCGATTTCACTTTTGCTTACAAACCAGCCACTTTGAAACGTGGTAGCAAAGCACAATGCTTGCTAACGGTCAGTGGATGCAGACTGGCATTGCAAGAGTGGAATGCGACGACTCCAAGGCCCCCGCAGTTGAGCCTGCTGACGTGGTTCGACCAAAGCGAAAGCTGGAACAGACCGACTTGGAGGTCCCGGACAGCCAAGGAGATGAAAACTATGGCTGGGCAGACGACGACGACGCAGCCCTGCCAGCGCCTCCGCCGCAGTGGCAAGGGAGTGAAGACGTCCTATTAGGACAGGAACTTGGCCGAAACGACGATGGTAGGGATGAGGATGAGGATGAGGATGCCTGTGAAAACAGCAACACACCACCATCCTCGTAGGCCACTTATGATTAAGATGCCGGCGAAGCACCGAATAATGCCGGGGGCCAAAAATAGCATGAAATGGGACTGCTCCACGGAGCCTCAACTCGTGGAGCCTCCACCGTAAGTGATAGAATGAAGAGATAGTATTTGACGGTGAGAGAGGACTGGTCCGTCTCACCCAAGCAAGCAACTGCCGCCACCTGCCACCTGCAGGCACGCACGCACGCACGCACGCACGTACGCACAGGACAAGGGGCAGAAAGGGTCAATGGTCAACAGCCATGATTCAAGAAACCCCCCTCTCAACCTGTTATGACTAGTCTCGTATCAAGACGTCGGCGAAATGTCGGTTTGACTGGCTTGGCCCACGATCGGTCAATGCCGGTGCAGCGGAGAGCGTGTCGCATCTGCCATGCCTCCGTCACGACCCGGCTATGCGAATGCTTCTGGAAGGCCTAAAAAATTTCTATTGATGGCATATCGCACATCATGCATGGATGATGGACAAGTTGACTGAGCCGTACCCCACAAAAGCAACCGTGCCAGGGCCCAGGGGAGAGGGGAGGCGGACAGGCAGACGTGGCCGCCCCTTGGACACAATATTGTACGGTACGGAGCACCGAGCAAGCAAGCAACATGCATACCTGCTGCCAATGACAATACGGTCGAGCACGGAGAGACGAGAGACGAGAGGCAGAGACGAGGCAGAGACGAGGCAGAGACGAGAGGCAGAGACGAGAGACGGGCTCGTGAGGTAGGCCCCACATTCTGGAAGTTGACTGCACGTACGTACTCATGTACGCGTGTACTTGTGGAGAGGAGGTAGGTACACACGTACACTAGGTACGTACTACATTCTGCCTTGCCAGAGCTTTTTCTCGCCCTGCCCTTGATCTGCTCCACGTTTTGTTAACGCCACACCTCATTCATCAGACCAGCCAGAGGCAGCGGCAGCGGCAGCGGCAGCGGCAGCGGCAACGGCAGTCTTGCATGTGAACCGGGGAAGGAGCAACCAACTACCTAGGTTCGGTACGGACTACGACGGAGTACGGAGTAATCAACAAGCGCCCGGAAGCCTGAGCTCTGGTGGCCGAGGAACAGAGGCATCACCTGCTTGGTATGGGTACTTGCGGTTTTCGCTACTCCGCACTCGGTACTTTTGCTGGATCGATTTTCTGGGGCCGAGAAATGCACTCATGCGCTCCATGGAGTACTTGCTGCTTGATTACGAGGCACACGGGAGAGGCTCACAGCGCGGCTCTGACGGATTGTGCTGGTGCTGGTGCTGCTGCTGCTGCTGGTGCCGTGCCCATGATGGCGTCTCCTTGGATAGTGCACAAACAGCCGCACTCGTTACTACTAGTAATAACAAGTTCAAGTCAAACAAACAACAAACAGAACAAGCACACGCACACGCCCAATGCCCCCGAAGTGGCTTGAAACGCCTGAAACATCCCTGGTCCCGGCCGGGGTCCGACGAGCCCTCTCCGGGATCTTCTTCCTGGGGCAGTACAGTATACTCAGAGTATACTCCATGTTTGCGGCACCATCGAGTTACTTCCCCCGTACGGAGTAGTTATATTACTCCATACTCTACGGAGTACGGCCATGCGTCCGTACACACCTGGTCCTGGGCTCGCGGCATAAGGCATTGTGTTGATTGTCAATTAAACGACGGGATGGCAAAGTCAAGTGCAGCTCTGCAACTCATTACGGAAACAAGGCAACTCCTCAACTTCAACTTCAGTCGGGCGCAACTCAACGTTGGCCGATGCCCTGCGACCAGAAGGCACCACACGGACCCCCGATACGTCGGGTCCTTGGTCTTTGGTCTTTGGACGAACCATCATGCCGCCATGCAAGGGCCCTACTCCGTTCCTCTTGTTCTCCCTACCTGGCCCCAAGGTCGGGGCGAATGTGACACGGCAACACGTTTGGTCCGGCAACGACGACGACGACGACGACGACGACGACAAACAACAGCCGAATCCCGCGTTTGCGCAAATGTCACTTCACCCCCCCTACTCCGTGGCCCCGTACTGTCTATGTTGCAGCATTTTGTTTGTCGGCCGGCGGAAACGGACGCGCCGATCGCTGCCCGGATGGTGTGGCAATCGAGCCAACGGAAAGTTCCCCGTGGCATGCCGTTGTCCACTGTCGAGCTCCGAGAGGTTGCTCAAGTGAAGTTCCCCCGTGTTTCCGACGCGCTAAAACAGTGTTTTGTTTGTGCGTGTCGCCGGCATCAGTACGAGACGGCACACACACAGGAAGTCTTGTTCCAGATGAGTAACTATTGCCTATCATCTGCGGTCTGACGCCCAGCGGTCGTGCGAGACAACTCGTTGACACGCCACTTTGCGTATAACCACTTGGTAATCTACTGCGACACTCAACACTCTGCAACACACGCATACACTCACCCGAATGCCGCAGGCATGTATCTACGGCAGGTCGGTTTTTTTGTCTCGCATAGCTTGCGTCTGTCCTCGCCATCCGTTCGACTTCCGTCATCTGCGCAAACAAAACAGCTGATAATGTCCCCATGTCCCGTCCTCGTGATGCCGTCATGCATCACATGTCAAGACATCGATATTCCTTCCCCACCCCAGGCTGCTCCAGAGTCTAGACCGCTTTGCTTTGGCCCTCCGAAAAATGGGCGCGACACACTTTGCCAAAGCTTAGCCAAACTCGACCAGCCGTGGTGGCCAAATCTTCATGTGAATGAATGCTGGACATGGCTGCCGCGAGATTGGCTTTATCTCCGCCGCGTCTCTCCCCCCTGCCTTGTGTTGTCTCGCTCTGCGCCATCTTGAATTGCGACTTGTTGGCTTGCGTGGCCATTCTATCGCATTGCGTGCTGGTGATTGGTTGTCTTGCCTATCTTGGCCCCTTGGTGCGCTGTTTGTTGCGATTTGTCGGAGACGCAAAGGCCATTTCTGCGTTGACCGAATGTCGGGGGGAGAGCGACGCCGAACTCGTTGGGGCCGTACCTCTGATGGTTTGGAGGTGATGAGGTCGCAGATGGTCGAAGGTTGTTGCTAACTGGCATACAACAGGCTGCTGGCTGGTAGTGTCTTCCCGACAGATGATTTTCCAGGCCCGATACATGAACCGATGAGGAAAGTTGGCAAAACCTCTTGCGGGTTGTTTTGGCCTGGGATGGGGACTCGTCCCATTGACCTGTTTGCCCTTGAAACTGCAAGCCAAGAACAGAGTCTCTCGAGAAACCTCATCCCGTGGCCCGATGACGAATATATTCGTTCCCCGGGGAACCCATGTCGCTCCTATTCTCCAAGGTCATTAGGTCGTTCCTGCTGTCGAATTGGACGTTTTGTGGTTTCGAACGCATCAACTACGTCCTGGACTCTCCTTTTGATAGCTCCGGCGTGGGACCATCCAACCATGAAATGGAGAGAAAGTCGGGAGTCTGTGAATCCCAACTCTAGGCATTCTAATTCGTCTCCGGTTTCTAAGCTTCGTATAGTTTGTCCTCTGCAACTGCCTATTGTGTGGCTGAGTGGTCAGACGACTAGCTGTCTCCAGGATTCCATGACTCTTGAACACAAGTTTTTGTAGATTGACATGACGGGAGCTTTCATGGCGTTTTCAGCTTTTCTTTATTCCTAGATGTCCCCACTGTTGAGTGAGAGTGGAAGTAGCTCGTTGTCTTTTCTCGCAAGTCGCTTGCTTTGGACACGATGGCATGTGGTGGCATGTGTACAGGGTAGGTCGAGTTCCCGTACCAGTACTCGGTACGAGCCAACTATATGGAAGTTGTTGATGAAGCTGCTTGCCACTAGAAGAAGACGGATATGCATATGACTTGTCATACACTGACATGCCCAAGTGCATATGGCATAGAGATGATGTAGTATATCAGTCAATGATACTTCATGTACTCTCAAGGGACAGAGAATTTTCTAATGAATGTCCCTGGAGAGCAAGAGGGTAAGCTGTCCTGTTCCCGGAGGCACACCTTGCGCGATCTTTATATAAATGTCGACGACCACTCAACATTCACCAAGACTGACTCTGGCATGAACAACCCTGCCGGATGCTGATTGACGTCTCCCACACCTCGTGAAGCCACAGTCACGCAGGCCCTCAAAAAAAAAAAAAAAGGGAAAATCACACGTCTGGATGTGACGGCCACTAAAACATACCATGGGACGAAATACACATGCCGTGCTAAATGTGACAAGGTCGTCGTTCTTGATGATGATTGTGACTCGAGAGTCTGCAATCTGCATCTGCATACATGACCGAAAGCGGTGCATCACGTAAGCAGCAATTGGCCATTGACAAACCGCCCGCCCCTTCGAACCTCACGGTTCAGAACTTCAGACCATGATCCCGTTGTGCTTCACAGTTCCCGGTGCATGGCCAACTAGACGTCAGAGGGAGTGAGTCTTTCCCTCCAGTATACTTATGAACGGGACGGTATTTGTCGTCATTGCCCGAGTAATGAAAAAAAGAGTCGACTGTGTCGCAGCAGCGGTGGTGAGTAACCCATCCACCGTCAGCCCAGTCTCGCCGGCGACTGCATCGTTTTGGTACGTAAAGATGCATGTTTCTCTCGTCACTGGCCAACGCTTGACCACCCATCCCCTTTTCCCGCTCTCGTCTCTCTCCTCTCTCCTTCTCCCCAAAGCGTCTGCTGTGCTGCTGCCACCTCCAAGTAGCGGAGCGGACAGCGCTGCGTCGAAGCGTCGTGGCTTCCGTCGTTCCCAACCTACATCCGTCTCCTCTCTGGGTCTGCTCACAATGTCCCATCCCTCACAGGTCCCCGGCTGGCCTTGTTGCGTCGAGGAACTAACATCAATCTCATAAAAGATCATCATGTCTACGGAGGCGGACGCGGACGCGGGCGGCGCTGCTGCCACGGCGGACAAAGGAGAGAAGCCCAGGTTCTCATGGCTGTGAGTAAGTTCTGACGGCGGAGCGTGAGTGCAGCCCCGGGCTGACCATGAGATATGTAGACGTCCTCACCCCATATTTGTGATAGTATTAGTTGGTCCCGACGAGCAACCGTTCGGTATACAAAAGGACTTTCTCTGCTACCGCTCGGACTTCTACCAGCGCTACTTCGCCGGCAAGCAGAGGGACGACACGGTGGAACATGTGGTCAAGCTGCCGGACGAAACGCCCCAAGTGTTCGGGCTGGCGCAGAACTTCCTCTTCACCGGAAAAGTCATTTCGGACAACGAGGAAGTCCCCTCGTACGAGTCGCTGGTAGGCCTCTGGAACCTGGGCCACAGACTCGGCATCCGAGGGCTCTGTGACAAGACGCTCGAGGCCATGACGGAGTGCCGCAGGTTGACGGAGCGAATCCCCGCGACACCGCTCCTGGTGCAGGTCTGGAGAGACACCCCCCCGGGCTCGTCCATCCGGATGCTGCTCCTGTCCTGGGCCGCCGAGTACATGAGATCGTCCGATTCCCGGGCCGAGTTTGCCAAGTCTCTGCCGCAGGAGGTCCTCAGTGAGCTCGTCGTGGCCATGAGCGCCTTTGAGCTGGCCGCGCCGGCCCCGGCTCCGGCCCCGGCGCCGTCCGCGTCCTCGGTCGTGTCTGCGCCGGCGGAGCTGCCCAGAAAGAGCGTCCACTACCTCGAGGACCCGAGCGAGGACGACCTCAGCAGCATCAGGAAGAACCGCCGCCTGAGCGGCCCGCCCACCACCGTGGCGAGGACGGACCAGTCGCTCGGGCGCAAGGGATCCCGCACACCGCTGCCGAAGCCGCAGAAGCGCAGATCCGGCGCCGCCTACGTCGACGGCCGCAACTTTTCTACGGCCCAGAAGCTCGACTTTTGCGCCGACTTGCTGAGCAGGATGCTCTCCGGACCAGGTGAGAGACAAAAAAAAAAAACCAAAACAACAAAACAAAAAGAGGCCACCCGTGGCGAGGCCCTCAAACCGCCCCCAGGGCACGCGCTGACCCATGAATTCACAGGCTTCTGGACAAGACTGGTCGGCCCGTTCAGGGACCCCGTTGAGCCGGCTGAGGACGGCGTCCCCGACTACTTTGACAAGGTCAAGCGGCCGATGGACCTCACCACCATCAAGGCCAAGATGGACCGGCACGAGTACGCAAGCGACGAAGACTTTGTCGGCGACATGCGGCAAATATTTGAAAACTGCTACACGTACTGGAAGAAGGGGGACCCGATGTGGCAGGCTGCAGAGAAGCTCCAAAAGACGTTTGAGGACAAGTTTGCCCACATGAACAAATGGATCTCCAAGATGGGCGGCGACGAGGGCGACTGACCGCACCCTCGGTTGGCTTCTTCTGCTCTGGCAGCACGGTAAATCTAGACGGATAATGCGTGTAACGTGATTGCGACGCGTGGTTTTTGACGGCGGATTTCATGACAGCGAGCATACAGGACCATCATCATGTAATGATAATATATGGACGGATGGCCTCCACAGGACAGGCAGGTGTTGTGGGAACAACGATGGCTAGAAATGGTGGGCAGAGAGAACGAATATTGTGCTTTTGGCACCACAGGTGCAGGTGTATAACAGACGTCGCTGATGACACTTGTTCGTTTTTGCCTGTTTCTCCCCAGAAAGTAACTACCTCGGTGCGTCTTGTTCTGTCTGTGTATCTCGGACGTTGGAGGTATGCTTCCTCCCCTACGACTTGACTTGGAACTACTGACGTCACGAGAGTGTTTCGAGATCAAGGAGCGAGGTTTGACATGAATTAGACGCTGGCCAACCTTTACCAGTCTAACTCGTGTCGCTGGAGTGTCCATCCATGTAAGGGCGAAACCGGTGGCTGCGCGACCTCGATCTCGGCGTGAGTGAGCTACGCGGATCGGGAAGAGGACGTGTTCGAGACAAGTCTCGCGCGACTGCAGTAAGCCGCCCACGAAGCTCCGGACAGGCCTCGTGGGCGGCCTGAAGTGACGTGGCCATCCTTTCCTCCGAACTAGCTATTTGGAGGACCATTGCGGAGAAGCCTGGAAGCAAAGCGCTGGACGCAGTGCCCTGGCAGCCGGCCACGGCAGGCAGCTTCATTCTGTGCTAGGATTCGAGGGCCGTGCCGTGGCGGTCGTGAGGTGTAGGAAGTTGTGGAGACGGGTTTTTGTCCCCTCTCCCTCCATTTCTCCTTGTCGCGCCCCCCTCTCAGGTCTTGGGAGGATTCCTGAGCAAGTCCTATCTAGTGGTCATTGCGAAGGCATGGGAAGCTATGAAGGTGAGACATAGTAAGACAAAGCCTACGGAATGGAGTTGGCGGACACGGGCCGGATGCTCGAACCACCCAACGCCAACATGGATACTACTAGTCGTAGTCGTAGTGCGAAACTAGTTGGGCGCTCCAGGGAGGAAATTGGCCCAAGAATTTCACTCAGCGTCCTCGGTATGAAACGTCTACTTGTGCGGTTTCAATTGGCTGGACGTCGGGGAGCCACATTTGCCAAAGTCGACATGACCACTCCGTAGTGAGTCAGAATATGGCTGCAAAACAACAAAAAGAAAAAGTTAAAATGCCATGGTCCATGTACGGGGTACGGGCCAGGGGAAACGACATGAAACGACAATACGTATTTGTCCCTGCATGCTTGGCTGCGTTGGGCTGCTCCTTACCAAAGAACTGGAGCTCTGTTTCACCGCACGTTGGCGGCGCAAATGCGCGACAAGCTGCACAAGGAGTGGATGACGATAGAGGATACGTACGTAAAGAAGATGAACAACCTTTATCTATTTTTGCGTCCTGGTTTTTTTTTTTTTTGTGACCCAGCGCCTTGATGTGGTCCGGAGATTGACGGGAAGATTATCCGAGCAGTAGGGAAATACGAGGAAATAAGCTTCTGGGTACTAATGAATGCGAGCCGTCGGGCTTGGTTGGCTTGGCTTGGACAGTCGCTCCGGAGCGTTGGATGGTTGACGGGTGGACGGGAACCCGAATGAAGCCCTCAAAAGCCAGGTGTTTAGCGCCCGTAGCGACCCAACCCATGAGTCCATGGTGGGACCGACTTGATCACGAGATTGGGCTCGAGGCCGAGCCATGGTTGGTTCTGGATGCTGTTTGTTCCTCGGTGCCGCCAGCGGAAGAAGATGTTGGCGTACGTACGCGGCGGCCAGCGCCACAGACCTCGAGGGAATAAAACAAGTCAGCCACGAGGGGTCCGTACGTGAGTGAAGGTACGGAGTAGGCTGTAGCGGTCAAATCGAGCCGGCGGGGCAGAAAATTCTTCACGACAAAAGAGGATGGGCAGTTAATTTAAACCTGGGGGCGAAGCTTTTGCTCGGAGACGACGGACGATTCGATTGGTCCGACTCGGGTGCGCTCACGTGACGAGATGGTGCAGGGAGAAACGTTTCATCCTGAGGACAGGACAGGACAGGACAGGATAGGTCACTGGCGCCAAAACCCCCGCAGACCAAGTTTGAGCCCGACGTTTGACGCCCAATTTTTAGATTTTTCTTTAAATCGACGACACTTTGCGTCTGACCAGCGACGGGTGAGACGACGGAAAAGGTGTCTTTCGACGTGAAGCAGCCCAAGTCGCCAACAAATGGCACTGGTGGCTAGGTGCTCCGTACCCCACGGTCTGTGCATGCTGTTGGCGTCTGGGGGTGGGTGCCCCGGGAAACCAGGCAACGCACGAACGGGCGGCCACTCGCACGTATAGTCGCAGCTAGTGCGGCCAAAGAGGGCATGCATGGCCAGCGCGATGACGCAGTTTGATTGGTTGTCGGCCGCTGTCGAAGGCGTGCCTGGCGGGACCCGCGGGCTGTGGCAGGGCCACTTGACGCTGGTACCTGACCAACGGCTGGACGGCGGGTAGCATGGCGGATGGCGGACGGCGGATGGCGGACGGTGGACAGCGGACGGCTGTTGCCAGCTTGCGGTGCACAAGTCAGTGTCCAACGTGCCGCGCCCCTGATGGATCGACAGCCACTCGACTCCAAACGTGGACGCGCCATGTCTGAGACACCGGGACACTCAACACCAAACACAGAGAGACAGAAATGCGATGCCCAGGCCGTCCATCTGCTGAGCTGGGTACTGCTGGGTGCCGGATGCCGGGTGCCGGGGCCTGGCACGAGCCACACAGCCCTGAGCCCGGCCGACTTGGACAGTGTCAGCCGGGGGTGGCCACGGCGTTTGGCTTGGCACGCACCACGGCGCCAGCGCAGGCAGACCAAGGCGGCCACGGGAAATTAAACAAAAAAAAAAGGAGTCGAGCCTCTCTGACTACGGAGCAAGTACTTAGGTATCCTCCCCCCCCCTCCCCATCCATCCAGCGCCGTCAACACCATCTCTCATCTACCCGTCGTCCGACTCTTCGGCTCCTCGGTTCGAGGCCATCTGCGCGCCGGACCCCGTCCTCTTTCACTTCGTCGTCTCCAGAGCCTTGTTTGGCTCTGTGCCGCTCGTTTAGCAAAGTACACGCAAACCCCCGCGCGCGGGCCACACTCGTTGCAAGCAAACGAACCCACCCGACGCCATCGACACATCAATCGCCTCGTTCTTCCTCGTTCATCACCCGCGAGTTTTGCCCAACATGCTTTTCCAAGCTGTCGCGTCTGTTGCCTTCTTGGCCGCCGGTGCCGCCGCCGTCGAAGCCCGTCAGCCATACTACCTGGCTGTCATGTCACTTCCTGGCCAGAGCCTAATGCGTCGCGGCGACCAGGCCTACGGCCCACAACAGCAGCAGTGCAAACAAGGAGGAAAAGATTGCAGGGAGGCTTGTGGTCCTCAGTTCGACCAGTGTGCCAGCGGCGAACCAGATACTGTTTTCTGCTTCGACCGCACCAAGGACAACTGCTGCCCCGACAACTCTGGCAGTAGGTTCATCCGCTCGAGCAAGTGGCGCGACCATGCTAACCTGCTGGGTGTGAATAGAAGCTTGCGCAAAAGGCTACTTTTGCGCTCGTGATACCAACGGCAAGACCTTCTGCTGCCCCGACTCTACGGACCCCAAGGCTTGCGCCGCCGCATTGTCCGTCTCTGGTCTCGCCGCTGCCACCGCGACGCCTCCGCCCTCCACCACATCGCAAGCGCCTACCACTTCCTCGATTCCCCCGGAACCCAAGACTGGCACTCCTGTCGTTACCACCAGTGAGAAGGACACTTCCAGCGCCCCAGAACCCAGCATCGGCAAGTCCACCATCTGGTCCGCTTTCAACAGCACTGTCAGCGCCCACGTTCCCACCCAGCCTCCTGCGGGCGCTCCCTCGGCCACCGGGGCGCTCCCTTCGGGGGCCCTCTCTCCTCCGGGCAACGTCAGCGCCGCGGCCACTTCTGGCTTCAGCGCCTTGCTGCTCGTCGCTGCTGGCATTGTCGCCCTTCTGTAGACAGACGCGGAAGCTTCGAGGACGCGCGAGCGAGTTCTTTACGAGCGGAGGCGTTGGGTTGCCGGGATATGACCGTAACCCCGGGGGAAACAAACAACAAATAATGCTTAATCGCAACCACGAGTTCACGAGTCCTTGACGAACCAACGCAGACGATGGTACTTTGCAAAATCTGCTGGCCATTTTGGATGCCAAGCAATTTGGTCTTCGAGGATCCAAACAAAGCGAACCTCGCTGCCTTGACCGCAAACTGTGTGTTATTATTCCTATTTGCCTGCAAACATTGGGCCCGCAGTTGTGGGGGTTTTTTTAACACTTGATTTTCTGGTTTAGTCCTTTTTTCTTTTCGTGTTATTGATTCCTTCGATAGGCTGCTCCTTGGTCGAATGCAGCCCGGTTTGGTGTCTACTGTTCAATTTTTTTTCTTCTTCTTTTTCTTCTTTTTTTTTTTCAATAGGAGGCCCGATTTGCGGGGGTTTTTGTGGAACACTCGTACATTTACATGACCATTATACCTATTTGCTTAAGATTCAGAGCGACAGTCCTCTTTGTCCAGAGCGATCTGGATGGGGGAGATTGGCGCATGTGCGTATTTGATCTGGTGGCCTCGTAGACAGTTAGTAACGTTAATTCAGCATTTGCACACAACTTGCTCGTCTCCGTTTCGCGTCGCCTGTACCCGCGGTGACCATGCATGGTGATGTTTGTTTACATGATGGCTTTGTTTTGCTGACGTTTCAAGCGTGTCTCGGCAAGGAATGAGAGGGCGCCTTAGCGCTCGCCGGTTGATGTTGTCAATGCGTCTAGGTCCCGCCCGATGTGCTTAGCTGTACGGAGTACGGAGCAAGCCCGACGGTTTGGAGGCGGCCGCGGCGGGTCGGCTGCTGCAAGGTTGAGGTGTTGGAGATGAAGCTGGATTAGCGAGATGACAAGACAAGAATTGGTTACTAGGATGCCGACTTGGCAGCTGCGGCCGGAACAGACGGGGGATCGTCGGCGATAGTGAAGCGCATCTGTCTGTGCACTGGAGAGTGTGGGTGCATGAAATGTGCGCTCTCGAAGAAAGAACCGCCCGCGCGGCAGCTTCCGCTGCGCCCTCGTCGGCTCGACAAAAAGCCCTGCCGCGGCACAACGGCCCGACTTCGACCCGGCCTCGGCTTTGGAGCATTCCCATGTCCCATCTCATGCATCTCTTCGACGCCGTTTTGCTGTGCCAACTTTGATGGTGCCGTGCATGTATGGCATGGCACGGCACGGCCTTGGGGGCTCTGGGCGTCGCTTCGAGAGTCGTAGGTAGCGGTGGCACGCACTGCTTCAATATAGCTTCAGTACCGGAAAGAGATGACACGTGCAAAGCAACAGGTCAACCGCATACTACAGGAACAAACGGCAAGTTCGGAGCGGACAACAACTGGCGTCCAGGATTCATTCAATGGCCCCCGTCGACGAGACTACATTCGGCGTGTGATTCACGTCTGTACTGGGACAACAATTTTGACGTTAGACCGAGGCTCTTGGCTTGATGGGACGGGTAAATGAGACCATCGATACAATGAGGGCCCCGAAGGGCTGCAAGTGTTTGAATCATCTCCGGGGATGGAGGTCTAGGGTTGGCAAAAACCACGGGCTCGAAATGAAGAGCCAACAGACTTGATTCAAGGCGCCTGCCGATTCTGTTGGCGCGCACGCGGACAATTGGCCATTGTCCGTTGAAGCTCTTTTTCACAGCCCTTCTGTTCTCCCCTCGACGCTCTGCGGTCGTGAAGATACGGTCTCTTCCGTTGCCATGTCCCAAGACTCGGAACTCGTGGCAACGTCCTCTCCTCCTGGGTGTTTTTTTGTTTTGCACACTCTTGACGGAATGCGCGTTAGCAACCCGGAAACCAACATTCGCAGCTAAGCATGCGCTGTTTCGCATCAAGGTCGATGGGGGCGGCAGGCTTACTAGGCAGTTCTGTCCAGCTGTGGTGTCTTTATCGTCGGCAAGAACTAAAAACGGACCCTCAAAGCCATATCTAAGTTGACGTATCGATGATGCCTTTTCAAATTTTATTGCACGCCAAAGACTCCATGCCTTTGGTCTCTCCGGTTGTTCATCCGACTCGCTCAATCACCTCCTCGCCTGGGTTCTCGGGAGTATATTGACCTTGATTGACCTACCTGTTTTCGCAACCCCCCACATTCGCCTCTCTTCTCCTGTACAGGTAGCTAGATTTTGCCCGCGACGTACCCCGACTGTGGTTGTGACCCTGTCTTCCCATCTGCAGGTCCGGTGTCACTTGCGAAAAAAGCCGGGCATAGTCCCGCTGAGCAACGTTGATGTTTCTACTACGTCACAGTCGATGGAAAATGTTTCAACGCCGGGCCCCGGAGTCCACGGACAGAAGATGGAATTACGTGACGCGAAAAGAAACTCGTATCAGCACCTCCCGGGCAGGCACACTTTGCAGTGCTTGGCAACGAGGTGGCAGCCTGTAAAGTTGCACAAGCAGTCGATTTTTTGTACATGCTTGCTTCGTACTGCCGCGCATCTCTAGCAATCACGGGCTCGTTTCGGATGCACACCGTATCACATATACATAGACAGCGTTTGCATACGTCTCGGAAGTAGTCCACGCCCCGTGCCAAAGCTAACCCAGAAGTGACGAATGGAGGGAGGGCCACACGTTCCGTTGCGTCGAGGATTGGCCATGCATCCCGCATCATCGAGCGGTAGACCAGAGTCCTCCCCCGCGCGAGGGGGTTCGCTATTCAGCATCCCTCATGCCGATGTCCTTCTTGAGCTTCTCCACCACCTCGATGTACCTCTCCTGGGCTTGCTCGACGGTCACGCCCTCGTCGACCTTTTCCTGCCATGCGTTTTTCATGTACCGCCTCTGCTCGCGGAGGCAGGATGTTAGCGGTGGCAACCGGGGGAAGAGGCGTGCGGGGGGAGGGAGGAAGAGAGTAGATGCGGGCGATTTCCTACCTCCATCTGGAACATGCCGGGGTTGGGCTCCTTCTCGATGTCGCAGCCGGTACCGATCTTGAACAAGGCTAGTGTCATGGATGGAATTTAGTCCCTAGTGCCCGACGACCGGCCAGTCCTAGTCCTGTTGGAACTGGGCGGAAAGAAAAAGACAAACCGTAGAGCAGAAGCTTCTCGGCGTTGGGAGGATCGCTCTTCAGCAACTTGACCTCCCGGGCGGCCGTGTTGAAGGCCGGGTTGCCGGTTTGGGGTCCCTCGGATTTGGACATGGTGGCGGGATCAAGAGTTGCGTTGCGTTGGGTAGCAGACGAGACTTGGAAAAGAAGAACCTCGAAAAGAAGAAAAAAAGGCTGCACGGTGAAGAGGCGAGATACGCGGGACGGAGAGGAGATCAAGACGACTGCTCAACAGGAGGAGCTGGAGATGTTGGGGCAGGGAGGATAAAAGGCACCAACCATCAGAGTCCCTCGTCGAGAACAGAGAGGGGTGGACATGGACAGGTGACGTCTTTGGCTGGTCGACTCGAGGCTGCCAGACCGGCCGCGGGGCCGCGGGGCTGCGGGGCTGCGGGGTTGAGACGGACGTGGCAGGCGGGATTTGTTGTTTGTTGAGGACTTTGGGATTGGCCGCATCAAAGTGGTGGAGGATGTAGTTATCTGTGTTGTCTTGTCTCGATTTGACTTTTGTTTGTTTCCTCCCATTCTCCCAGGCGTCGCCGGCTCCGTTCTGGGCGCCGCGTGCCGAGTAGCTCTTCACGTGCTTTCCATCCTTGCCGTCGACGCAGCCGAATTGAGACTCCAAAACCTCGCGGGTTGCAGCTGGAGAATGACGCATCGGCCGAGAGCTTCCAAAGCTGAAGCGACGAGACCACGCAATCTTCACGCAGACACGAAAGCAACCAGCATCGTGAACCCCCAAATCACCCCTTCACTGCCACGACATGTCCAAAACCGTAGTCGTCCTCGGCGGCTCACTGGGCGGCCTCGCTGTCACACACCGCCTGCTCAAGTACACGCTTCCTCACGAGCCGCACCTCAAAGTCATATTAATCACAAAGGTGGCCCGCCCTCCCCTTCCCCTTGCACCCCCGGAGACGACCAAAGCTCATGGCGTAGAACTCCAATTTCTACTGGAACCTCGCGTCCGTCCGCGCCGTCATTCCCGACGTCCTCGGAGATGAGCAGATCATGCAGCCCATCGAGCCTGGGCTCGCGCAATATCCACCCGACAGCATAGAATTCATCCTCGGCGAAGTCACCGGTCTGGACGCAGCCTCCAGAACAGCTCATCTCTCGACATCCGACGACACTCGCACTGTTACGTACGACTACCTCGTCATCGCGACAGGATCAACGAGCAAGTCTCCTTGCATGCCGTGGAAAGCGTCGTCCACCCACGAGGCGTGCGTCGAGAGCCTGCACAAAACAGCAGAGAGCATTCGTAGGGCTTCCCACGTCGTGGTGGCCGGAGCCGGCGCGACGGGGGTGGAGCTCGCAGCCGAGATACGCTTCGAGTTCCGCGACAAGACGGTTGTGTTGTTGTCGTCGGACGAACAGCTCCTTGGCGGCGACTGTATCGCGTCGGCGGCCGAGAGGGAATTGGTGAAACTGGGCGTCTCGATTCGCAGGAGCGTCAGGGTGGCCGGCACGGAAGACAGGGAGGACGGCAAGACCATTGTGAGGCTGGAGGGGGGCCAAGAGATGGAGACGGAGCTGTACCTCCCGACCATGGGGTTCGTCCCCAACACGGCGTATCTGCCGGGCAGCTTCTTGAACGACAGCGGGTACGTGCATGTCGACGAGTACATGGGCGTCGCGGCCAAAGACGCCGAGGGGAGGGTTTGGGCCGTCGGTGATGCCGTCTCCAAGCCGAGAGCCGGGTTCCTCATCACCGAGGCCCAGGCAGCGGGTGTGGCCAAGAATATCGACCTGGTGCTACGAGGTCAAGCCCAACAAGCTGTCCGCGGCCCGCTAGTTGACGCATTCATCTGCTCGACGGGCCGCTCCAGGACCGCGGGACGCCTTGGCTTTGTCCCCATGCCATCACTGGCTGGGTGGATCGCCAAGGGCCGCACACTCGGGGTAGACCGGACGAAAAAGTACGTGGACGGGAGTATGTGGTGATGATGTGGACCGTAAACATGCCACACCACCCACGACTTTGAGTCGCGCTTGTAGGCTGGGATGTACCGCCTGACGCTTCAGACACTTGTGTTTGCTGAATCCAACATCGGTCCCAGTAGCCAGAAAGAAAAAAATAGATTACGCCTTCTCTGCGTCAATTTGTCTCCGCAAATCGTCTAATACCGCTTGTCTTGAACTCAAATGCGTCTCCAGACCTTCCACTTGCTCTCTTACTGTCTGCAAATCGTCCGAGACGCTCTTCAGGCTTGAACCGACAACGCTCTTGCCCCTCCCCTCTTCCAAGTCTCTCAATTCTCTGCGCTTGTAGTCCAGCAGCTGGTCAAGTTCCCTCCTTACAAGCGCAGGCTTTGAGTCTCTCTTGCCGCCCTTGCGTTGCTCGGCCATATCCTCAACTTTTTGAATCTTGGTTTCCAAATCAGCGAGTTGTCGCTTCAGCCGAACCTCTTCCCAATCTTCCGTCTTTTCGGTCGAAAAGTCGGTGCCGGCCGTCTTGAAACCGCTTCGGCCGAGGCGTGTGAGGTACTGTTCCCCAAACTTGGTCTTTCGACCAGTGGAGGTGGAATCGTCGGCCTTGTTGGCCCATCGTGAGTTGGCACCTGTCCGTTGGTTGTCGAGCTGGTAGTCTATTTGGTTGCGCTCAAAGCTGGAGCGCAGTGAGGCTGGGACACTACGGGGAATGCGGAAGCCTTCGTGGCGGTAATTGAGAATATGGAGGAAGGCGAGGCATGCGTCTTTGTTGATGGTTGAGCCGGCAGAGGGATTGACGAGATTCCAGGCGGACCGGACATCGGTGTCGGGGACGTCAAGAGATTCGTATAGTTCTTCGAGGGCGTTGACTAGAAGCTAATGAGTGGGTGCGAACATATGTATGGTGAACAAAGGACCAGACAAACACGATACTTCACCCCGCATATCCCGGTTCTCTTGATAAATGTGTTCGTATTTTGCTTTGTCCTGGGGCTTCATGTACCACTCAAACCCATCCTTCAAGCCCGCGTCATCTGAGTCATCTTCGACCTGCTCAAACTGTGGCTGCTTGCCGGCGATGGCACGGGTCGCCTGAACAAGATGGGATTTGGACTCCGGAATCAACCAATCTGGCAGCGTCTTCGGGACGTCGGCATATTCCTAATCATGGTCAGTATTCGCCAAAGGCGTCTCCCGAGCCCAGGACATCGTACCCCGTTCAGAATGTCAAAGATGAGTCGCATGGCGACACAGAACTCCTCAAAGTCCAAGTTCCCATCGTTATCAACGTCGGCCAAATCCCACACGCGCTCTAGCTGATCATCGCGAAGACCACTGTTTTTCAGGACTGGGGCTGCTTGTTCACCGGTGAGGAATTGACCACCCCCTGTTCGGTCTGAGAAGATGTTCCAATACGTCTCAATCTCCTTGGCCTCGATCTTGGGAGGCGCCATGGTGGCCAGGGGCTCGAGCTGCTGGGTATCACCAGGCAATTCGTAAGCGAATTACAGTTGGAGGTGGACAGCAGAAGCAACCTTTGTGCGGTTTGACGTATGGCCACGTGCGCCGCAAGGGGGATGGAGGGATGGAGGATGCGAAAGCACGAAGGCCAACGACGGCAAGGCACACGAGGGCTCGAGTGACGAAGCTCGGGCATCGAGGTTGCGGATACGAGTGGGTATTATCAGACATGTACTCCGTACCATGGATGGAGTACTCCGTACGTACCCGGTTGCTGCAGATGGCTGATGACTCAGCCGTGGAAGGCAGAATGGAAGGTACCCAAGGGGCCTGCTTCAACGCCAGGCGACTTATTTCCCAACAAATGCACTCCGCGTCCGGACATATTCTGTCGGGCATATGGGCACCGGACGATGTTTTTGTACCTTGACATCTTTTTGGGTCAGATACATGATACATGCATATAGGTGCACCTCCAGTTGTACGGAGTACTCCGTGCTCCGTAGTCAACGTGTAAGTACCTAAGTACGCAGTAGTCAGGCGCGTATTTAAGTTCTCAAGTACTAATGACCTGGCCCGTGGTGGGTCCTCGAGATATCAGTTGAACCACAGGCACCAGTTGCCGAGTGCACGGAGTACAAAAGACTGGGCCTTCCCAAGGACCTCGTCCTCCTTTTTCTGCGTTCTCTCGCAAGAAAGCCGGCAGCGCAAAGCCCCTGACGAGATAAATCTACTTTGCCGAGTCTCCTCGTTGCATCAAGATGGCCACCGCCACTGCCACAGTTACCGAGACTCGAACAGAGTCCATGACGGCTGATACGATCCTCCGCCTCTTCCCCGACATCGACACTAGCTCAGAGGCACTTTCTGGCCATGACGAGGAGCAGATCCGGTTGATGGACGAGGTGTGCATTGTACTGGACGACAATGACATGCCTGTAGGCAAGGCCAGCAAAAAAATCTGTACGATGCCAGGTCTCTTGAGACGCCAGTGGCCACAGTGGTGCACGGCGATGGAAATGCGAACCGCGTGCTGATTGTCTACCCGATTAGGCCATTTAATGTCCAACATTGACAAGGGACTGCTTCACCGGGCCTTTTCAACATTCCTGTTCAACGACAAAAACGAGCTCCTCCTGCAGCAGCGTGCATCGGAAAAGATTACCTTTCCAGATATGTGGACCAACACGTGCTGCTCGCACCCTCTGGCAGTGTCTAGCGAGACCGGCTCTAACCTCGCCGATGCCATTGAAGGAGTGAAGCGTGCGGCGCAGCGAAAGCTTGAGCACGAGCTGGGCATTAAGAAGGAGCAGGTTCCAATCGAAAAGTTCCATTTCCTTACCCGCATTCATTATAAGGCTCCCAGTGACGGCAAGTGGGGAGAGCACGAAAGTAAGCGATTCGGTTGCGGGACGGGCGGATGGACGACCTGTGCTGAGTAGTTGGAATCCCAATGGCATGTTTGCTAACGGGGCATTTAGTCGACTACATCCTGTTCATCAAGACGCATGTCGATCTTGATCCCAACCCCAATGAAGTCAAGGACACTCGGTACGTCAGCGCCGACAACCTAAAGGAGCTATTCGAGGACTCTTCCTTAAAGTTCACCCCGTGGTTCAAGCTCATTTGCAGCTCTATGCTGTTTGAGTGGTGGGCGAGCCTTGACTCTGGTCTGGAAAAATATACCAACGAGGAGGAGATCCGACGAATGCTGTAAAGCGATCCTTGCATTGAGAGAGCGAGTGCCTGCGTGCGGGAGGACAAGGGGCACACCAATAAGCAAAGCGTCCTGGCCATTGAACCACACATTACGAAAACATGTTGCGGACAGAGGTTGAATGCTTGGGGCCGTGGCCTTTACCGGGTAAGCCGCAGGCTTGAATGTGGTTGGAGGATGGTTATCTCCAGCAACAATTTACGCATTTGTCGGCGTTGCATTCGGGGCCGGGATGGATAATGTCTCTTCAATCCAGAACCGCAACACAGGGCCCTGGCGCATGGAGAGCTCCATTATACATGGTAGTAAATCAAACAATTTGCGATTTGGGGGACGTCCCTGTTGACGAAGCTTCAAGCGAGTCGGCATCCAGCAAACTGCGTAGCGTGACCATGAACCAATGCAAGCGAGCACAAGGCCGACGTTGGGACATCTGGACTGTCAGGACTTGAGCGAGCGGGCAACTAGCGACGGGTCAATGCCAACGGTGCATTTCCGGCCGCCAGCCGCCGGCAGCCGTCAGCCGTCAACGGTCCAGGCGGTCCCAACAGTCCCAACGGCCCCAACGGTCCGTTGACAGCTGCACATGTCCGCTCCGTGGCCCAGCCATCTCGACTTATCAAGCCACAATGAGGCATCGAGGCCCGGCTGGTCGACGCCTCCCGAGTTTGCCGACACAAGTTGACCCATCCGCGTCCTGAGCTACCTTCCACCCACCCCCTCCTCTTCCTCATGTTGTGATCATTTGATCACGCCGCCGCCGAACCCCCCGTTTCTGACCAACGGGATGAGGGTAGTATCTTTGCCTCTCGGTTCTTTTCTCATGACTTCAGCGACGCCGATCTGCCAGGCTTGGCAGACAAGTGACACCAAACGGAGCGCTCCGTCATCGTCGCTCGTTATCGGGTGTCTCTGCGCATGCCCATTGGACCCTCGGACGTCGGGGATCATCTCATGTCTCGGCCTCTCAAGCCAGATCATGGAGTGGTGCGAGCTTTGTCTCAGCCCAAAGCTAAAGGTTGTTTGGGCCCCGAAGGTTGCTTGTATTTCAACTCGACCACTCTCATCTCTAACTTGACTTTTGCTTACTTTCCCAAGCACACCGTAACTTCAACTCCACTCTCAACACACATTTCTCAACCACAGACTGTCGGCTGTTGTTGCCAAAGAAACGCCTCGCCTATATTGTGTGCGCATACGCCGCCGCCGTCGTCGGATTCACATCCCACGCACGTAGAATCTCAATACAAGCGCTTTCGGGCAACCTGCCAGGACCAGACTCTTGTCCGCCTCGTCTCCTCTCCCATCTCATCGCCTTGACGTTCCTCCAACTCTCGTGTTCGTGTATTGGGCATGACTCGTCGCGAACGATACTCTGCCGGCATAATCACTAGTGACTGGGCGACAGTTTGCAAAATGTACTGATGAAAAAAAAAAAAAAAACATGTTTTCCAACTGAAAAAGCAGAGAAGACAATCCAAAAAGACGAACAGCCAGTGGTCTCACCATTCTCCTTCAACCTCGCCTCAGCTCTCTTGGCGCTGTGGTGACTGGATGCCAGTCTTTTTGTGATTCCAACTGATGCCTTTTCCTTTCTCGCTTTGACCCCCGAAAGCGAGATCGAAACATTGTTTTTTAAGGAATAGAAGGCTCCCCTTTCCTTTCCTCTGTCTTCTGTTGAAATCTAACAAGCTACGTAGAAGTAAACACAAACGCCCACCAACATGGCGCAGATCAACCACGTCGAGACCGGAACTCAGCCTAATCCCCAGTTGTCCCTGATTCCGTCAACATGGGAGACCGACGTTCGCGAACTCGACTTGCGTCATCGCCGAGAGGCCGGCCTTGCTCTCGCTCAGAGCTTCGCCGCCGATCCACTGTCCCTGTATGTCATGGGCATCGACGATGCGGCCTGCTGGCCGTCCGAGAAGATCTGGAGGCTGCATGTCCTGCTGATGCAGTATTCGTATGCTTCCTACCGCTTCAGGGGCATTGCAACCACCATTGGCGGAGATTATGACGCCATTGCACTTTGGTGAGCACCAAGAGCTGCCCCTGTTTCCTTCGCACAAGGCAATATTTTGCCGTATCATGTGCCTTGGATGCATGCTGACTCTTTGTACGCAGGATGCCCCCCGGGACAACAAACGACGACTGGCTTGCCACGCTCTTCAGCGGCATGTGGCGTCTGTGGTACCAGCTCCCTCGTGAGAGCCGGAAACGGCTCTTTGGTGAGATGTTTCCTGCGCTGCATGGCACCAAGGCTGAGGTGCTGGGCGACCGCAACGGCGACAGCTACTACCTGGGTTATCTTGGCACCAAGGTGAATTCCAGGGGCAAGGGCCATGCCACCAAGTTGCTCAGGCACATGACGGGCAAGGTAAGAGACTGACTTGGTTGGATCAGAAAACGCGGCTCCAGAAAGAGCCACGAGAATGCTAATGCAGCCTCTGCTGCCGTAGGCCGACGCTGAAAACCGCGCCATGTACCTCGAGTCGTCAAATGCGTCCAACAACCGGTTTTACGCCAAATTTGGATTTGAAGTGAAGAGCGAAATCGTCCTGACTCGCGGCCCTGTGCCTGTCCGCTTGTTCTGTATGTTGCGAGAGCCTCAGATCGACAAGACCAGCAGCTTGGTCGACATGGGGACCGAAAAGGACTGATTGAGGCTGAGTGGAAACTTTGAGTGTTTCTTTTTGTGCTTTTTTTTTTTGGGGGGTGCTGTTATGCTTCACTCCTTTCGCGGAAGGCATCATAATAGTGGTTGGGAAACTCAGACTGCACCTAGTGAGTTTTGCACCTTGATAACAGTCCAGCCGAAAAGAGAGATTGGAAACCGTGAGCGAGGTGATGATGTTTTTCCCTCCTCGATTTGCATACATGTGACAAGGAAAACAATGATTTTTGCACTCGGAATCGTTAGATTATCACCCGTCCCTTTATCCCGTACAACACCTGAAACCCCAGTGCAGTCCCGGACATGCGTCGCCAACGTCTTGTTGAACCCTTTCGCAGTTACCGGCCCCATCTCCACGCTCCTCAGCACTCCAGAATAGACCACGTCTCGTCATCAACAGTCGTGTAAATCAAGCCCTGTGCCACCAACTCTTCCGCGCCTGACAGAACTTCCTTGACCGGCATGCCCGTCGAGCTACTAATCACGTTCAGATGAACACCCTCGTTCATGCCTGGCGTGTCATTGATGAAATTGAAAATCCGCTTGGCCGGCAGCGAACAGCCCGTCAACTTGGTGACCTGCGCAGCGTTACCGCCGTGGGCATTCCCCCCATATCCGCCACCGTCGACAAACATGCTGTCCCCGCCGCCGTTTGCCGCGCCGTCCTGTCCCAGCGGGCCCCTCGTCAGGTACAGGTGAACATACGTCGCCTCCAACAAGTGGTAGTTGACCTCGTTGAAGTCTGTCACGGGACGAATGACGTGGGCGACCACGTGGCGCTTATTCGAAAACGACTTGAGACGCCCCCATACGCGCACGTAGGAATCGAGCTCGTACTGGTCTGCACTGGCGTCGTCTGTCCTGTCTGCGTCGATCCACTTCTTCACTTCAACCTGGCTTGTGCCATCGTGGATTTTGAGCGTCAAGTTGGTAGGTTGCGGGTTTACACTGCGGACTTGTCCAACAAAGGTGATTTGCGTTATGACGGTGTTGTCGATTTTGAAGTCGGCGCCCGGGAAGGCTTCGTCGGCTTCGAGGATTTGCTTGGCTGTTACCGGGCGGAGGGATTCATCTTGATATGACTGGAAGGACAACATGGGACATTAGCGATGCCAAAGGGGAGAAAAGAGGCAAAAAGGAAAAAAAAAAAGAAGGGGGGAGGGGGTTACTTTGCCGCCGCCTTGACTGCCTTGTTGGGAACCACCGGCGAGGAAGCCGCCCGAGTCGTCGCCGCCTTGGGCACCGTAACTGGTTTTGGAGTAGCCCGCGTACGCTGCTGTATATCTTGTTAGAAGGCACAGACCTGACAGCTTTTTGGTTCGGGGGGGAATTGTAGTATGCGAACGTACACATGGCTCTGATTTGGATGCGATGTTGCGTAGGAAGATTTCGTGTTCTGGCTCTGGTGGAGGGGAGACGCGTTTGAGCGCGACTTGGGTTCATTGGCTTCGTCCCGCGATGTGGGGCGCTTGTTAGCACGAGCACCATGTTCTCCGTGCTACGAGGGCTTGATGAGTCAGCAGGCACCTAGGTACCTCTACGAGCTACGAGCTACAAGCTACGACGATGGACGGTTCACCGTGGCGTTGACGGTCCGAAAGAGGGCACAGAAACCAGCAGGTATGGTGCGGGTTTGAGGTAGGAATGGGTGGTAAGCTTAAGTACGAAACATGGAAAGACTGCAGCAGACTCCTCAGCAGTATTGTCGAAAGTTGGGGACTCAGGACCTCGTTCGTGATGGTCAAGCACACCGAGTCCACAAGACCCACGCAGCCTCGATGTTGCATTCTGCCTCGGCACGGGTGGCGCGGAACCAGCGCCGCGTCACTGCAGTCCGTCTCGAGTCCCAAGCGTCTGGAGCCGAAGCCATGACGATGTTCATTTCTCGGCCATCACCCGTTTGCCACATTGTCCGTTCCAACTCCCACAACCTTCTGGTGCATCGTTTGCGTATTACTAGGCACTGTACCTCACCTCCTTTCTTGCGAAATCATCCCGCGTCTGCGTCGCCCCCCGTTGATCAGCCAACCACTCATCACATATCGAGGAGACGACGATTCTAGTAGCTCGACTTCCCGACGACCGACGCTGTCTTTTGGCCATCTTCCACACGTATAGTCGACGTCTCGCGCTCGCTCTTGCTGCGTCATGGGCAGATCTCAGACTGCGGTACTCCCTATCGTCCCCCTTGCCAGAGGCACCGTCCTGCTTCCTGGCTTATTTCAACGAATTTCCGTCACTTCGAGCCGCCCAGATATCCCGGCCCTCCTTGCCCACGTCTACGAAAAAGCTGCGGCTAAAGGCCCCGACGGCCGAATCGACAGCATACCCATCGCTTGCGTCCCGCTTTCATCGCCCTTTGTCGGGCCCACGGGCCAACTTCTCGTCAACAATGGAGAGGAGATAGATGCCTCGCAGCTTGCCGAGGTGAATCCCGGCATTGCCAGTAAGGCCGATATTTTTGGCTTTGGTGTTGCCGCCAAAATTGTCGGCATTGATGGCGCTGGCGAATTTGCCCTCCGGGTCGAAGGCACTTCTCGCGTCAGGGTAGATACCATCTCCCGCGAGCGACCCTTCTTCCAGGGCAAGGTTACATACTTTAGCGATGAAAGTACGTCCCAGTTCGACGTGTTTGCCTCCTGAGTCAGCAGCGCTAACCGTACATGTCTTTCTTTTCCTTTTCTTCGCCAAGTTGATGTGGCCGACAAGCAGCTTCAGGATCTCTTTGGTTTGCTCAAAGCTCAGTCTCGAGAACTTGTTACCATCCTTAGAATCTCGTCCCTGTTACCGCGCACTAGGAGTGGGCCGTCGTTGTCGCCTGGGCTCACGAAACGACTCGAAATGCTCATCATGCGACGCGAGATCAAGGAAGCAGGGCTGCTGGCTGACTTCATGTCGTACCTGGTCGGGGCATCCCACGAGGAGAAGCTGGGCATACTAGCCGCACTGGATGTCAAAGTCAGAATCACAAAAGTCATTGAGCTGCTGGACCGGCAAGTAGGAGGCATCAAGAACAACTTCAAGATCACGACATTCACCTCAGTTCCGGTCCAGATCCTCAACAGGCTGAACGACAGCCCCAACAAGAGAAATAGCCCGGGTCTACCAATTTCAGGCGTCAACTTCACTTCAGGCACTGGTCAGATGCCATCCGGTAACGATCAGGGAGACGAACAGGAGGCGAATGAGCTGGATGAGCTAAAGAAAAAGCTCCAGAATGCGCAGCTCCCAGTCGAGGTAGCCAAGGCTGTTGATAGAGAATTGCGACGACTACAGAAGATGATGCCCATGAATCAGGAATACCAAGTTACGCGGAATTGGCTTGAAACTTTGTCCGAGATTCCCTGGGCAGCAGTAACAGACGATCGGCTGGGGCCCGAAACGCTGACCAGGGCACGGAAACAGTTGGATGATGACCATTACGGCTTGGACAAGGTCAAGAAGAGGCTGATCGAGTATCTCGCCGTTCTCCGTCTGAAGCAGTCCTTGAATGAGGAAATTGATGAGCAGATCCGCAAGGCCGAGGCGGAAATTGTCCCTCTCGCGCATGATTCGGACAAGCCGTCAGCTGAGAACGTTGCGAACCCGGACAGTAGTGCCAAACTCCAGATCCTGAAAGCAAAGAGGATGGTGGACAAGTCACCGATCATGCTTCTCGTCGGTCCGCCTGGAGTAGGCAAGACCAGTCTGGCCAAGTCGGTCGCCACGGCGCTGGGGAGGAAGTTTCATCGTATCTCTCTCGGTGGCGTTCGAGACGAAGCCGAGATTCGTGGACATCGTCGAACATATGTTGCTGCTATGCCCGGCTTGATTGTTCAAGGTCTACGAAAGGTTGGCGTTGCTAACCCAGTCTTCCTGTTGGATGAGATTGACAAAATCGGTGTGGCCAGCGTCCACGGAGACCCGTCGGCCGCCATGCTAGAAGTCTTGGATCCCGAGCAGAACCATAGCTTCCAGGACCACTACGTAGGCATGCCGATCGACTTATCCAGGATCCTCTTCATCGCTACGGCAAACAACTTGGACAGCATCCCAGCACCGCTCCTGGATCGCATGGAAATGATCCATCTCCCGGGCTACACTACCCTAGAGAAGCGACACATTGCCATGCAGCACCTCGTTCCCAAGCAGATCCGAGCCAACGGATTGGCCGAGGGCCAAGTGACCTTCAACAAGGATGTCGTCTCCAAGATCATCGAGTCGTACACTCGCGAGTCAGGGGTTCGCAATTTGGAACGAGAGATCGGGTCCGTATGCCGTGCAAAGGCCGTGGAGTATGCCGAAGCAAGAGACGGAGGCAGTATCGAAAAGTACAGGCCACTTCTTACGATGGAGGACATTGAAAACATTCTGGGGATCGAAAAGTTTGAAGAGGAAATTGCGGAAAAGACGAGCCGCCCGGGCATTGTCACGGGTCTGGTGGCCTACAGCACCGGCGGCAACGGGAGCATCCTGTTTATTGAAGTAGCCGATATGCCCGGCAACGGCAGGGTGCAGTTGACAGGCAAGCTGGGCGATGTCCTCAAGGAGAGCGTCGAGGTGGCTTTGAGCTGGGTCAAGGCTCATGCCTACGAGCTGCGTCTGACTCCTGAGCCCACGGCGGACATCATGAAGGACCGCAGCATCCACGTACACTGTCCTTCTGGTGCAATTCCCAAGGACGGGCCAAGCAGCGGCATCGGCCAGGCCATTGCTCTCATCTCCTTGTTTTCCGGCAAGCCTGTGCCCCCAACAATGGCCATGACGGTACGTACCAACATCTTACTTGTTGCAAGACGGTCTGGTCATTATTGTTTTGTCCCGGAATAGTGTCTTGCATAGACGAGAGGGGCCACATTGTGAGTCAGTCTTAGCTAACACGACATGATCCTGTTCAGGGTGAAATTTCCCTTCGCGGACGTGTCACGGCCGTAGGCGGTATCAAGGAGAAACTCATCGGGGCTCTTCGAGCAGGCGTCAAAACAGTCTTGCTTCCGGCGCAGAACCGCAAGGACATCAAGGACTTGCCCCGGGAAGTCAAGGACGGTCTTCAGATTGTACACGTCAGGTAAGGAAGGGTTTCTCATTTTCGATTGTCGATTTTTTACCTTTTCTTTTTTTTAATTTTCAATTCGCCCAACCCCCTTCGCTTTGTCCGACTCCCCTCCCCCCAAACAGGCCCGCTGAAAGCGGCGCATTCTCGTTGTCATTTTGCATTGTTGCCCGTCTGTTTTGTCCATGGTTTCGAACTTGTCCGACACATTTCCCGTTTTGGCCCTTTTGGTGTAATTGCGATACACGTTGCAACTCGGGAGAGATGGTCAAGGTCGAGCCACGTACTCCGTAGGGGAAGTAAGTTAAACTAACGTTTCAACTATAAAGTCATATATGGGAAGCAATCCGCCTGGTATGGCCAGACTCTCACTGGGCTGCAGACGCTGCAGACAGCCACGACACCAGGACTGCGAGCCGGCTGTGAGGGCGTCCCCGTATCCGACCATTCGTCAACATCGAAACCCGTCGCATTTAGATTAACTGCCTAGCCTAGGTACGCAATGAAATGGCATGTGATGTCACTGCTGGGACCTGTTTGACGGTGCTGTCTGTTTCGCCCTGGTGGTTTAAGCGTCGCCCCTTTATCCCGGAATTGTCCAGTTGGTGCGGATTTGTAGCCGAGTAGGGAGCCCCCAGCCTGGCCTGGCTCAGTGACTCCCGACGGGAATGCCTGGGCCCAGCAATAGCGACAGCCGGAGGAGGCTTCGGATGGCGGACAATTCTCACCAGACTCTCTGTCGACTTTCCTTTCCCCTTGACGCTGCGGCGTTTCGGGGTCCACAGCTGCGCCAAAGAGTCGGCGAGGCCGTCCCACCGGCAGCTTGTCGAGGCTCCAGGACACAGCCGGGGTGAGAGCAGTTTGTGGAGTGCATAAACAATGCATGGCGCATCAAATATACCGAGAATATGTATCCTCGACTGGGAAGGGACACGCCCGGCGTTGCGCCTCATTTCGGCTCGCTGGGGGGGAGGGGGTTCGGTTTCTCGTGAGTCGTGACGTTTGGAGTTTTTTACTTTGTTTTTTTGCCCCCCCTGTTTCTCTCCGGGGAGTGTGGCAAAGGGAAATAAAATAAATCTTCGTGTGCGGCATGCTGCCAGGCGCAATAACAACAAGCAGGAAGCAGACGCAGGCCGCAGGCCGACGCGGAATAGTACCCCTAGTTTTATCTCTTTTCCCACATTTTTCTTCACCAATGTAATCTGTGTCATCTTATGCGTGTTGTACGATGGTTTGTATTATACGGGGAACACGGCGGCGATATGAGCACGCATTGCCATTAGCCATTTCGCAGCAGCTTGGCGTATGGCCACGTTTTCCCCTTTTATTAGAGTTTGCCGTTTTAAGCTCCTGTCCGTAATGAACCATGCTTGTCCCCTCCAAAGGCTCTTCGGACATGAAGGGCCCTGTCGTGGTCGGGCCAGGGTAGATGATGTCAATACGGCGCTTCTGGCGACGGCTTGTCCAAGTTATTCGCAGCAACCCATGTGCCTCAGCGCCGCGCCGCCGTTGCGCGCCACGTCGAGGCTTGTTTCGTACCACTGCACACCGAGGCGTGCTTGATTCAATCCCATCGGCTGCGAGATGGGATGGCATGGGACGGCATGGGATCGGAGTAGCGCGGAGGTGATTATCCTCCGACAGAGTGCTCCGCATCTGGGCGTCATCTTCTGTGACGGACATCCGTGTACGGAGGGCATGTACGTGTAATTAGTTCGGTATAGGGGTACGGAGTACGGAGTACGAGGTGATGGATAGATGACGCGGATGGTTTTCGGCCATTCAAGCCGCGTACATTATATTGGCACGGGCGCAGTTGCTCCCAGCGATTGCTCGGTAGCGAGTCGTGCCCATCGGCCTTGTTTCAAGGGACTCGGGAAAGGGGTCTACATACTATATGCCGTACACGGCCATGTCATGTAGAAATAGGATACTAAATCCTGACAACGGAGTACCTCGTACGAGTACCTCGTAAGCGGAATTCCTTGGATCGTTGTTGTTGTGGTGCTCCTCAATCTCATGTGCGACCCTATTTATATGTGTCCATGTGGTGTCACGTCGGGCCAGTGCATGGTTTGGGCCTGAATCTGACCCGACAGCCGCCCAGGGGGGTACCCTCGCCTCTCAAACTCTGTAATGCAAGCAGAGTAAATGAATGGGAGGGAAGAGGCGGTGCCATTTCGTGAGCTCGTACGAGTCCCAGGGCTTCTCATCGATACACACAGGCACAGGATGAGTGTCACCCACCCTCTTTCGCATCGCCTTGTATGAAGTGTATGAGCAACATGTTCATGTTGGTGGTGGTGTGCCATCTTGCCAAAATCCGTTGTCGTCGCAACGCAGACTTCCTCTTGCCCTCGTCCCTCGAATCATGGAGCCACGTCTGCTTTGTTGCACTGGCCATCTTTCTTGCTTTCCCTCCGGATAGCCGATACCGAATAGCCTATCCAATCTCAAATTACGTCCTTGTGGTTGAGTCTGCTTGCTTGCTGTGCGGGCTGGCTTGCACTCCCGGCCTGTTGGGTCTGGCTCAGCTTGCCAAGGAACAGTTGTGTTCCGTTATCCTTGCCTGATGGGGTGACTCTTTGCTCCGTTTCCCATTTGCTATTTGCGGCAATCCAGTCGTCGGTACACTGACACTGTCTGATCAGTAGTTTGGCTTCTTTTGAACCAGATGTGTCCGTTCCTCAGAGAATGTGACATGCTCGGACTTTTCTTCGGGTCGATAGGCTGAACAGACATGTGTGTGTACTTAGCATCTGGAACCACCCATGGACTCATCAGGTCAGTGCGATATCCACAGATCCCAGTCTTGGCAAGCCGGTATAAAACACTATGCATCTACGGAGGAATCAAGGTGGCTGTCGGTGGTCTTTTTTTGTGGAGAGCGGAGAAAGCCATGATGAGACTCGGGAATCGAGAACTCGAGCGTGTGAGTGTCCCGGAGACTTGGACTGCGGTTGAGGCATGAATGTAATGCAGCACCTTGATCTGTAATGGACCTGTAATGGAGGGAGAGGTTGAAATTCACATCAACCTTTCTCCCCAGCTCTCTGCTGCAACACGTCCGGCAACCTTGTCCGGAAATAGGGTGCGCTTTGACTTGGTACCCTGCCAACCTCGACCCCCGACCGGAAACCGGGAACGAGAAAGTTTAATCTGTTACTTCGCGCCGACCACCGACCACTGTACCCAGTTACCAGACCTAGAATTGGGTATTGATTGGCCCGGCTTTGAGAGGTGGCATCAGGAAAGCAATCCATCAACTGGGGGAGGAAAAGAAACAAAAAGTATAATGACATTACCTGCCACACTGCAATGGGGCAGAGGGTTTTATTAGAGATCCGGCTGACTCCTTGGAACCGCTCTCAGACGGTCACGACAGGAGGAAGGAGGAGGATGAAGTACCGTGTCCAGCTGACCTTTCACCCATTTATCGTAGTCAGCTAGGTGATGCAGGATCCGAAACTTGTATTTTGCCTGGGAATTTCGAGCCAATATTGGACAAGGAATACGGATCTGAGGACAAATGGTTCCGCTGTGATGGCAAAACAGAACCCTGTTGGCGGAGATGGTGTTCACGCACTCCACACGGGACGCTCCCGCGGTTGTTGGCAGGCAGAAACTAGCAATAATAAGAGGGATAGTGAAGTACAGAAAGCCTCGAGTGAGCTTGGCTATACTGACTAAACTCTGTGCTCTGCGTTGAGAGCAGGGGAGGGAGGGGGTGGGTTGGATCCAATACCCGGGCGAGGCCTACAGCAGGAGTGTGCTGCTTGATCTTCTCCAGCTGAAAGTCAAAGGGCAGCTGACTTTGTTCTTTGACCATTTGTGTGAGAGAAAACCAAAACTGCCAAGCCTTCATATGCCTGGCGAGTGCTTTTGATCGATGGAGGCTTAACGTAAACCGCCAGCCCCCAGAACTGTCGCCGTCATTACCCAAGAAAAGCACCCGCATCGCCGCCACGGACTCTCGACCGTTTTGACGGGGCAGTGTGGGATTCACCGTTGTGTACCCGAGGGCTGTACTGTTGCGAACATCGTAGGTGATACTCTATGCTTGGCCACATCTTGAACTTGTCGTACAAAATCTTCCAAACTCCAGTGCAAGCCAGGGTGATCGGGCTGGAGTATGTGTGACCAAAAAAATCTCCGCCAGGTACTCGGAGCCCCCGTGAGTGGGACAAGAGCATTTTGCCGTCGACGTGTTGCTGTAGCCTGTAACCCTGGCCGCCGTGAGTTGCTACTTGTAACTCCAAACGATGCCCCGGCAATCCCGCCAGGTAGAGATGTGTTCGAGAACAGGCGTTGGCAAGCCACCGGCACAATCAGTGGAGCAATGAGGTGCATACTACTATATGCAATTTACCGTCCCCGGGAGATAGGGTAGTGTATATACTTCGCCCTTCTTGGCACATGGGAGCTGCGCGGCCAAGCGGGCTGTTTTCATGTGACCTTCGAGCATGGACGACGGGAGTTTCATGCTTGAAAATCGTTGTGGCCGGGCCTTAGTTTCCCAGTATCTGAGATAAACCTAAACCTACTCCGTGCTTTCAGAGAACCTGGTTAGTGAGCCTTATCCCTCTTCGAAAGTCTCTTCCTTTGCAGTAACTAACTGCTGTCCGTCCGACTCGCGTTCCTTGCTGGTCGTCATCCCGCTACGAGGATCGAGCCCATGCGCGCCTCCTTTGCAGGATTGCCGTTTGCTTGTCTCGACTTTCTCCAGAAATCGAAATACCCTGTGATCTATACCCTCGTAGTTGCCCTGATTCCTGAGACACTGGTAGCCATGGCCAATGGCCTTCGGTTTTGCCGGCTGCTATTATCCATGCTTGACAAGCAGGATATTCCATCGTAGGAGAGGGCGTTATTTTTTTGTTCAAAACGCTTGGTCGAAGAATGTCGCATGTATGTGGTGGCCCCGCATTCATCAAGCTCAATCGCCTGGGTCATTTCCCCAATCCTCGTCATACGACAAAGCCCAGAGCCCGATGGGCCTATTTTCTGCATCGTCCCGAT